CTCCTTCAAGGTGATACCCCCCCGGCCGTGGTACCTCGCGAAGGGCATCACCTTGAGGACCGTATACGGTATTCCGTGCTGCTACCAGGGCTTGAGGGTTCTGCCTGTACAGGGAATTGGGGGACCTTGGGTCACTTGGCAAGGTATGCTGATTCCACCAATGCTGATATGTCATTGGGTTCTGCATTGGATGACCCATACCACGCGGCGGTTGCTGTTGATTGTTGGCAATAGGCTGAAGAACAAACTGTTGGTTCTGATTAGAGGCGTAAGTTAGCCCAGGTTGCGTTGATGTTTGGGGGCAGATGTAGATGGGCACATTCTGAGCGTTGTTTTGGTTGAAGTAAGACATCTTGACGGTATCTTGCACTGCATTGATATGAAAATGAACAGCTTCCTACGAGGGAGAAGCCTCTGCTTTATATACTATGATATGTGAAGTGATTCACTCGTACCGTAGCGCCTGTGGTGTCATGAGAGGCATTGTGTCTTCTTCACCGGTCCTAGGCAGATGAGAATAGATCATATGTAATGTATTGAAATGACTGTAGCTACATGTGATCATCTCATCTCTCAATGGCGTGAATCAATGCTATTTCAATTGATCAAGGGGTGACCCTCTTACTCACACACACATGTATCGGGCTTACATAACGAATCTTATTTGCACAGCCGGCTGTGCGCAAAAGTCACGTGATATTAAACGCACAGCCGGCTGTGCGTGTATGAGACCCCTAGTAGCCTCGAGAGCATTACTTAATCATTATCGCCTAGAGAGTATTGCTTAATTATCGTCGCCTCGAGAGCATTGCTTAATCGTCGTCGGCTAAAATATAGTAGTAGCCTCGAGAGCATTACTTAATTATCATCGGCTGAAATATAATAGTAGCCTAGAGAGCATTGCTTAATCATCGTTAGCTAAAAGGTAATAGTAGCCTCGAGAGTATTGCTTAATCATTATCGCCTAGAGAGTATTACTTAATTATCGTCGCCTCGAGAGCATTGCTTAATCATCGTCGGCTAAAATATAGTAGTAGCCTAGAGAGTATTACTTAATCGTCGTCGGCTAAAAGGTAGTAGTAGCCTCGAGAGCATTACTTAATCGTTATCGCCTAGAGAGCATTGCTTAATCATCATCGCCTCGAGAGCATTACTTAATCGTCATCAGCTAAAATATAGTAGTGGCCTCGAGAGCATTACTTAATCATCGTCGGCTAAAAGGTAATAGTAGCCTCGAGAGCATTACTCAATCGTCGTCGGCTAAAAGGTAGCAGTAGCCTCGAGAGCATTGCTCAATCATCATCGCCTCGAGAGCATTGCTTAATCATCGTCGCCTCGAGAGCATTACTTAATCATCGTCGGCTAAAATATAGTAGTGGCCTCGAGAGCATTACTTAATCATCATCGGCTAAAAGGTAATAGTAGCCTCGAGAGCATTGCTTAATTATTATCGCCTAGAGAGCATTGCTTAATTATCGTCGCCTCGAGAGCATTACTTAATTATCGTCGGCTAAAATATAGTAATGGCCTAGAGAGCATTGCTTAATCGTCGTCGGCTAAAATATAATAGTAGCCTAGAGAGCATTACTTAATCATCATCGGCTAAAAGGTAATAGTAGCCTCGAGAGTATTACTTAATTATTATCGCCTAGAGAGCATTACTTAATTATTATCGCCTCGAGAGCATTACTTAATCATCGTCGGCTAAAATATAGCAATGGCCTCGAGAGTATTACTTAATTATCATCGGCTAAAATATAGTAGTGGCCTAGAGAGCATTACTTAATTATCGTCGGCTAAAAGGTAGTAGTAGCCTCGAGAGCATTGCTTAATCGTTATCGCCTAGAGAGCATTACTTAATTATTATCGCCTCGAGAGCATTGCTTAATCGTCGTCGGCTAAAATATAATAATAGCCTAGAGAGTATTACTTAATCGTCGTTAGCTAAAAGGTAGTAGTGGCCTCGAGAGCATTACTTAATCGTCATCGCCTAGAGAGTATTACTTAATTATTATCGCCTCGAGAGCATTACTTAATCGTCGTCGGCTAAAATATAGCAATAGCCTCGAGAGTATTGCTTAATTATTATTAGCTGAAAGGTAGCAATAGCCTCGAGAGTATTGCTTAATCGTCGTCGGCTAAAAGGTAGTAGTAGCCTCGAGAGTATTGCTCAATCGTCATCGCCTCGAGAGCATTACTCAATCATCATCGCCTCGAGAGCATTGCTTAATTATCGTCGGCTAAAATATAGCAGTAGCCTAGAGAGCATTTCTCAATCATCGTCGGCTAAAAGGTAGCAGTGGCCTCGAGAGCATTGCTCAATCGTCGTCGGCTAAAAGGTAGCAATGGCCTCGAGAGCATTGCTCAATCGTCATCGCCTCGAGAGCATTGCTTAATCATCGTTGGCTAAAATATAGTAGTGGCCTCGAGAGCATTACTCAATCGTCATCGCCTCGAGAGCATTGCTCAATCATCGTCGGCTGAAATGTAGTAGTGGCCTAGAGAGCATTGCTCAATCGTCGTCGGCTGAAATGTAGCAGTAGCCTAGAGAGCATTGCTTAATCGTCATCGGCTTGAGAGCATTGCTCCGAGTCCTGTGACTCCATCCGAACCAGCAACATCGTTGCTGGCCCGTTCTTCTTCCAGCTCGCCTCATTGGCAGCTGCAAGTGGGACCTCGCGTCATCACGGCCTTGGCTTGCGCCTCACCCGCTCCCGCTTCGTCCACCCAGGCATGCCTAGGTCTCGACCTTGTCCACACATCTCGATTACCATTGAAGGGGTCAGTGACTTGGGGCGTGCCTCAGTTTTGGGCCATTCAAGGTTCGTGATGCGGCACAAGGTCTTCCAACGCGTTCCTGCTTTTCCTCGCAGGGAAAGTTCTGCGGGAACGCGTTGAGAGAAAAGAGGAAAGAAGATTCGGAGGCAGTACGGGGGGGTGGGGGAGATATTTAATTACATTCATGACGCCAAGAGGAGACGGAGGGAAAAGGGCCAAATCGGCCGCCAATTTTCTGTACGAGCGCGATCTTCTGGCCGAGTGCGCAGAACGTCCCAAACGTCCCAAACGTCCCAAACATCCCAAATGAGCCCAACATTCCCGCCTGAGGAGTGGGAGGATAACCGCCAAATCGGCCGCCAATTTTCTGCACCAGCGGACCCACCATTTGCGTTTTCAATGGGGGTGGCCGGAAGAAGCGCTCGACGTCGGCAAATGACCAGCACCGCATTTGTCCGTTTTTTGACCAAAATTTTCAGCAGCGGGTGAGTGGATACTCATGGCGGAAATTTACGTTTTCTCCGCGAAGCACATGCACGCCATCCCAACACCCTTGCATCAATTTTCGACACTTTCCCTGTCACTGTCACAAGAGGGTCGACTGAGAGAGCGAGCGGGCAGGTTGAAAGCAGCTTATCACGTGATGAAACGTCCTTGCGAATCACTTTTGGATGCTACTTGAGGGAGCCTCTATCGTTGTTCGCTTTATTGAGGTATCTCAACCTAACACCTACACAACGCGGCTTGAGCCCTCTTTCGACAACGTTTTCGCTATGGCTTCCACGCAGGATCTCGAGCTGCAGCTGCAGCAGCTTTAAGAGCAACAACAGCTTATCTTGCAACAGCAAGAGCAGCTTTTCTTGCGGCTCCAAGGGCAGCTTTCTCAGCAACACCGGGAGCTCAGTCAGCAGCTCCTTCAGCAGCTCACAGGCGCCCCTCCAAGGACCGCCTCGCGGCGGGATCTCCAACGTGCGTCAAAGACAAAACGCAATGTATCGATTCATACGCTTCGATCAGCCGGGTGGGACGATCAGCACATAGCTACACATCTTTGCCTTCAGCTATGGCAAGTTCAACGCGTATCTACTACAATCCATGATACACCTCGCCATCCCTCTGGCCGCCCTCCCCTACCTATGGAGGCCCAAGTGGAAGAATCAATCAAGTTCGTATATGCCTCTAAGAGACTAAGAGAGGCTGGCGGATGGCTTACTGTCTATTATCACAGGAACGAGTCGGGACTGCTTGGTTGATGCTGTCACAGGTGGCCTACGCCGGGCCAGCTTGAAGAGATGCGTGGCATGCCGGAAGCCTCCGGATCACAGAGCCAACGCATCAAAGGAGATTCGCCTTTCCAACGCGCTGCCTTGACTGAATCCTTGGCGATTGGAAAGTCATTACTTGGTCTGATGGGACCTGAGTTACAGGGCGAAGGTGTACACGCGCACCGTTCGCCCGCGGACCCGGCGAGGAGGTCGATCCGGCCTGCGGTATTAAATAGCATAAGCGGAAGTAGGGATGGATGTTCTAGGGCGGCTTTTCTGGGCTCTCAAGCAAGAGCCCTAGGGTCTATTAGAAGAAGGATCGGGGCTTGATAGGAAACTACTAGTTGCATTGAATATATCGTTGCGATATACCATGGATGGCATCATCTTCATCTGCATCAGTAGCCCTTCTCGCAATCACGTCAAATACCGGTTGGTCGAATTCTTGTTGCTGAAGTGCCAGGAGATGAAGAGGGACGGTCAATCAATCGAGATGCCAAGACATCTTGGCTTGCACACGATCAATGCCATGCCTCGGAAGACAAGGGCCATCCTTCTTTATAACGTATGTGATAAGCGTGTGTTACAAACAAGCGAGTGTTATACTATACTGTATAACCGAAAGTGCTAAGATTTAGCGTTTTAAAAATTAACGTATATGATAAGTGAGTGGATCAAACAAGTGAGTAGATCAAAAATCCCTTATCCTCCACCCTCTCTACTTGATTAATTGATTCTTCACCACTAAGTATGTCACAGACAAATTATGAGGCAAGAATCCTTCTGGCACTTCATGCCTATCAAAATAACCCCAATCTAGGTCTTAAACGCGCTGCAAAGACCTATAAAGTTGGTTATGGTATACTATGGCGCCGATATAATGGCATTTAGTCTTAGCGCGATACCACCCCCAAATCACACAAATTATCCGATCTAGAGGAATAGATCATAGTTTAGTTTATCCTAGACCTAGACTCGCGAGGTTTCCCCCTACGACTGCGTGGTATAGAAGAAATAGCTAACCGACTGCTCGCCGACCGGAATGCACTACCCGTCGGTAAGCGCTAGGCTTCTAACTTCGTTAAGCGATATGATAAGCTTAAGACGCGCTTTTTTCGTAGATATAACTACCAGAGGGCCAAATGCAAAGATCTAACTAAGATTCGAAAGTAGTTTAAGCTCATAGAGAACACAATCGCTAAATACGGTATCGACCTGGCCGATATCTATAACTTCGATGAGGTTAGCTTTATAATAGGCGTTATTGCAAACGGAATAGTCGTCATAGGCACAGAAAGGCGTGTAAGACCGAAATTAGTGTAGCCTGGAAGCCGGGAATGGATTACTGTCATCTAGGCGATTAATGCGGAAGGCTAGGCGATCCCGCCGTTTATTATAGGTGCGGGCCAGTATTACCTCGCCAACTAGTACCGAGATAGCAATCTCCCGGACGATTAGGCTATTGCAACGTCTCCTAATAGCTGGACCGATAATAAGCTGGGTCTGGAGTGGCTGAAGCACTTTGACCGGTATACTAAGACGCGATCGGTTGGCCGCTATCGTCTTTTAATCCTCGACGGCCACGAAAGTCACTACTCTCTCGAGTTTAAGAAATATTACTAGGCAAATAAGATTATTACGCTCTTTATGCCGCCTTATTCGTCTTATCTGCTTTAGCCCCTCGACGTCGGGTACTTTAGCCTACTCAAGAGGGCATATGGTCGAGAAATCGAGCATCTAATGCGATGCTCTATAACCCACGTTTCCAAGACCGAGTTCTTTCCAGCATTTTATGTAGCATTTCAGGCCACTATGATAGAGAAAAATATTAAGGCAGCTTTTAGAGGGGCTAGTATTATTCCTCTTAATCCGGAAAGTGTGATTTCGAAGCTTAATATGTAGCTATGGATGCCGACGCCGGCTAAGGAGGAGGCCGGGCTCTCTACTACTTGGGTTTCAAAGACGCCAAAGACGGTCCTTAAGGCCGAATCTTAATCTAAATACCTCGATAGACAAATCAAAAGGCATCATAGTAGCTCGCTAGAGTTAATACTGGAAGCATTAAAGTCGCTTTCCAAGGGAACAAAGGCAACTATGCATAAGCTTGCCTTATTGAGGGCCGAGGTCCGCGATCTTTAGCAGGCAAATAAGACACTAAGCCGGCAGCGGAGGGCAAAACGGAGGCGACTACAGAAAGGAGGAGTAATAATAGTAGGGGAAGCAAGGGAAGTAATTAATTAGATGAATATGGATGGGTAGGTAGAGGGGGAATCGTCGAGAAGTAGTAGTCAAGGAGGGTCAGGGCGACCGAGGGAAAGGCGCTATGGAGGATATGGCAAGACGGGGCATAATACAAGAACATATCAGATAGTTATTGCAATATCTAAAGAAGAGTATAGCGACTAGTTTTAATTAATTAGATGATTTATTGTGTTTTTATAGAATTTTTAATTGAGAAGGGTAAGGATTTTTAATCCACTTACTTGTTTAATCCACTCACTTATCGTATACGTTATAATCTATGCTATATTAAAATTTCTTTTATTTTAGGCATGATTTAAATTTAGAAGGGTTTATTTTCAGTCGAGTGTAAGCTAGTATAAATTTTCAATGTAACACTCACTTGTTTGTAACACTCGCTTATCACGTACGTTACTATTAAATCTTTAAAAGTCTACTCTTCTAAAATCGTTTCTGGTTTTAGTGAAGCAGTGACAGCCCAAACACAACAAAGTCGATGCCTAGGTAAACTCATGAGATGTTCCACGTAATTAGTGATCAAAAAATAGAGGCAAAGAAGGAAAAGACATTTCAAGCATCCAAACATCGCCACCAAAACACCTTTTCCCCTTTATCTATAGCTCCATTTGAACTGATGCTTATCTCGTCCTAGGAAGTAGAGAGAGCTCATTCTGAAATCGCGAGGCACCGAGGTAACCCTATCACGAATCTACTCGATGAAATAGGGTATCCTACCCTGGATAGGCTACGTCACTCGGAGGACCTTGTCTTAGAATGTGCCACCGACACGGCACGAGACATCGATATCGATTCCTAGACTACATGAACAAAAAGCGCAAAAAAGAGAAGAAACCCTTTGTTGGCCACACCATCATAATATCTGACTCTCATATGGTCTTTAGCAACGAGGTTCGCTGCCTTTAATGGACATCTCGATAGGGTCCATTGTTGCATGTTCTCCCGGCACGAAGTGACGCACTTGGTCTTGTTCTCCTTGCAATAGAGTCTCGGCCGTCTGAAAAAGGGGCAGCAAGATGTTCTCAACTAAATTATTCGGCAGTTCTCGTGCTCTACAAACGTTCAGCGTCTCAATATATTCCCTTTGAGATGAAAGATATCACTCACTCCTCGCGCATTGTCGAAACCCTGCAGGCAACCATGTCAGAAAAAAAGGCAAAGCAGAAGTTCAAGGTCGATACTTACTGTTGTACTACTTCCCTCATTCTATCCAACTCAATCGTCAGCAGGAGCGGCGACCGGGGGGGGGAAGGGGGGAAGGAGCCGAAGGCGACTACGTACTGCTGAACCAATTCCCTCGTTCTGCCCGGTAAAATGGTTAGCATATAGAGGCAAGAAAGCGAGATCACTCGACCTATCCAAGTACTGACGTTTTGTCTATGTCATGAATTCTAAAGAAATGAAGTGTCAGCGCACGATACGTCAAAGTGAAGCTAAGGCCAATCCAGAGGGGAAGGGTTTTTTTTTGTTGGGAGAATCACTGTTTGCTTTGTACCCTGGCAATCTCAATCATCTGGTTCATGCGCTGCTCCAGCTCCGGATGATCCTGACACGCATTCTCCTCGCCGTAGTCGCCGACAAAACCGTCGCCATAGTCGCCGACAAAGTCGTCACCGTAGTTACCGACAAAACCCTCACCATAGTTGCCTCTACGATTTGTTCAGCTCGTGCATATCAGAGAGGCTCTCTATGCTGGTATAAAACGAACCTTTCATCTTGGTAGCCGGGACCTTCGTCTCCTGCTGGCTGGTAAGCTGGAGACTGCGGATCAAGCCGGGCAACTGTCCTTTGCCTCAGAAGAGTCGACTGGGGTGGGCCCGCAAACTGTCGGTGCTGTCGGTGACGAGACCAAACATTGGGTCTGCATAGCCTCCAGGCTATCCGATACTGGGTCGTGGTGTATGGTTGCGCACGAGAGACATGGGCCCTATGGCGATGTCTTCGCGGAGGATATTTCATGATGAGACGCGCAGTCGAAATTGGGAATGAAAACGATGATTAGAGAGAGCGGACATGAAAAACTGCGGGTGAAATTCTTCGATCATCAAAGGTGCTCGGCAGCACTCGAAATATACACCCACGGGCCTGAAACGCTAACGGTGGCAGCGACCAACAGGTGCAACAAGGGGTAACCACCGAGGTCCAGCCCGATGGGAAATGGCTCTTGGCAGGCTCGAACAGCTGTTTGTCTCGTATTGTTCCACCACTCAAAAGGAGCAGATAGTGACTCGTACATCGGCGCGGAACCTGCGATTGTGGGTAAAACAAGGTGCGAGCCTTTTGTCCATCAACTGCCTGATATTGTGCCCATGCATCATTCCATTACCTGCTCATCTCTGTTGCTCAGATCCAAAAGGCAAGAAACGGCCACTATTGTTCCCGGGGCAGCCGCGGCGGGTACTAGTTAGTGCCAGGCCGGCCGTCCGTTGCGCGCCGGCCGATGATTGCCACGTTGAAAAGAGGCCAATTGATGGTCCTGCCGCGGGGCTCGTCTGGTGCGCCCCGAGTGGAGAGGTGCTGAAATTAGAGTGGATCCAATAGAAGCTAGAGCCACTTCGAGTGCGACAAACGGACCTGATCATCACGTCGGGAATCAGCTGCAATAATGTTAAATGTGGCTACAAAATGACAAATCGATGCAGATGGCCCGATAATGTTGAAGTTGATAGGTCACTTAGATACGAAGCCGATCGGACTGAATTGGACAGATGCAAAGGGCGCGGAAATCACCTTTTGTTTCCCCACTGAAAAATCCAAGGTTTTCGCTCTTCGTCAAAGCGCCGAAAAAGGGATCGGGTACGACTCGTTCCTCGCTTACTCGTTGACAGGAACCGATCCTTCCGCAGACGTTTCGGGACCGTTGAGTGATATACCGCCCCGCTGATCCGTGCGGGTTCTGCAAGGATTCAGGTCAGCTGCCATTCCTGCATGTCCATACCTGCACGACATGTTCCGCACGCCATACCTGCATGTAATACCTGTATGTAACACCCTGCATGTTCGCGCCGTCATGTTACTTGCTCCCATGGCGGGAAAACTCCCCAGACGAGAACAGCTCCAGTAGCTTGACCGCGAGGTCAAAAATGTACGATAACAAAATACAAGCCCTGAAATTGCCCAAACCACTCAGCGATGAAGTGCCTATGGGTCACTGAGCCGTTGAAAAGGGCTCTGTGCCTGACGGAGTTGTGGAGTTGTGGGGCTGAACGGCTTTCGGGGCTGAATTCGCATCTCCGGGCGGTTCCAGATCCTGTTCACAGTGGAAGACGATATGGTTCACAGCATGGCCAGAGACGCTAGACGTCCGAGTCAATGATGCGGATGGGTCGTTTGTAGGGGAAGGGCTTCCTAAGCGTGGAATGCAACAGCCGAATGAGTTCTTCACATAGCTCATCCAGCAGTGCATCTTTCAGCTGGTTTATCCACGCTTAAACCAGCCAAAATGCCAAATGAGCCAATTGCGAGAAACCTGCAATCCAGAAGCCGTTGTAAAACTTGTCAAGCTTGTAAAACCTACTGCGCCCTCAAACCGACCAATTTTGGCTTATCGGCCTACTAGGGTGTCCGATCATGCACGTATCGAAGGTGGTTAACATTCCTGGAAAGCTCACTGTCGGATGTTTGTCCCGCCTGCTGTCAGCCTTGGCGCGGCTCGATGGACGGTGGCTGAAATTGACCTCATGTAGCCAAACCAGAACGTCGCACGCACCATTTCGGCCGTAATGTAATGCATCCCGATCCCTGCGCACTGCAAGCGTCTACGTGACAGCAAAGCCCACCACCCCTTGCTGGTTTCGGTAGGGATGTGCGCGCTTCATACGATGGGATCCATTGCACGCTCATTACGGTAGATTTTCGTCGTGTTGTCCCACTAGGGAAGAAAAAGAAAAGGAAAAAAAAAAGAAGAAAAAAAGTCCGTTCAAGTGAAGCGCTTGTGGTCAAAAACGGCTGCCTTGTAGTATGTATATCTGCGGCCGATCACGACTTGTCCATCAAGGCAGAATGCCACTTTTGTCCACAATTTAATCATTTACACGTATTGCAGTTTTGTCGAAAATCCCACGTCGTGACACCATGAACGCTCAGGACCAGGCAGACAATCTTCACGCTTCCTCTATTGGCCCTATCCCCAGTCTCAATGACTTCGACCCTACCAACCATACAGTTCGGGAGCGGCCTGAAGACCTCAACCAGCACGATTTGGATTTGCGGAAGAATCAAGAGGAGCTATCCCCGTCTAAGTCGGGGAGGAACTATTTTCGGCCAGCCTACGCCCGAAAGCCTGGCTCAAAGAAGAACTATCTTCGGCTAGTATACGCCCGAAAGGCGCGTAAGCGCTTTTTGCCAAGGGCCATCGGCCGAAGGAGGGATGAGAAAACTTCCTGCATTGTACTCTTTTGGGACTTGAATAGCAAGTCTTGGGTGAGCACAAGATCCATTGCTGAAAAAAATCCCGACGTAAATACCGAGGTATGTAATTTTACCTTGCTTTGATTTATTTTGATTTACACCTAGATGTCATTCATTTTTTCTCGACCAAATACTGAGAAGGCTTTAGAACTTCCCCTGCCAGTCAGAACTCACTCCAAAAAGCGGGCGCACGTGTGACATTTCACATCTCGTGGCGTACTACAGTCCCTCCACGCGGTGCTGGACTGGTCAGGCTTACGTGCCTTCGAACCAACCCACGCCGGACTGGAATTGCGTTGTAAGCTTGTTTGAGATCAAAGTTTAACTCCGGTTGAAGCTAACAAGGACGATAGCTTGACACTATTTGAGGTTACGACTCATTTGTGGGGAGGATGGCCAGAAGCCAAGGTTGGCCGGCTCCTGCTGTTGAGGGTCTGCGAAAGCGAGTTGCTCCTATACCATATATATCCGGATAGGTGTCAGACACGCGTTGTCCCTATAATGATGGAGATGGGTTATCAGAGGATGGAGAAGTGCATATGGAGTATGCAGAACCGAGAATGATTGATTTAGGATGACGATCATGTCTGTGACTGATCTGTAGATGTGTTATCTCCTTCTTATTCTTCGTTCTCCCTCCTCGTCTCTATATCTGACGAGGCGAGGCCAAGATACTAGATCTGCTGATCCTGCAACAGGTCTGTACATACAGTAGCTCGTCTACAGTAATAGCTCCTTGGGGAAGCTTCTGTATGAATGATACTTCCCAGGCTACCTTAACTGCAGCCCGGGTCGAAAGCGGTCCTCGAAACAAGCTTCCACTCTTTGGAGGTGCTCGACGACGCCCATAACTGGCTTCACTATCCAAACTCGATGTCGTCGCAGAGACTAGGCAGAAGAAATGATAGAACGCAGCGTGATCGGTAGTATACACATGGTGGAGGACAAATTCACGCAGTAGAACTTGAATTCGTACTTATCTCACTACATCAATATCAGAGAAATGATGGGCAATTAAGCCCCATCCTCATTCTAATCTTCCCCTCGTAGTTATGTGTGATTTGGAGTTTTACCTACCCTACAGTTGGTAATCTACCATTTTGTACCTCCATCTAGATCTGGAAAAGTTTATTCTTCCCCGCCGCTGTTAGCGGATTGCTAGCGGGCGGGGATTTTTCTGGCTACCCGACCATGCTTTTTTGCCTTTGAGAAACCATCGGGGCCTTAACGGGCACGGACAAAAAGACTTTAGGAGAGCTCATGTCGCCGAACGTCGCGACTGCCTTTCGGAACCAAGACAGATCGGGAGTATCGGAAGGCGCGCAAGACCCTCCAAACAACGACGGCTAGTCGCAGATGCTTTTCTCTCTGACGGCAAGCTGCACGCCAGGCTTGGATTCCTTCCATGTGCCTGCTCGTTCGCTCCTCCTATGGCAGGGAAGACATCCAAGACAGATCCAGAGCGATAGGATAGCGCGTCGGCGCTTCGGGGAGAAAACGTAAATTTCCCGCCACGAGTATCCATCGACCCACTGCTGAAAATTTCGGTCAAAAAAAGGACGCTAAAGTCATTTGCCGACGCCCAGCACTTCTTCTGGTCACCTCCATTGAAGACGCAAATGGCGGGTCCGCTCGTTCAGAAAATTGGCGGCCGATTTGGCACTTTTCCCTCCCACTCCCGAAGACGGGGAAAGTTGGGCTCATTTGGGACGTTTTGCGCGCTCGACCGGAAGGTCGCGCTAGGCCAGAAAATTGGTGGCCGATTTTGGCCCTTTTCCCTCCGTCTCCCCTTGGCGTCATGAATGTGATTGAATATCTCCCCCATCCCCCCCGGCACTGCCTCCGAATCTTCTTTCCCCTTTACTCTCAACGCGTTCCTGCAGGACTTTCCCTGCGAGGAAAAGCAGGAACGCGTTGGAAGACCTTGTGCTGCATCACGAACCTTGAATGGCCCAAAACCGAGGCCCCGACCCAAGTCACTGACCCATTCAACGGCAATCGAGATGTGTGGACAAGGTCGAGACCTAGGCATGCCTGGGTGGACGAAGCGAGAGCGGGTGAGCAATGCTCTCAAAGCCGGCGATTGCGCAATGCTCTAAAAGGCAAAGGCTACGATCGCACATAAGCCAACGGACTGGGCAATGCTCTCCGAGGCTACGATCACCTTTCACGAGTCATAGAACTCCTCTGAAAGGCCCAAAATACTTCATATTTAGTTTTTTCCAGCTGGCACTCATACGTTAATGGCCTGATCATCCATTACCAGCTGGTTTTTTTTCCCCTAGACAGTTGCTGTATAGACAGCTTTCCTGCTTTTTCATAGGCCTTAAGTTTTCTCTCTCTCTCTCTTTTTTTTCTCTCTTAACTTCCGTTCCTATCATTTTCACATGTGACCAAATGTGAATTCTTGCTGTGTCTTCCTACCCTATCGAGCCAATGGCTAGAACGCATAGTCCCTAACTCACTGCTTTTTAAAACTTGCCGCACATGTCAAATTTCCTAAACTTCGACTTCTCGGCCTATGAGCGCAACCGACGGCGTGACCGATCATGGATTCATGGGCCAACCTTGGCGACGGCGGAACTTGGCCAAAGTCCCTCGGAAACTCATTTTCGATGTTGGTCTTGCCCACTGTCAGCCTTTGCGCGCGCCTTAGAAGGCTGGTCGCTGAAACTGGCCTCTCGTTGTCAAAGCAGCGCACCGCACGTATCATTTTAGCTGCATGAGTGGCGTTAGTAACGTGGGAGCAGGAGCCGTCGGGTGGCGGTAGCTCTTGGACTTGATGTGTCGAGAGTGTGCGAACACATGCTTCCGGCGAGGCCTCGCCACTCTTGAGAACGCAGACGCGTAAAAGAGCCGGAGCAAGGCACCATGGTCTAAGATAGGCATATTCAAACATCATGTTATCCAGGCCATGGAGGCAGCCCATGAAGTGTGTTAGGTGACGATCAAGATAATTGAGGAAAGCGGACAGACAACCCACGGACCTGAGGCGAAAGGCTATAGAGATATCGCAGTAACGGACCCTCTATTTCCATGTCCCCATCATCCGTCCACTGAGACTAACCTCGTACAGTAGGACAAGCAGAAGCTTGGTCCGGAAACTTGGCACTTTTCACTCGGTGGTAAGATGGCTTCTGGCTGCCATTTGCTTACACCGTAAGATCAAATAGCTCTCAAAATCGGCATCTCACACGCCATGTTACTTACACCTCGTTCATCAAAGAAGTATTCTAGCAGCTCTTAACTCTACCCCCTCTAGGCATTTGTGACTCTTCCACAGTGTTGTGGGTACGGAGCTTGGCTGCTTGGCCTGCTATTGGGGGCTTGGGTATTCTGAACCCACAAAGAGGCAAGTCACTAAGGAGGGTCTTCCTTGGGCTGACCCAAACAAGACGGATGGCCAGGGACCCGCTTCGGAAGGCGAAGCTGGCGAACTCCACCCAGGCATACTGCAAGCCTGAATGCGATCGAGCCCTCACTATATATATCAGTGCAACTCTTGCCTTGACTTTCGCTCAAACCTGCCATCATCACACACCAACGTTTTCGTTTATCCACCTCCACAAGATACCTGCGATGCAGCGTTCAGCGCAACACCACTCGATGGCGGAGAGCAAACAGCCCTGCTTGGAAGGCCCGGATCGAGGCGAGAAAGCCGCCGCGCAGAGTCTCATTGGGGCTTACGATGCCGATATTGCAGCTCGAAGCCCCGGCAACCCCTTGAGCGCGGTGAACCTTTCTACTGCAAGTCCCAGCTCCATAGAAGAGTATGACGAACTGCGCAAAGAGGTTTTATTCCGTGAGAGGGCGCTGGACTTTGATTACAGCTGCCAGCAGGAGGCTACACCGCGTGAGCGGCTTGCTGATGCCATCATCCGAGGGCTGAGGGCCCAGGACGATGCCAATATCTACGGGAAAGCTCCACCTAGGACGGGCTATGGGGGTCAACGTCACCCTAGGTTTGCCGGCGACCATTTCCTGTCCAGCAGGGAGCTTATTGATCGAACGGAGTTATTCAAAGTCGCTCAGCGCATGCCCAAGGGCAGTCACTTGCACATCCACTTCAATGCTTGCCTGCAGCCTGACGTGCTGTTGGGAATCGCCAAGGGCATGGACCGCATGTTCATCATGAGCAATCTGCCCCTCGTTCCGGACAACGGCTACGAGAACTTTGATCGGTGCGAGATCCAATTCCAGATCATGAAGCCGGAAAGGGAACGTCTGGGCGATTTGTTCTCCGCTACATACACTCCTTGGCAGCCCATGAGGTTTCAAGAGTTCAGGGACCGGTTTGGCCAATATTATAACAAGGCCACGGCCGATGGCTGGCTACAGGATAAGCTCATGTTCCACGAAGAAGAGGCGCACAATAACCTGCAGACAGCATCCGGGTAAGTTCTGTGCTGCCTTTCCAGTGTGAGTTTCCAGGAAGCGAAAAACTGATACCGTCCAGGGCATGGGAAAAGTTCAACGGGCGAACGAGAATGATGAAGGGATTATTTAACTACCAGACGGCCTACAAAGCATACACACGGCGGTTACTCGAGAACTTGCTGGAGGACAACATCATCTATGCTGAGATCAGACCCAACTTCATGATGAGCAACCAGCTATGGAAGGACGACGGTTCTGAGCGCATCGACAATGAGGGCATCATGAAGCTCATCATCAAAGAGGTGGAGAGCTTCCAGGCGAAAGTGAAGCGCGAAGGCAAGTTCTTTGGCGGCCTCAAGGTTATTTACTGCACGCCCCGGTCATTCAGTCCCGATCAAATTAGGGAAGCCCTTGACGAATGCCTTACGTTCAAGAAGAAGTGGCCACGGTGGATCGCGGGTGAGCAAATAGATACCCACGCGCAAGGGCTGAAACGCTGACTCCAGGATAGGCTTCGACCTCGTCGGCGAAGAGTCCAAGGGGCGGCCCATCAAGGACTTTGTTCCAGAGCTCATTGCGTTCCAGGAGAAGTGTGCGGATCAGAACGTGGAGATCCCATTCCTCTTTCACTGCGGCGAGACCTTGGACATGGGCTCGGATACCGACGGTAACCTGGTCGACGCGCTGCTCCTCAAGTCGAAGCGAATCGGCCATGGTTTTGCGCTCGCAAAGCACCCGTACATTATGCAGCTCATGAAGGAACGAGGCATCTGCCTAGAGCTGTGTCCCATCTCCAACGAGATCCTTGGGCTCACCCCGCGTGTCAGTGGCCATGCGATGTATCAACTGCTGGCCAACAACGTTCACTGCACCATCAGCTCAGATAATGGGACGCTATTTCGGTAAGCCACTGCTGGCAAGTTTCTGTCTCTGAATTTACTGACAGGTATCCAGGTCGACTCTATCACACGACTTTTACCAGGTTATGGTAGGCAAGGCTGATATGGGGCTGTTCGGCTGGAAGCAGTTTATCCAATGGAGCCTGCAGCACGCCTGCCTCGATGGCGCCGAACACGACCGCATTTATCGTCAGTGGGAGCAACTGTGGGATAAATTTATCAGGTGGGTGATTAAGGAGTATGGCAATGCATCCTCGAGAAATGGATCAAGCCAGGTAGAGGGCGTTTGATTCACCTGATGCCCAGCGTTCGAGGAAAGACCCGATTCCGCAGGGAACGAGACTCGGTTACGATGAGTTCTGTATTATTTAAGTAGCTAAGGGCTGCAAAGCAGGTTGGTAGATTTTGTCTGAAAGAAAGAAAGGCTTTCAACAGCGATGAAGTTGCTATATATACTCCAATGTGTCTAATATGGCGCATTACATGGTGTGACTTGCACAACACATAATGTGGTCTATGGGGGTCTTGAAGACGTAGCTACTTCCAACACCCTGTGCCGCCTTATCGTCTGATTATGTTCACTAGCAGCAAGATATACGTGTCAAATAGAGAGGGAGCTGTATATACGACTAAAGTGAGTAGAAAACAAAAGAAGCCCCGGCTAGTTGCGTACAGTAATTCCTAGTTGCTGTAGTATATCTTGCACTGGAGGCACCTCTGGCCTGTCCTCCTGTGCTGCCACCAGACTCGCATATACCTCTTCCAGTTCTTTGTGCGTAGCCCATCTGCCTTCCCTCCTCTTCAAGTACCCTGAGCAACACCTCGAATGAGGTGGGTACGACTGGGGGAAATGATAGTGATAGAATTGCCGGTCGTCGTCAGGGAAGGGAATCAATCAATCCACGGACGCCCGTCGTGGACGCTAAGTACGTTTTCAGGTAGCTAAGCGATGATGTAAGGTTGGCACGGCTCGTTTGAAGGGACGTGCCATCCTAGTCGTCAATCCACGAACGTCCTTCGTGGATTGATTCCCTTCCCTGGTCGTCGTTGTTTGTGCTGCATTCAGCAAAGTTGAATAGGCCGGGCAGGTCGAGGGCCTTCGCATAGTCTTTCGAGACCATTGTTATTCCCCATTCCTGGAACGTCACCGCAACGGCACATTCAGCCCTGACAGACGAGGCAAATTGATGCTCAATTTCGGTCCTATGCAAAGCGCATGATTCGGGAAATACGTTCCAGAAGACTTGCAAGCGCTTAGGCCACAGAACTTGGAAAGAGCAGACAACCTCTTCGCCGTCGATGTGTCGTAGTAAGACAAAACGAGCTCTATATCTTTGAACAGTGCTGTGTTGTATGAATTTGCAAATGACTCGAAGACCTTGGCCGAATCAAAACAAAGCCTTACTGGCGTTTTTATAATGCCGGCGTTTAGGTTTTCTCTACAAAACAGTGTCAGAACTGCCGAAACAAAAAAGGGACCTCCCTCGACTTACATAACTGTGCATGCCTTTCCGAAACACTTCGAATCTGCCACGCTGGAGGGGTTTTGGTTACAGGCGACGAAGCACAATGACTCCTCGCCAAACATGTCTGTTGCTGTTGATTTGACGTGTACCACCACGGGCTCGGGCACCGCGCCTCGATCGGCCTCGTACGTTGTCATTTCTGGTGCATCACCCATGGCTGGCCAAACGGTCATAGTGGAAGCAAAGATTGGAGAAAAGTTTCCAGACTGTCGGCGGGCAAAAAGTGCAGATCCCTCTAAGAAGCTGACTAATGCCTGGGTTACCTTGGCCTAAATTGGCATAGTGCCTCCTACAAAAATCTTTTCTTTTGTGGTCAGGATCAATACCACGGAAGTGTAAATGGCTTAGCGTATCTAGCGGCCCTATGAGATTAGTTCTCCCGGGCGTAATAAAACATACATACGGAGTACATACATACAAAAAATCATATCACGTGATGAGCTTATTTCAACGTCGTCGGAGGCCGGTTGAGAAAGAAGAGAAATTTGAGTCTGGTGTTCGAGTATCGAATCATGTGATCACAGAGCTTAAATGGGACCGAAATGTGAGGTGGCAAATTGACGGAACATGCGGAACGTACTAAATGAACAAACAAAACAGCTACCGAGGCAATAAAGGCCAAAATGGGCCGGAAAGTATGAGTCGTTGAAATGGGCTCGCTCGCAAAGCCCGGGATAGGTGAAACGCCCCCAAAAGTAAAAAGGGCTGAAAAGTGAAAGCCAAACCGGACTGGCCGATCTCTATCTTCTGCTCGACATCAAACATCGACTCGAGACTCGAAAGTTTCAACGGCAAATCTTACCCGTAACCTTTAGAGCCCACTCTGTTCAAGCTCCGCCTTGGTATCGCGTCGACGGTTACTTGGTAGCCAAAATGGCACAAAAAGTTCGCAGGCCTAACGCTTGCCGAAGTAATTTTCCGTTTGCCGAGGCTAAACATCAATCACCCCATGCCTTCAGTGCCAAGACGCGGAAGGACAGTAGGCTTGATTAGACTGAACGATGGGGAACAATTCCGCCAAACTGCTTTCTACCTCTCCACTCTCTCATCAAACAAGGCTCCATCAGCCCCCACTCGGTGAACCCTGCGTACATATTGAGGTTACATACTATGTACTAAGTACGGTTGAAACGGGCATCATGCTAGTGATCAGCGGCCATCATCACTCTCATGAAACGATGGTGTATCCCCACCATGTGGGCGCTTCTTGCGCACGGCCTAAAGTCAATGTAACGGCGGGTGCACGCCGTGCTTGAAGAAATGGATATTGGCTTTCAAAAGCAATCTTCTTTTGGCTGCTACGTGGTGTCAGATAATCCGTACGGTACGAGATTAGCGGCCGAAGGAGAAGAGCACGGTCGTCAATGCAGAACACTTGTTCCCGACTTCTCGACCCGGCCTATCAAAGCCCTGAGTCCCATCTTTTCGGAAAAGTCGCTCCTTCTAGCTGACCCCTGGCAGGATGGGATGAAAGGGAAGAAGTTGGCCGCTAAGCCATTCGAAGTACTCGAGTGGCTGAGCCGAGCTACTCTCGGCATCATCGTAAAGGCGGGCCTCGGTTACGATATCGATTCCCTAGAGCATCTCGAAACCCCCATTAGAATAGCATATCAGCTCATGTTTTCGTTTGACTTTTGGTCCCATGCCTTCATTACCGACCAGGATGAATCGAGATATGGACCGTGCGTGCGACATCGTAGTGGAACCCCCGTGCCTCAGGCATTTTGGCAAGGGGCGAGGGGGTTTGCAGCTTGCTCAGTACGTATGAACTCGGGCGCGACGACTCGACCGCCGTCCCGGAAGCATTAGAAATGTGAAGAGTAGTGTTGCTGGCCCGGGGACGGAATGCCCCTAAAGATATCGGCGATAGAGCAGTAACGCAGGACCGAGCATCTGCGACGACGGACAAGTAGCTGAGATGGTGCAACATTGTTTCTCTCGGCGCACGAAGGGGATACACAACATGGATGCATGCGGCGAATAAGACAAACGAAGTCAAGAAGTCTTTCGTCAATTGTTAGAGGGGAGGGCGCCGTTGAATGGGGAGAATCATGCACGCAAACTACGGGTTATACAGACAGCAATCAAGTCTCAATGGAGACAGAAAGAATGAGTGCGAGTCAGGGCGCAAGGACATACGGCCCCGATTTGGGGATCATGCTTTAATTGTTGAAGATAGGATCTTGAACACTTGAAGAGGCATGCCTTGAGGAGTAAGGTCAAGCAAGGCAGCCAAAAGGGGGTGTAAGAAGAGAGAGGTAGGGCTTTTGGCTGGTACAAGCCCAATTGCTGCAATTTTATCCTACATATCCTACCCAGCGTGTTGTTCGGCCCTAGGAGGCTCGCCTGACACTTTGCAGGCTGTTCGGGGTGCGCTGTTTGTTCACTGGTGCATGGCCGGATCAAATCGTCTACATTATCCTGCAGATGGAACTGATAGAAAAGCATGTTGAAGATTGATACGGTGTTGAAACTTTAGCTAGAGGAGCCTATGTCTCTTTACCAAAGGCCTTGTCGCTGCTTATGTCTGTTGCGAATCTTGTCTCAGCACCTCCAACCACGCCGATACCTGCTTGTTGACCTCGGCAGGTGATTCCCATAGAGCCCAGTGGGATGCTTCGACCTCCCCACGAGTCAAGTCCTCAAAGTATTGGTCCATCCCATCCGACATGCTCGGTGGTGATTCTTCGTCCCTCGTAGCAGCGAGAAAGAGCGCTGGCATAGAAAACTTGATCGGCTTTAGCAAGAGTTGCAGCTCGTCAAAATAATTGTGCGCGCGTGTGCGATACCAGTTGAGGGGCCCCTTCAGCTTAGGTTCTCCCTTTCGAAAATACTTTGAAGTATAATGGTCCAGATCATCGCCCGAGATGAGTCGGGATTGGCCCAGTTTAGGGAGGTTGCCAAAGAGAACGCCCTCTGTGACGCTGAATCCGACCTCACCCTCAGGGCTGGTCCCTCTAAACATGGCATTGAGAAATTGTCGAACCCTTTCTTCGTCCCTTATCTTGTCTTCGATCTCGGTACCCCTAAATTGTGACTGGTACCTCGAATTTATCAGACCTTTGCTACGAGCAGCATCGTCTGGTGAAAGAAAGACCGACGAAGGCGGAGTGAAAGGGGTGCCGATGCTGAAGACGCCCTGAACAAGACTGGGAAACCACATGGCAGTGCGCCAGACCACGGCGCCACCCCAGTCATGTCCACCAAGGATGATTCTTTTGTCTTTGACAATCGCGTTTGCCAGTTCTTTGATGTCTTCGGCAATGCTCTTCAACGCATACTGGCTCGGCTGGTCAGGTGCATCAGTATCGCCGAAGCCGAGCATGTCCGGCGCCACGACCTGATAGCCCAGTGATGCGAAATGCGGAATCTGGTATCGCCAGCCGAAGCCCAGATCTGGAAATCCGTGGATGAGGAAGATTGTTGCAAGGGGCTCTGTTTCCGGATCAGCCCGCAGATAGTGGTATGTTTTGCCACGGATAGAAGCTGTGTCCGGCGTGACCCTCGGGTCGTTGGCCTCTAGCTTGTCGAACTCCATTTTTGCCTAGATCGAGGGCCTAGCGGTATTGACGCTAACCTGGCTGACAGTTGGAAAGACGGTGAAAAGGAATATCTTGCGCGGGACGGGAAATGGGATGCTGAAGAATGTGTTTAGCAATGATAGTTCTGGCCTGAATCTGATACAGTGGAGGATGATTTATAAGTGGAGGATGATTTATAAACCAGTACTTAATACGACGTATTACGACTCTGGGCCGATTTTTGCTTTCGAAAATGTGTGTGACAAAGAACAGATGAGGCTCTGCATGCATTGGAGTCGATCGTAGCCTCGATATGGCGCAGCCGAGAGAGGTAACAAAACTTAGCGGGGCTTAAGTGGACGAGGACGCAAAAGATGAAAGTCAGTTTTATCCATAATGCCACAAAAAGTGTCCTCTTTGTCCTACCATGTAGCCTTGGAAACATTCAAAATCATCCTACGCCTTCTGTGGTTGGATTTTCAGCTGGGTCATCCGACATGTGGATCTCTACGTCTACTTGGCGGGTCACGAAAGTTGACGATCGGGCGAATAACACTGTAATGCAAGGCACATCGACACCAAACGTGCTATGGGAATCTGGTTCATGGGTAAAAAGCACCGACGCGGGGGCGGTATTCGGCGCCAGTTGACATGAAGGCGTGGCTTCGAAGAATAGTCTCGTCGACTCTGTCTCGTAAAAGGATAAAGTGACGCCCATCGTCACAGTAAGAAATCTCCGGCTCCTGTTTTCCCTTCATTTTCGCCTCGCTTGAATCATTCTTATCCGGCACTATCATCCGAACGAGAGACCAGAAGAAAGCAGCCCACGGCATCGCCATGCGGCAAACTTGATCCGGTTACGTCGACGATATAATGCCACTCTCCTAGGCTCGGTTGTCGTTGGCAAACCCGGGAATGGTTTCGTTGTACGTAACTCAAGGCGAACGGCCCCTTTCATTGTCCCTACTAGGTAATATTCATGCCCCATCGTTCAGTCTCGACACGAAGCCATGCGAATTCAGCGTAATGCAGCTGCCGTACCGTAGAATAAAATCACTGCTTTGATCCCATGTCTCCCGATATCGTCTTCTGGAAGCAATCAAAAGATGCTTTCCAAAACAGTTGACTGCTCCGCGCATCGCGCCGTGAACTTATCATCGGTTTCACTGTTTCGAGCCCATTGACACTCATCACGTCGATGATGTCCACTGCTATGGTTGAGTTACAGGATCGAGGGGCGCCGCAGGGTTCAGGACTTACTATGATTAGAGGCAATGACTTCATGTGACCTGTGGAATATTTCTGGCCCATGACTGCGCGTCAAGTCTTTCATCACACGTTTCGGTATGTCTTCAGGCCAATACATCCAATATACTCGAGCAAAGACATGATACGGGTCAGCAGCCCTAATCTCCAGTATATAGGCGATCCAGTCTCTCTCGGGCCTCTTCGGATCCCTGACAGCGTGCTCTGTCGGGCTGTCCTGGCTCGCCAACCGGTTTGCCACCCTGACGAAATCTCCGAGCCTGAATCGAGTGCCCCGAACTGCGCTTACCGATTAGCTAATTGTACGGTGTGTGGAAATCGGGTGACCTCTCTCACAGAGGAAACATCTGTAGCTCTGCAACCCGGACCACTGCGCGGCGGGCAGTACGCGGTAACGGTAAGAGACTTTTGAACTGGAGAAGGGAAATGGCTGTCGCTTAGTGACTTCAGCGCCCACGCTGCTGGAGCCCGTTCGTGTCTTTCGCTTGCGCTTTGAGGGCAGGGGCTCGTTGCATTGAACGACCCTAAATTGGTACTCTTCTTCCGGAACTTTCGCCATTTGAAGTACGTTGCAAAGGAGCCCGCTACTCGAGTCGACGCAAGTGTCGCGGAGCGTGGAATGAGCGAATGGAAGATGATGAACAAAAGTTAATGACCCGGATGCTTTCCAGAGTAAGCACGAAAAACCTAGTTAGCAAAGATTTTATAAGTGGATAATTTGTGGGGTTTTCGTTACTCGGCTAAGCCGACATCCGGGGCCTCATTTCGATACTGCGCGAACGAATCTGGCCATTTCGCGATGCTGGATAGGGGCGTAAACGTACGTCAGACAATTGGCAAAGTGGGCCCAAGTTGCTCATGCCCCTGAACCACCGCCACTTGTGATCGATTTTTGCCGTGGACTCCTCAAAGCAAACATAAAGGCTACACGTGTTGACCGCTGCTCACCCAAAAATAACATAAAATAAAATAAGTTAACATGAAATAAAATAACATGAAATAAAATAACATGAAATAAAATATTTCGTGAACTTAAAATAAAACAAATATTGACACCCGTCCTAGGCCTTACCCTCATCAGAACTCCCAGACCCTGCCAATTGAGGACGACTCCTTCAGGGTTCTGCCCGACTCGTCGTCATCTGTGCCATCTCCAACCGATTCCTCCTCGATATTGTTCACTTCCCAATGCTTCCAAGAATCCCACCACTCGAATGTGATGCTTTCCAGATTCGTGGCAAAGTGGCGGGTGCGCTGCAGATAGTCCCCAAGGTTTCCACATCCACACTCGTGCCTTTCGATCCTGACTGTGATTTTTCGCACCAGCGACCCGACCGGAGTGGCGTCGGTCCACCAGCCAAGTAGATCGTCGAAAAAGCGATCCAAGTCGCTCCAGAGGACTATGAAGGAATTTTCTTCGTAGAACACTTGCCGAGCCTCTTGCAGCAGACGCCGTCCAGCCTCGTTGTCTCGAGCCTCATTCTTCAGAAGCAAGAACGAGTCAATGCTCTCTTGACTGGTCCAGGCAATAGGCTCCTGTATTAAAATAGGCGTCTTCTCGGCCAAGTAGCTGCGGAATACACTACGGCGTTCGTGCTCGGGGAGCTTTTCAAAGTCCTCGAAGCTCTTCCCGCCTGTGAAGCGGCAATAGTTGTCTTCGGGGTCCGGAAGGTACCACGTTGAAGCTTCTTCGAGTGGTGTAGGAAACTGGAGAGTCGCATTAGAATCATTATTCATCTAGGCAGGAACCTAGCTAAGTACGAGGCGTATCGTAGGAATGCAGCTAGCAGCAATGCTACTTACCCTATGGCGTCCAGCCATGATGTATGTTGAACTCCTGTACGGATGACACCTGTGGCTTGGCGAGCTATACAGGTCCAGATTTCTTCAAGAAAGTCTGTCCAGATAGAAAGAAAAATATACAAAGAAACGTATACACACACAGAAGAAAAGTCTCAGGTCCCTCGAGCGTGTGTGCGGCGTGTTTATGCGCAACCGGTGTCCTGCAAAGTCAGATTGATGCGACTGCCGGCCGAGAAGAAAATCGCGCAATAGCAACTTGAAAGTGGCATTCGCAAGTGCAAGACATCAGGGAATGCCAAAGCTCACTCATATACTGCTGGTTGAGGCGATAAGCATGCCGCGGCTTTTGTCCGCTTCCCCCCTTTGCTTCGTCGAAACAAGCGAGGGCCAATACAGGCTGCCATGATTAACGATACGTGTTTTCCGAGAATTCTGTCGTTACGCCTATGAAATGGACTTGGCGCAAAGCTTGGAGGCTTTCTCGGCAAATAACTGTCCAAACCGACCGACCGTCATAGCCGTAGTCGTGACGTGTGGCCCTGGAAAGAATGGTATTCTATCCGCCCGCCTCTCTGCCTGTCTGTGGCTGCAACTCAGTACAGTATTCTCTTCTCAAGATGTAGACTATCATTGTTTGTAGAAGCAGAATCCCGCCTCCTGGCCAACATGATCCTTTACGTTCGTTGACAATATGATGCTAGAATAAATTAATTGTCCAGCCACTAGAAACCACTACATACTCTCTTCGCCCTAGTCGCTGTCTTGGGCCTTTCTGAAACCAGCTTCCAAATTTCAAAGCAGGCATCACCTCTCTCGAAAGGATTCCCCTCCCTCTTCTCGGCTTGCATTCTATTGCAATCTGTAAGGAATGTCCCTGAACCGTTGTGATCGCTCCTCGATTCCGTACAGCAGGCATCCCTTTCCCTGATAAAGCTACACTCTCCTTGCAGATGGCCTTTCGTTCTCTCGCAAGCCCCAAAAAGTATTGTCCGATTCACGTTCTCTTCTCCCGTGGCGTAAGCCATCTCCCAGTCATCAGGAACACGGAGGACTTCGCCGTCTGGTGCATCGGACCGCAGCTCTCTATAGTTGAAGTGTCCCTGCTCGAATGGTTCTGCCAGAATTTCACCATAGAAAATGAAAGAAGGGCCCCACGGTATCATGATAGTTGGTGCATCTCCCTCTGGCCAGTCGCTAGGGAAATCGGCAATTGACCCGGTAGAACCCCGTTGCTGGTTCATAGTATCAGTGATGCCCTGGTTGCGCCCGGTCTCGCTGGCCAGACGAGCACCGCCATATTGGCATGGCTGTTGTTCTGGGCGTATGTGACAGACGGCAAGTGCTTGGTCGGGGACAGGCATCGTAGTCTCTTGGCCGACCTGCGAAGGAAGAGGGGCCACAGACCTTGAACTATGCTGCAGAGGGCAGCCTTCACAGGTGTACTCCCGAGGGCCGAATACCCAGCTTTCCGCGAACATATCTGGTGTATCAGCCGCCAAGTGCGGCGCCTCGCTCACGCAAGAGAGAGTGGTCCCTTGTGCCTCCTCGAACACCCTCGATATTGTAGAAGGAAGGGTGAGGCTTGGGTCAATATTTTCTGGTTGGCAGTAGTTTGGGCCAGACAGGAAGCTTCCATAATACATTGTCATCGGATGCATTTGGTCTGGTGATAATTGCTCTCTAGGCTGGAGTGATGGAAATAGACCCTGTGTGGTATCCTGGAGGTGTGACATGGCGGGATGCGAGGAAAGTCTTGGGAATGAGCGACTGGATAGGAGAACATTTTGACGCCGAACCTATGTTAAACGCCGCGAATATCTTTTTAAACCAAATTCGCCACGTACCATACAGTACCCACCTACCGGCAAAATCTTTACAATCTTTACAATCTTTACAATCTTTACAATCTTTACAATCTTTACAATCTTTACAATCTTTACAATCTTTACAATCTTTATAATCTTTACAATCTTTACAATCCTTTTAAGGGATATAGAGGCCGGTGCGACCATAGGCGCGGTGCCGCGAAATAGACGCAACTACCGACGAGATCCTAGTGCGAGGTAGAGATTTAATCACCGTAGCGCATCAGTCCTTAAGACCTATAAAGCCGACTACAAAACTATAGGAAAGGCTATAGGCGATTAAGAAGAGGAGTAATATAGTAAAGAGGAATAGGTCATAATAGCCGCGGGATAGTAAAAATGAAGGCGAGACTAGATTAGCCGACGGGGCTAAAGAATCGCAGACAACAGAAGGCGCAACGGGCAACCACGCGTCGCCCATATAGATCATATTCCGAGCGATACTCCAGGAGACGTCGGCCCATTTAATAAGTAAGCAGAGGAAGATACTAGAGAGGCTCTAGGACGCATTGATAGAGAACTAGCGAATAGCAACGCGGATAATAAATGAGTAGCTAGAGATAATACGCTAACTCCAGCAAGAAATCCAGACGATCAAGGCCCAGGCAGCCGAGGAATTAAAGAAGGCAGACGAGCTCAGACGCTCGCACAAATAAGCCACCAGGCAGCTCAAAGCCATGCGTGAACAGGCTGCAAGAGACCTTAAGTAGATGCGAGAGCAAGTTATAAAAGAGCTAAGGAGAATATAACCCTAGACGGCAGAGGAGTTAAAATAAGTAAAAGAAGAAATAAAACAAGTAAAGGAATAGCTAAATACGATAGCCGATAGCATCTCCAGCAGTACTCAGATAAGCCCATAGCTATTATATATAGACATAGCCCGCACCCCGCCTATGAGCCAGCCAAGCAATATCCGCATACTATCGTCCATACGCACGACCCTATCCTCATTCACGGATACCTTGTTCTATACTATCGATACCTCGCGGGTCAGCGAAGAGGACAGAGGCAAGGCGCAAGTTAGAGAAGTTTATTAAGCGATCGAAGAGAAAGTGCGGGCTAGGGAAGGCCGATAGAGCTGGCGGTGCGCAGCGGTAGTAAAAGACACAAGGAACGCAGACCGCACTAAGGTAGTATGCCGAAACGAAGCAGAGATGCAGCTTATTAGAGAGGCGGCAGAGAAGTCAGTAGTCAAGGGCGCCAGAGTGCTTAGAGACTAGCTATACCCGGTCAAGGTCAATAACGCAAACAGGACTGCGGTGCTAGACTCGTCCGGTAATATACTGCCAGGTGCAGCAGAGGCACTAAGGAAAGAAAACGAGGTAACAATCGCTAAGATATACTAGCTCAGCGATAAGGTAAATAGTAAGATATATGGCTCGATAGTAATCTACGTCACTAAAGCGAGCGATGCGCGATGGCTACTTAAAGAGAGGTATTTCTACCTTGCGGGAGAGTTAGCCAGCACTAACATCTTTAAGCGGCGTCAAGGCCCGGCTCAGTGCTATAACTACTAGGAAATTAGCTATAAAGCTTTCACATACAGCAAGGCGCAACGATGCGGCAAGTACGCGGAGACAGGCTATTAACACCGAGACTGCTAGGTAGTCAAGCTAAAGTGCATTCTCTATGGAGGGCTATATAAGTCGCTCAGCCGAAACTATCGGATGCGATAACTACATATGACCGATGGCTACTAACCTCCAGATCCTATAGCTCAACGTGCGGAAGAGAGATATAATATAGCTAAGCATAATAAACGATAGGGACTTACAGGACTATACAGTACTAGCGGTAGCCGAGCTATACGCGCTAAATATCGATAAGACGCTAATAATGATACTGAACCACCATAGGAACTAGACGAGATTCATACCATCAAAGAGATACGAGACGCAATGGCCGATCCGGAGTATGCCCTAGATACACAGCGATCTAGAAACTAAGCAGGTACCCATCCCTTTGGCTAACCTAACCGGGGCGATACTTAGATAGCCCGACCGAGAAGTCTTAGTAGTATTAGTATACGTGGCAGGAAAAGATAAAGATACTCTACATACTACTATAAGATAGTTACACACAATAATCACAAGTTTTCGCAATAGCACGGGGAAAAGAACGGACATTATCCTAGCTAGCGACTTTAACCGCTACGACCAGCTCTAGGGAGGCGATAAAGTGATAGGCAAGAGGCAAGGCGAAGCAAGCCCGATTATCAACCTTATAGACGAGCATAGCTTGCTCAGTCTCCTCCCGCGGGGGACGAAGATATGGGAAAGACCCGGTGGGGAGAGTACGATCGACCTAATGCTCGCATTAGCTAAACTAGCGGATAAGATAGTTCACTGCGGGATCTATCCGACTGAACATAGATCAGACCACAGGGCCATCGAGACGGAATTTAATCTTATGACACCAGAGAGGATAGCGGGCTCGAGGCTGCTATTTAAGAACGCACTATAGAACGCGATCAAGGCGAAAGTGTAGGATAAGCTAGCACCACTCCCGTGGGGCAGTAGAGTTTAAGAATAGACTAACAGGTTAATAGACGTAGTCCTAGATATGATCCACGAACTTATCCCAAGAGCAAAGCCATCGCCGTACGCGAAGCGATAGTAGACGATAGATCTCACAAGGCTCCGAAGAAGTTATATGTTTTAGAGGAACCTAGCGAGGACCTAGCGTCGGGCTAGTCAGCGAATCAACAATTTAGAAACCCGAGCTAAAAAAGCAGCCAAGGAATACCACGATGCTATCCGAAGGCAGAAGAAGGCATACTGGGAAGACTTCCTCGCCGACGGGACTAACATCTAGCAAGCTGCCAAGTACCTGAAGCCTAGAGACGAAACAAACGGCGATAAAGTGCCTCCGCTAAAAAGAACAAACGGGGCAATAATACAAGATAAGGCTAAACAAGCGGAGGAACTACTTAACGCATTCTTCCCACCACTACCGACCGACATAGAAGATAAAGGCCCACGGCTGCATCGCAGAGAAGTAGCCATACCGAACCTAACGATAGGGGAGGTAGAGGAAAAAGTCATAGAGGCCAAGGCTTAGAAGGCACCCGGAGAGGATAGATTGCCGGCGATAGTATGGAAGCAGCTATAGCCGGTAGTGAAGGAGCGGATACTATATCTATTCTATATATCACTAGGCGAAGGACGACTACCGGACTAATAGCAGACCGCTAAGATCATTCCGCTTAAGAAGCCAGGCAAGGCTAACTATAGAATTATAAAAGCATAGAGGCCGATCTCGCTATTATCGACGCTAGGCAAGATCCTCGAAGCAATAATAGCGGATCGCATCTCATACGCCGTCGAAACATATAGACTCCTACCTACTAACCACTTCGGTGCGAGAAAGCAGCGATCGGCAGAGTAGGCGCTACTACTCTTCTAAGAATAGGTCTATAAAGCATAGCGGAACCGCAAAGTAGTCAGCCTGGTTAGCTTCGATATCAAGGGGGCCTATAACGGGGTATTCAAGGATAGACTATTGCAAAGGTTAGAAGCACGGGGCATCCCTAAGGGGCTAGTGAGATAGATAGACGTATTCTGCTCGAGTCGCACGGCTACTATCACGGTAAATAGCTATACCTCTGCGCTACGGGAGCTGCTATAGGCTAGCCTTCCGCAAGGATCGCTATTATCGCCCATGCTCTTTCTCTTCTTTAACGTAGACCTAGTTCAGAGCAAGATAGACGCAAAGGGAGGCTCGATCGCATTCGTCGACGACTACTTAGCCTAGGTCATAGGCCTAACGGCGGAAGCGAATAAAGACGGAATATAGGCTATTATTAACCGCGCACTAGAATAGGAGAAGCGCAGCGGGGCGATATTTAAATATGACAAGACGACTATTATCCACTTCACACGCGTGGCCAAGCGTACCAGCTGCACGCCGTTTATAGTCAAAGGGAAGGAGATTAAGCCGAAGCAGGAGGCCAAGATCCTAGGAGTAGTCATAGACGCGAAGCTTAGGTTCAAGAAACACATAGCCGAGGCGGCCACTAAAGGCCTCTCGGTAGCTATATGCCTAAGGAGACTTAAGATACTATCCCTACGCACGGCTAGGTAGCTCTTTATCACGGCTATAGCGCCGGCTATAGACTACGCCTCGGTTATCTGGTCGCACGCACGTGGCGAGAAGGAACTAACCTAGCTCAACAGGGCTCAGAAGATAGGAGCACAGGCCATCACGGGAGCCTTTTAGACAATATCGCGGGCGATCGCGGAAGCAAAGGCCGGTATCCAGATAATAGACAGACGATACGCCTAAGCCGGCATGAAGCTATATATTAACGTCCAGACATTGCCAAAGACGCATCCGCTCATAACGCTCAAAGTATTAATAAGCCAGAGATACTTATCACCGCTTAAGAGGTTAGCACTTATATTTAAGAAGAGCGGAATCGAGCGAATAGAAACGATCTAAGCCTATGCAGTACCGCCGTGGCATAACTGAGTATCACTAGTATGCGAGGCCGACCATGAGGCGGCAATAGCAGCAGCTAACGATACCAAAGATATCGTCATCGCGACCAGTGCCTCTAATAGAGAAGGGCTTATAGCTATAGGAGGCCTCGTCACGTAAGAGTTAACTAGTTAAGTTAATAGGATAGTAGCTAGGTACTCGGTTACCCTCGGGTCGCGAGACGACTAGAACCCATATATGGCCGAACTAGAGGCAATAGCAATAGCATTACGATACATGCCTGACGGACTATAATATCGAGAGCTCACCGTAGTATTAAGCTACTAGTTATCACTAAAAGCGATCGCACGACCGCGATAGCAATCTAGCTAGACCACCATCCGATAGATCTACGAACACATCGAACGACTAGCGAGAAGAAACAACAAGGTCAAGAGGATCTAGGCTCTATCCCGAAACGACGGTTTCGCCATAGGCCGCAAGGCAAAAAGATAAGCCAAGAAAGCGACCAAAGCAGGATACACCCCAGAGTCGCCGCCATACTAGGCTCGGTCGACACGGACCAGGCTAGCGACATCGCAATTGCGGCGGCAGCGGGCACTCCCCGACAAAATAGGCGGCTACTCCAAGCGGATCGATTAAGCCCTACCAGGCGAACATACGAAAGCGCTATATAACGGCCTAAAGAGACGGGAAGCTAACGTGCTCTCGCAGCTCCGCACGGGAATGGCGAGGATTAACAGCTACCTATATAAGATAGGAACCGCCGAATCGGACATATATGAGTGCGGACGAGCACTAGAGACGATAGAACACTTTCTATTCCGATATACGAGATAGGAGACAGAGCGTAAAGTTATACGACAAGCTAGACAAAGCATAATAGGAAACCTTTCTTACTTCCTTAGTAGAAAGTCAGCGTCAGACAGACCGAAATAGATACCTAACCTAAAGGCGGTACGAGCGGCGGTAAAGTTTATAATAGCGATGGGAAGACTAAGGTAAAAAAGGGAAACAGAATATACTAAATACTAATACTACAGCTGACTACTAATATTGAACAGCCTCATATTGACAGGCCATGCTTCAGCTGCTGGGGATAGGATACTAAACACTTAGAGAAATCGGCCTTCGAGCAGGCCTGTTAAGTAGAGTTAAGCAAGCGGGGCTGGAAAAGAGACGAGCTGGAAGGAAGAGTGGGGCTCTTTTGGGTGGTCTAGAGGAATAGCGGAGAAGCGAAGACAGCTTAGCGTAGCCACTGGCCCTATGTGTTAGAAGTGGGGCAAGGATTACGACTATCGTGAATAGCTTCACGGTCAGCGTGAACGCCAGATCGCAGGCAACGGCCTGCTGCCTAGAAGATCGGCAGGATGAACACAAGTATAAGAGACCGACCTTCGTCATTCCTTAGATAGAAGAGGCAGTTTTAATTCAATCTCTTCTAGCTACACCCAATATTGCACACTCTTAACCTCCGAGACTATGAGATCCGTTCTCCCGGGCGTAATAAAAATACTACTACTACTACCGGCAAGCAAAAAAAAAATTCTCCCATACAAAATGCACATTTTTAACCTCATGGGAAAAACTTAATAAAAATAGTAAAAATAAGTTTCTTTACAGAATTCAGATCATAATCGAATGGATTTTAATATTTTCAAGGTCTCTTTACCTCACAGCCTGTGCGAGTGCGTACAACGGGTAATTCTTCCGCGTCCGAATTTAAGCTCTCATCCTCTTCCATCCCTCCCACCTCGATCACATCCTCAACAGCATCTGCCACTACAGTTGCTTCGTTTGGCTCGGAAATAGTATCACTGGCCACTAGAGCCTTGGCTAGAGTCATGAACTTCTTGTTGGGATTGGGTATCGCCTTCCTCTTCTTGCCTCTGCTCAACCAGCCGATTTCCTCCTCCATACAGGCGTTTCATGCGGTTATCAAGGCTGTCTTTAGAGTTCCTCACGATAAATAGCCTTGGAGACATTAAAAGCTCCGTTATATAGTGGTTGGAGACTATGAGAGCATTGAGCTTCCAGGTAACAATAATATATATTGTTGAAAAAGCAGGTAGCCATCCACTCATCCTGGATTTTCGGTTAGCGACATTTATGCTTCAGACCAGGTAGAGACTCACAGATACATGACTTCCATGGCCATCTAATATAATAAGCCTGGCATCAGACTCATCTTCTGGTCGAGTTTGAGGCAGATAGACCTCTTTGAGCCACTTTACTGCGATATGGTTGTCCGTTCAGCCGTTGTCAGAAGTGATATAATACCAGTCGGCTATCTTCTTGAACTCATCGATAAACCACTGCTGCTGAAATTCCTTTGCCTTTGAAAATAATCCCTGGTTTCAGAAGACGGCCATTTGCAGTCGCGGCTTCGATAAAGCTGGTCCAAGCACGGGACTGAGAGCCATTGAGGACGGCATTCCTCTTTGGATCACTGCTCTGATAACCAAGGAATCCAAGCCTAGATTCGCAATGGGTTAGTGAGTTTTAGGACAAAAACGATAAATACTCGCCAAATCCAGCCATGATAACGCCATCGTCGACATTAGCCGTGTTATCAGGCTTGATCGAACCATACTCACTCTCCTAGATACCAAAGTACCAATTGACAACCACTGGTGTAAAACATTTGAATTTTGAGGCCTCCCGGCGTCTTCCTATCTTCGTCTTGATAACTGGATGGTGTTTCATGAACCTGGCTATCCAGTGTGCACCGATATCCCTTTCCCGGACCTTGCTGTCTTAAGCGCGCAGCGACGGTGGCGCGAACTCGACTGTGAGAAGGAGCATACCCCAAGGCCTCTTGCCGAAGTATCCAGGTAACTAATCTGGCCACCTGAGACTTGGATAACAACTGAGAAGGTTGGATGATCTCGGACTCTGACGGTAGGCGTCTTAATTAGTCAGAAATGAGTGGTCTGAGGGATCTCATGCTTCTAGGCGGCTTGGTTCTGTGAGAGGCCGTTATCTGTGACATCTAGTATGGCTCCAACAACTCCATCCTCTGTATAAGACACTTGATGCATTTTCAAAGCGATTATGGAAGTCTGGTGCAGAGAAAAATTCGAAGGAGCGTCAGGGAGGCTGGGTGGCGAAGGAGGCATGTTGAGAAATTTTACATTAGTGCCATGCGACCATGCCGCATACGTGATCAAAAAATCAATGTGATAATATAAAACGGCATGAAATTCTCAATACAACAGGCATTGTATCATGCCAATAACTTCAATCTTGGCCAAACACCGTGTAAGTGAAATTGAGCATTTTGTATGGGCAATTTTTTTTTTGCTTGCCGGTAGGTGGGTACTGCATGGTAAGGCAAGAGGAGTTTCTGTCCGGTCGGCAGACCCAGGGTTATGAGAGAAGAATAGAGCGGCTTGATTGATGATCATGGAGGCAGTGACTTTTAATGGTATGAAGGGTGTGAAAAAGGGGTTGAGGACTTGATGACATGCGGCTACCCCCAGGGGGCACCTACCTTGAACAACTGGTCTTCCTCGTGCTGATTTGATTGGTCACATGTCCGTGTCAAACACCTGATTTGTGCTGCCGCTTGTAATACAATGGCACATGTCAACGGACGCAGGGTGCTGTCCTCGTGGAGGGGGGTTGCTGTTCGGAGAGGAAGGAGCCCGTGGATTTCGTCCTTGCCTCCACATCTCCCGTCCTTGCGCGGCAAAAACACTAGCCGGAAAACACCGGAACTGAACGTGGGGGATGTAAACCAGATAGGCCCATGTCCAGCAAGAAGGGAGGGTTCCGAGGAAGCCAAAGCCCCCCAGGGGGTGGCTGGACCGCCTACACACTGTTACGCCTCCGCGCTTCTGTATTCATGTGCGGTGCTTCGCAAGTCTGGTCCGTCTCAAATATCCATAGACGATTCTGCTGAGGGGTCAAATACAGAGGCTCTATCTGCATCATAACCCTCGCAACCTTGTTCGGGGCTAGTCGCTTCTTCAACTCTCCAATAGCCCGGTTGAACGCCATCTTCACCTCGGCAAAGTCTTCATCATCGAAAGCTGTCTCTTCCATAGAGAGCCCTGGCGCATGTAGTCTCAGGAGTAGCCCTGATGCGCCAACATGGCTGAGTTGGGTCGCATGCATAAAGTTTGTGAGGGGGGTATCGGTGAAGTGTTGTCCCGGATTCCAAGATCTGCCGACAAGAGTGGGCGAACGCGACGATATTATAACATATTTGAACCGTATTTTGGCCTCTGAAGTCTGGCTATCGCGATTATGCGATTCGCCGTGGTCGTTCATTGGTTCTTCAAGTCGCTCTCGATGACAACGCGGAAGGGATGTGCCGATGGCGGGCTTTGGTTTAAGCGTCGGTGGAGATCTCGCCGCGGGAAGGAAGGGCACTCGGAGTAATCAAGCAACTGCAAGGGAAAAACAGGGAACAGGGAGAGTGAGGAGATTAAAGGCACTGCACGCGACGGATATCTACTGTTCTCTATTTGCGAACCCCGTCGGATTGAGTCCAAAAGCGACGGCGTGGGAGTGGGAACCAAGCCGTTGGATTTTAGTGACATCTCAATGTAACTCGAAAGGCTCAAACGTGTCCGGTGGCCTTAAGTTTAAACGTCCGAGTCCTCGAATGGCTGGAAGCGGAGACGGATGTCCTCAATCTTGGTCCGAGTGGGGGGCAGGGGGTTTCTCTTGGCTTTGAAGAGTCAACGTCCTAGAAAAGCTGTCATAGTTTCTGGAAAAATAAGACTGTCTGAAATTTATTCATCCCTCGCCAAGCCAGCGTCCTAGAGCGTAGATACGGGATCATCCAGCCACGAGTCTTGTTCTTCCAGTCACACATATCTATCAGTCCGCAAGCTAGGAGGTCGAGTGTTGGTCTGCACCATCACCGCGAGACGTTCGGAATCTCCAGAGCGGCCCAAAAGCATGGAAGGCGCTGGCTCAGGTACAGGCAACATGCCTTCCGACCAAGCACTTGCAAACGAAACACTGTTCGAGTGGATGATGCTAGGACGTAGCCTCCAGGTATGACGATATTTCAAGCCGATAACAAGTATGAAAGCTGATGCTGAGCCTGCTTGCAGAAGGTCGATGAACTCACCCGGGTGAAATTCTGTTTATGCTTGCAGATTCTGGGCCTGAGCCTGCTTGGACATTACGACGGGGCTGCAGCATCTGAACTCCTGGTGCGGGATGAGGCTTCCTTACTGGCGCCCTTCATGCAAGTCGAAGGACACTTAGAGCCAGGATCTTTTGATTACGCTCAGGCCCATCATATAGTCGCCCTCGCGCGCGGCCTCCTCGAGGAGCTGGGCGGCGAACAGGATCGGTTTCAGCGCCGCTTCGACCTGCAATACTCCGCCCGAGAGAATCATGTGATATACGGTGCTATCGTCGACATTGAGGGGACCGGTTCAATGGAGGAGACTGACCCGGAGCAAATGCATAAAGCAATGTCTCGGTCGAAGCTGATCAGAGATCAGAAATTGGTGTCTACAGAGGTTGTTCAACTCATGAGCACGTGTCGGCATGTTCTGGAACAAGACTGGGTGTACGTGTAGATGGCACTACAAGGCATTTGAATATGGTGCAACGTTGAATGAGGCTTTTCGAGAGATCGGCTACACATCCTGTTCTTGCTGTGATCAATACGAGAGCGAAAGAGATGAGACCAGAACGTATGGGACCATGGGTAGCCTCCCGCTTAACTAGAAGCTGATTGAAGGGAGGGATCAATCAGTGAGGATTTGGGTCTAATGATTCGGGGCCGATTTGGACGGGATCACATCTTGGCGGCTGGCAATGGGCTCTCTGGCCGGGAAAAACGTTCGCAGGACATTTGTGTTCAGCGAGAGAGTCGTGAGAATTGGTTGGGGCGTGGTATATTGATTATCATTGAGTCACAGCTGCCGGTTGCTAAACTACCTGTTTCGTGCCTCGTCCGATTGCGCCCTATGTATCTTAAATCTCACTGGTAGACACCTAATCAGTTCCTCTTCCCAACGTAGCCGATCCATGACGGTTGAGTATATTACTTTGACCTCAAATCTTGTCCAGTGGAAGGATTACTGGCCTAAAATTTGACACAGACGCGCTTTCGAAGCTTGCCGGCTTCCATCATCTCCATTGCCTGCGGAAGATCTTCTAGCTCGATGAACTCCACAATGGGCTTGATGCCATGCTCAGCGCTGAAGCCAATGCATTCCTTCAGGGTTGTGACGGTTCCGCTGCAAGCTGTCTTTATGATGTATCGTTTGAAGATGATGTCCAACGGTTCGATCGTCAGAGGCCCATCGACAACCCCCACTACCATCAGGAGGCCACCCCATCTGATCATGCCGGGCATGTCGTCATAAGCTTTCTCGGATGGCGCAAAACTGACAGCAGCATCCACGCCATGTCCTGTAACGATTTTGATGTCATCTGCATAAGTCGGACATAGTTCTGGATTGAGCGTATAGTCTGCTCCTGCCATTTTCGCGGCATCCAGCTGGCCTCCGTCGATGTCAACAGCGATGACATTCAGCCCCATGGCTTTGGCGTACCGAATGCCCATTTGCCCGACACCTCCGGCGCCGATTACAGCTAACCATTTTCCGGGGGTAAGCTGACATTCGTTGATTGCGTTGTACGCAGTGACGCCTGCACAACAAAGGGGTGCCGAAGAGGCGATGTCCAGATTTGCTGGGAGTTTTACGGCACTGCGGGCATCGACGACGGCGTACTCCTGGAAGTATCCATCGCAAGTAAACCCTTGTGCTTTGCAGCCTTGCGGGCATCCAACGCTTGACCTATCGTCGACCATTAGAGAAACCCGTCCTCCTGCGGTCGAGGCCTCGCGCACTTACCACGTGGTGCAGGCATCACATTCAAAACATCCGCTGGAAGCAAGAAAACCGACGGCGTCCCCTTCCTCGAACTGCCTCACCTGCTTCCCGACCTCCGTGATGACACCGGTTGCTTCATGCCCTAGGGTAGTAGGAACTTTCACCTCGCTCATGGCGAGGCCCGGATCGAAGGTTAGGCAGTCGGAGTGGCAGAGCGATGCACCGACGACCTTGACCAATATCTCGCTCTCGTTGGGCTTCGGGATCTCCACCTCGTTAAGATGCAGTTTCTGATCAGCCGGGTCATATCTGGAGGCAGTGTTAGAGACCGATACGCAGCAGAGGCAAGCATCCTCACATACTGCTGAGCCCTCATTGTAGCCTTGATAGACTTCGGGGGGCCATTACCTCGAGGGTGAGCATCCATGTTGGCGGAAAGAAAAGCGATCGCGAGGCGTTTCGCAAGGGCTGAGAGGTGGTGAGACGGCCCTTCCAAACGGCGTAGGGGTACATTTGGATTATTTGAGCGATCTGGATTCAAGAGAAATATAATACTCGGTTCAGTGATGCCATTAGAAATCGAAAATGGCTCATTGAAGCCGCCGGGTACTCGTATCAGCCGGCAATGGGCCTTCTATAATCCAAAGCCATGACCTAAAGTGGACAGGGCCAAGTATCGCTGCGAGACTTGGACCCAACGCATTCGGAAAAAACAAGTCGTCTAACAGACATGTTCAGATCGGCCGGAAGTAATGATACTTGCACTTTGTGGCGGTACTAGATTGGTTCATTATTGGTACCCGGCACCCTTCCTGCGCATGCCACCCCTGGCGTTTTACGAGAGTTTTCCTACAATTAACAATTCAGGCTCATAGTTCTCATTCATCGTCATGTAGAAATGCAGACCGTCAGGAATCTCAACTAGAAATATGCAGCTGGCGGAAACTAATGCAGTTTATTGATTTTCTTCCAGCGTCCACTCCATGGAAGTATGTTTCTTCCAGTAAATCTTCGCAAGTCTATCCACGATGCTCACCAATAACCGTCGATGATTGGCGTCTTTGCAAATCTCTTGACATGTGCTCCTCCGCGCTCAGATATTGTAGCTCTGCTGATCCAATAACCGTCCACCCTGCTGGACCAACATCCAACTGCAGTGCCGCCGTGATTGGCTGGGAAGTGGGAGGCTTGTTCACGACTAGGACGGACTAACCTTGTACTGGTGCGTGGAGTCCTACCTGCGGTAGAAGCACCTGAATCTTTTTTCCCGACTATTGCCCCTGGAATCCTTCTCCCCTATCCGTCTCATTGCTCGCTGCCCCCGGAATTTGATTTGAAAACTGGTTCTGTATAGTGCCCTCTTGCATCGTAGGGATTTCGAACAGAGTATATCTGTAGCCTGGTCTCTGGGGAGTAGCTGTGTTCTGCTTCTACTCGTAACCGCCAGCACCGTTCAAGGTAGTTCACACGACCCAGCCCACTTGCCGAAATATCCCGGCTGCTCTCCGTAGAGTAATCCGATGCTTGGTAACATCAGCTCAGCCAGCATCTCCCCACTACGGCCTACATCCAACGAGGGCCGTCGAATCCTTCCTCCACCTGGCTTCGCCAATGTAAGAGACTAGTGATTGGAGGTGACACAATCGCCTCGTGCTCTGTGAGATTTATGAAGGACTTCAGCGCTAAAACTTCACGCTCTCAATCCTCTGGCACGGGTGCAGGATGTTTGGTGGTAACGGTGGTGACTTTAAAAGGGGTCGAATTCCCTAGATCTTCCAGGCTGCTGATGCGTCCATCTCTCTTTGCCTTGACTCGCCCCATCCCACTCGATCATATTCCTCCCGAGAACTCGCCAAAGCTGCTGAGCGCACAAATTCAGAATGTCAAGCCCGCTCTTCACACAATCTTTTTTAGACGAGGACGAACTTAAACTCCGATCTCAGAACCGCTCAGCGAGGGAGAGAAGAGGACATAAGCAAAGAATCCGTCGAAGTCGCGAGTCGGTTTCTGGGGGTGTTACCGGACCAGGCTCAGCCTCCTCCACCACTGCACCAAGATCGTCCATAGAGGCGGCCACACCAACAGAGCCGGGCCAGGAACCGACAACGCCCACAAGGGTCGTTCCTTGCACCCCTTCCTCCTCGGCAAGGTCTGAAGGCGACGAGTGGCACGAACAGAGACGCAAGGTCAATAAATCACCAGTCACTATCGTTGTGAACATCACGGTAAGCTACAGCCTTATCTTCTAGCGAACAATGAAGAAGCAATGGAGCTAATAATACTTTAAATGTCTATTAGACATCCGGCGAGCACGCGACCGATACGCCGACAGCCAGATCGAACTCCAGTTTTTACATAAAGATTCAGCTAGGCCCAACGAGTGAGGTGAGATTGGAGGGGAGTGACTGGGCTGTGACTGGCATCAACGTGGTCGGCGAAACTGGTTGTTGATAACCAGATATGAACTCAGCAGTACATTCTTAGATATGAAATAAGCTCTTCTTATGCGCGATTTATTGAGCATGACATGACTTGAGATAAGCCGTCCTGGAGATGAGGGAGACCCCAAAGCAGTTCCCGTTGGGAGGATGTCCCAAGAGGTGGTGCGTGCTTGTGTCCACGACCTGGGGAAGGCAACCTCAGTGAACTGAGCTACTTCGAACATTACTTTCGACCATCTTTGACCCTTCCCCCATTTGTGCCGTGGCTCTGCTTCATCACCCCTTCGTTGATAACGCTGGGTTGTTGGATTCGGCCCGAGCAATGAGAGGCCGCTCAAACTTCGCCCTTGTTGCAGCTTCCATCCGAGAAAACCGACGATGATGCAGACCTTAAACTCTTGCACTCCTGTTCAGCTCTCAGTACGCTATCCATGCCGCACATCGTCCACATTCTATGGATTACCAAAACAACATGGTTCGCTCCTAGAAGGGCGACTCTGGTAGATGCCTGATCTCGGGCCAAACTCGAGGTGCCAAGAATAATACAGCCAGCCGTGACCAGCGTATAGGCCCTCCAGCGATCGCCCGACTTGTCAAAGATGCTCAAGTAACGAAAAGATCGAGCCATGCTCAAAACACAGCCGAGAGCCATCCACATGGCCCATGCGGCCGGCCAATAGGCGGGCAGTGTGATTCGTAGAGTGACGGCGACGAACGTGGCAATCACGAAAGATATGAGAGGGACGGTGGAGATCTGCAAGACTGGCTTGTTTTGATCCCAAAACTCTCTGTACGAGCTGCTGGCATGGAGGGCTTTGGCGGCTGAAAGGGCTTCCTCTGGCAAGGAAAATATCTAAGCAGTTAGCTCTTGCTCTGCATGCAAGGGAAGTGATGTCTGGCAAACCTGAAATAGAGACGAAGATAGGATAATAAGCCCCCAGAAAACCTTCTGCAGTTCTTCGATTTGATAGAACCAAGAGACCACCAACAATGTGGATGCCATGGGCGTTGAAATGGCGCCAAACCACATCTGTCCTCGAACAGCGGCCTTCATCCTTTGGACGCCCTTCGGGTGCACCGCTTTGGATTCGGACACAGACTTGAAATTGCGGCCATACAGGACAATAGCCGAGATAGTTTGAACTGCCAATGGGATGACCGTCGCGACGGCAAAGATACTAAGCTCCAGCGATGCGTCCATCTCGATGGTAGAAATACGTCTGAAGAGGAAACCAACGATTGACGTAAGGATGTGCATGTAGAAGAATGATGGTGGTGGGCGCCAAAAGGAAATTCTTTGAGACTGCTTGTGTTCATGCCAGAGAGTTGACGGTTTCCGCCGGTATTTATTCCGAAGTGGTGGCGAGAAAGTGGTGGACGAGTGGTTGGTTGCATTCTCCGCAGGTCCTCGCGCGAAGCTAAACATGCGCCAAGATGGGGATAGTCACGGATGAAGCACATCGCACACTGTTTTGAGACTCGCGACCACCATGCCTGCCGCGTCTTTCGGAAATCTCTTGATCCGACTCTACGGCAGAGCCTGTTTCCTCAGACGCAGCCGGACAACAGGCACATTCGCGTGCACCCGTGTCAACATCCAACTCCTCCATTTACCGGCATGTAAGTATAATAGCTATCAAGAGCACACTGGTATCACCAGAGAAAGATGTTAGACGCGCTCAAGACGCAGCAAGGAACGTCGCGTCATGCGGGAGCTAACTAGCCAACACAGACTAAGCCGCACTGCCGGACTGCGCTTCCCGGCTCCCTTCCCTGGCTATTCTGAGACCCATCCTCTGGATTCCCCTGGCTGTAAGTGGTAAATCGAGCCGCTTCAACTCGTGCACGAGTCGAACGGCTTGATTCGGTACGTTCTCGACGAAGTAGTCGATCGTGAAACTCCTTTTTGTGGGCGCAAGGTTGACGCAGTAAGAATATACAAAGTCAAAGCTTTGAAGGAGCTTGGGATAGCGACGTAGGCAGCGCGAAGTGTCCTTGGAAAAGGTCCATGAATTGAGGGCATCTATAAGCTGCAAGAAGATGCCCACTCGAATGCGGGCACCATGCTGCAACAGTGCCGACGCGATAGCTGCGTCTGTGCGATTAACCGATAGCACTCTCTGCAGGAGGGCATCCAGGAAACGATCTAACTCATCAGTCGGGAGCGCGGATCCCGAATATACGGCAGACTTTTCTCTCTGCAACAGATCCAGCAGAGTGTGCAACGCGGCCACCTGCTGGCTCTTCTGAATCGGCGCCGCCTGTTCCATGACGACGGATACGACGAGGTCAAGGAGCCCTCTGGGGCCCAGGTGTTTCCGCAAGGCTACAGCACCGGCCTCCAAGGTCCACAAAAGAGATGCGAACGAGTGAGTCTGGCTAAAATGCCGCAATGCCCCTTTCGCCTCGGCTCCGAGGTCGAGGAGGGCGCGCAACACTCGACTCTGTTTGTAGTACGCAGCCAATAGGAATCCCGTGCAACCGTACCCAACATCAGAGTTGACATCGATGCCCCTTGCCTTTACGATGATCTCTGCGAGCTCTGCAAGGCCCTGGCGAATAGCAGCGCAGTACGCCTCGAACTGCGGAGGCTGAAGCCCGACGGACGCACCTCGATGAACTAGAAGGATGGCAGCCGACTCTTGGTTGTGTAAGATGGCCTCCGCGAGAGGCGTTCTTTTTACATCCTCCAGTCCATCTGGGGGGATGCCTTGATCGATAAGGAAGGAGACGATGCCATCCAGTCCGCGCCTGGCTGCCAGATGGATGGGAGAATGGAGCGTCGCGTCGGAGTGGTGGAGGGACGCGGGATGATGATTACGGGAATCACGGCATCGCTTGAAATCTGCTCCACCTGCCTTGGCTGCCATGAGGGTCTTCAGGGCAAGGAACTGGTCGTGGCACCAGGCTATAGCATGAAACACAGAAGAACACTTGTGGTTCCGCGCGTCGTTGCTGTACAGGATGTGATTGCATATTCCATGCAGCCGGATACACGAGCGTGCCAGTGAAGCTTGATCCCTCAGCGAACACTGTTCTGCAATCATACATATGATCTCTTCTGGTAACATGAGCAGCATGATGGAGACTTTGGGGGGGTTGGTTGATGTGGGTTTGCTGAGCGGTGGAAAAATTGCGGGTGGCGGCCGAAAAGTTGTAATCAAGCCAAAGGGCAAAGAAAAAGAAGCAGAAGCAATAGAACCATGTAGATCACGTAGACTTCTGACCCGTTATGAGTTGCAAGCGATGTCTTATCTTATAAGGTTGTCTGGCGAGCATATCATAGGATGTCATGGACAAACAGCATGTTTGGGTCTCTATGAATGTCCCGAATCGACGGTAGATGCTCCCGTACGCGTAATACGGGTGCAGAATGGGCCATTGAAGAAGCAGTCAAGCTGCAGATAGAGAATAATCTGACCGCGATAGGGAAGCAGTCTATTTTCCTTCTCCTTTTCATCTTTGACCAGCTCGCCGGGCACCTCATTCGACCGTGAGCATTACTCAGGCGTAAGCAAGCCAAATAAGAAGTAATTAAATTTCCGAACCGCAGTCTAGGTGGTGGGTATCGACTTGTTGCATTTTTCTACCCGGATGCCTCTACCTATCTGCACCAGAAGGAGCTCATCCCAGTGTCTTTCAAACTCATGAGACCCTTCGAGATATGCGATCACGTCCCCGAGGCCGACTCATTCACCAAAATCTCGTTTTATTTCTTTCAGAGCTTAATTCCCGAACACAGAATGATCAACTAGCTATGCGGAACCCTCAACCACCATTGGCACACGGCACTGCAACCCCAGGACGCATATTGACTCCTAGAAGAGACGGCTATTAGCCAAGGCCCGAATTGGGCATTTATCTATATCCTTAAGACGGCTATAGAGCCTAAAAGTGCCTATTTAAGACGATAATCTTTGTCCATGTTTCTACTCAAAATATGCGGTAGGTACCGGTAGTGCTAAACAGTGGTAGGGAAGGTGAGGCAAGAATTAGGCGAGCTGAAGGAGACAATCCACTACATGCGGGGCCTGCGGGACGTGCAAAACAAGACTATCGAAAGATTGCTCTCGCTGCACAGACCAGGCACAGGAGTTGAAGATCTGGAAGAAGAGTATGAGGATTCTGTAGAGTAGTGAGCACGTTCATTTTCCTGTTCAAGATAAGCTAGTATTTATCTAACCGATTAGGGCGACTTTGAGGTACGAAAAGATACTTTATAAGCAGATGCGGCGTCAGAAATAGGCCATGTGATCTGCTTGTCAACAGTTTTCAACCATATGATAAGATGTAAGCGTTCAGTACTGTATTGTTTCCAGTAGACGAATTTTGTATCTAGGATACGTACACTCTATTCTTGACTGGATAACTGTGACTGATTACTTAAACGGGCAAAGAAAAAAAAAAAAAAGAAAAAAAGCTTATCCGGCCTTGCTGAATAAAACATGCTTTAAGTAGTTTTTGTCCTTCTTGTTAATTCCCGCAGAGCTAATATTTGCCTACAATCCGAAGTTAAATATACGACCACACAGCACATATTAGTAAATTCATAACTAGGCAATATGCAACCGAATAGATCCGAAGCCTTGCCCATTCCGCCTTATCTTCCTTAGGTTACCCTGAAAAGCCCAGCATCGGTGGCCTACGTACCAAGCGAATCGACCAAAAGGATCCAAGCCTGCGATTATGGATGATCTTGCCGTAACATCCCATGAGCGGGAAATAAATACTCTGGGCCAAAACCAAGCAATTGAAGAACGGCGCTACCTCGTCAAAAAATGCAGGGAGAAACTCGCCGCCCACATAAGTAAGACAGGTTCCATCGGGACAACTTAACAAGTATGCTGAATGCTGACTCTATTGAAGAAAAGCGGACAGGCATCACGATCGAACCCTCGAAAGTTCGGCTCGTAACCAAACAGAGTGATATGTACACCTGGGTTTATACGGCAGAGGTTGCTCATCTCTTTTCAAAAAATTTGAGCGAGCATGGCTTGACGGCGCACAAAGAACTTTGTCGGGAGGTCGGGCAGAGCTTCCATGCAATCACCTTTGCGAAGGCCGCTATTAGCGCCGACCATCCGAGCCTCGGCATATATCGCGCATCGACCTATCCGCCAGCCTCTAGCGTTCTCTCCGCCGAATCCGAGGCAATGGTGCGTGAGGAGCTGTGCGCTCATACTACATGCCAGCTGCAAATGGTCCAAGAAAATTTGAAGGCGGAGACGGTCAGAAGAGAATGCTTGCAGAAGGAACTAGAGTCTTTGAGTGCAGAGTACGAACATCTCGCTCAGCGATTCAGGCAAGAGGCTGAAAAAGCTGGCCAGAGCGAGTCAATGCTGTACAAATGCCTCCAAGTCATCAACCAGGTGGCATCACTAGCGGAGGAAGTGCAACAGGATTGTAGAAGCACGGAAGATCCCATTGTATTTCCAAGATAGCAGCGCAAGCGAGACTCTGTGTTTCCTGTGCACAATATGTGGACAACTCTGCATTGGGGTGGTGAATTTCATAAAGGGTTACAACGGTGTTAATGAGTGTGAATAGTTTGAGGCCTAGCAAGGTTAATAAATACCGACCATGTATCAAGCGATTAATACGATTATACAATACTCGGGCTCTAGGGCGTTACCGATAATCGAGTCATCAAGGATGCCGTACGAAAACCTCAGCCCCCACCATTGCTATGACTAGGTACCACTGCCATTGCACCTCGATACCCAGTACTCGGGCCGATCTCAGAAGGTATGATTGCGAGCAGTCCGCTCAATCAAAGCTTTGCTTCTTCCGATGTGTACGAAACCCGACACTCAAGTGTCGGAGCTAGGAACGTGTTGAGCTTTGGCACAAACCCTACACCTTTTGAGTGCACAATAGTGGCACTCGAAAAAAAGAGAGCAGGTTCTACGTTTCTGCAGGAAGGACAAATCCATTCGATTAGATAGCCGACCCTGATTAGCCAGGAATGTGTGCAAGCCTCTGGCGTGGGGCGTGTGGTAGTGGCCCGTACAACTGACGTATTTAGACCTGGGCTATGAGGATAACTTTCCGATGGATCATGTTCTTCACTCTCTTGATTGTTGCCACCCAGGCAGCCAGGGTATACGAGAGAGCATCCATAGTTTACAAGACGCAGAAACACATTACCTACGCAACTCATGCACAAGATTACTGAGAACGGGTCGGTCGGTCGGTCTGTAGCCCATAGGTTTAAGGTTGCATGCCGCGAAGGGGAGGTTTGGTATACTACCTTGAGGTAATAGGCCTGTTTCCCCTCTGCAAGGTCCGAATCAAAGTTTCAAAGAGGACGAGACAGCTCACGACGGTCGGTCCCATGGCGAATGTGGCGAGGCCCAGAAGCCCAGCCTGGTTGCCTAAGAAACTGAAGGGAACAGGTGCGGGTCGTGCTGGGCGGTACGAGGCGGTAGGGCTTGCACTGGTTACCTCATGTCTCGGGGTGGAACGGCTAGTATACTTACATTGTAGCGCGACGAAGAACCAAGGCAAAACTGCGCTGCCAAATCCAATATATCCAAAGGAGTATCATGACTTCATCCATGGGTGAGCTGGGCATTCGATGTTCGAGAGTGAGGGCTCTCGTGTTCGCAACCAGACTACTATACGTCTCCTTGGCTGCCTTGAGCCAATGAAGGTCGAGGTTGTAACCTTGGGGCAAAGATGTGGACAGATAGTGGATCATCGGCTTTGTCCGATTAAGAAATAACGTTGGTGAGAGTACATCCAGCTGGCGAAAGGGAAATTTACCCCGTGAAATTTGGTCAAATAGGTCGTAGAATTTCCATATCAGAACAACAAATCTTGTAGAATTGAGGGGTGTAATGCTGCGAGCTCCTTCTGTCTTAGCGCTACCTTTGGTCATAGTCCCGATCATAGGTCGTTCAATAGAAATCACTAGACTTCAGTGCCAACGGGTTCTTTCAGGGCTATAAGTACATTTTCATAATGGTCAATCTTGAACGTCGAAGCTCAGCCACTTCGGCAAATGTTGCCATCATTGGCGCATTCCGCCGGTCCTGAACAACGCCAAGCACCCGAGCACCAAACTGGGCCACGCATTTCAAGGGGTTTCTCTAAGCGTTGGTTCTGGATGGAAGGAAAGCAGACTTTCGGGGCATGTCTAATGTCGAAGGATACCTTCGCTGGCAGCTGTTGGTCGTGTCTTCAGTGTCAGCTGAGTCGGGGAGGGGGACCAATTTTGGCCCCTGATCTAAAGATAAGGTGGAGGCGGGATGCCTATTTTATCTATTCACCGTGGCCGTAAGAGACAATCATCAGATTTACTTCGAGTTTGGTTTTTACATTCGTATTCTTCCACACATTCTTTCCCTCTTCGTCTCCCTGTCAGGCACGCCCTTTCTCCTCTCCCCCATACGGCGAGCATTATCACAACATATGTGTCCAGTTTCGCTACTCTCACCATGAAAAAGACTCAAGCTGTTGTGGTATCCGTTCGTTGCTTTAGATGCGGATGTTTGATAGAAGCTATGTCTACGGATGAACTCCCTGTAGTAGAAGTATCGACGAACCTATTCTACTGTCTAAGCTGTGATTACACCACAGGCTACTCCAAGGAGGTTTTAGGGAAGCAAAAAGCTTCGCGCAAGATAAAGGACTCTAGCAGCTCAAGGGGAGCATAATATGAGTTGAAGTTGCATGTCAACGCCTGGGTCTAGAATAGGTACCATACCTTACCACGTTGAACCAGATCGCATGACTAACAAGTATTTTAGGGCGGATCTCATCAGGTTAGCACCAGCATGATCATTGATATACATTCATTACTAAATGCAAAATTAGGCAATTCAAAGAACTCTCAATGTTCTTAGCAGCATCACTACCTGGGTGGAAAGTAGAATTTAATATTGTTAGTTACGGAAGATCAATTCATCACAGACATTCGTGGCTATCTCTTAACAAGGTAGCTCAAGCCGGGCTACTTGTGTAAGCTCGAGGCTTTGCTTCACAGCCAGCTTCTTCTACTAAATCATGCACGTATGCCAGACAGTGAACCTAAAGGACTATTATCGCTAACGTACAGAATTGTCTCCTGAGTTCCTTTGAAAACCATGCGAAGCCATCTTCGTATTTATTACTCCTCGTAACTATGTCTATTCATCTGCCAGGCCACATATGAACCATTGTTCCTAGAAAGCTAACTTGGAGGCTAGTAGGCTGTAGTAACGTAGAAATAAAATAAACAATTTTTCTTGTATTTCTCTCTTAACTTCCTTCCCCTTACTGTCGAGAGACTCTGCCAACAGCTCCCGTTAAATTGCTACAGATCACCTCTGAAGTAGCTACTCATAGTCATACGAGGAGAATTTTCCTCTGTCGGCCTACAGGACTACGCTACCTACCCATTGCGGTTTCAGTACTTGAACACCCAGAAAATGCCGGTGGGCTCGACAAACTTCATAGGTCCAATTTTCGCTTCTTCCCGACCCCGGCAAGGTTCTGCCAATCCTTATCCGTAAACCTCCACAACTGGTTGCGAAGATCGTAAAGGACATTGTTCGGTTTCGATATCTCATCGGTTAACCGACATACGTTAGCCATCTCAAGCCAATCCCCGGCGTCTCTCCTCTCATGGCCGATTATGCACGCAAGCCTCTTTCACGATGAAGCATTATCATGGCCATCAGCCGTGCCCACGCGCCCAGAATGTCTGGCAAGCCGCTGCACTTCTCTGCCCCGACATCTGGCGGCGACAGCCATCATTGCATATGCTAGATACACTCTTCATGCAACTGCAGGAACAGAACCCCAGGGACACTACGCGTTTAGGACGGTTCGCGAGCCCCATTTGGACGCTAGTACTGCAAGATGAGACTACAAAAAATGGACACCTTGCCGCTCCTGCCCAGTAGAGAGACCCACAAAGAGAGTGCCCAAGTTAGGTACCGGATCACACCTGCGGCCTTGAGCAAGGATCACAGGACAACGACGCCCAATATAGGCCTCCAAAGCCACAGATATAGCGTGGAGGGCCAGATCTTGCTCGGCCACATTTGTGCAGAGCGCAAAACTGGATCAGCCATTAAAGCCAGGAGCGATCACCTTGCTCGGCACAATCTAAGGTCATTCCCTCTCTCCCCGACGAAGCCCTTGCACTAGCCTCATCCAAAGAACATGACCCGGCGAATTCTATTATGCCAGGGGAAGTGTAACCCCAGCCAACCACCAACTCCAAAGGAGGAACCCAACACACAAGCAGCATCTACCATCTGTCAAATACCATTCGGTCCCAGTGCGGGCCTTATACGCAAATCATCTCAACCCCCGCCCCCTGCCAACTCGGCCAGCATCAAACAGGAGCGGTCTGGGCAACCCAGCACCCATGCCTGGAACCAACGTTTCCGCGGTTCGCGGAGCTCCTCGTACCCGTACAGCTCCGAGAACGACCTAGATAGCAGTTCTTCGGCCAGTGGCAGCGATTCCGACGACAGTTCTTGCAGCGATAGCGAGCATTCCTCGCCAGGCGCTGCCCAAGAATACGTTTTACCACACGACCACCGGTTTCAGAGCTCAAGGCCGGAGCTTGTAAAGTCCGCTCTGGATTCCCTGGATGCCTGGATGAAATCCGCACGATATGTTCTACCGCCTGACGATAGGCTGCCCCCCCGGAAGCTCCTCCGGATATTACACTGGAAGGAGGGCGACGGCGGCGACGACAGCATCGACGGGTTCGTCGCAGTCTCCCCCCCGGTCGGATACTTCCACCTGGCATGCCCATTCTACGTTTACAACCCGGCCAGATACCAGCAATGCTTGCTACAGCACGACCTACGGTCCATCGAAGACGTTATCCGTCATCTAAGGCGCCACCACATGAAGCCCCCCTACTGTCCCCGTTGCTCTCAGACCTTTGACACATTGTCCACCCGGGACAGCCACATCTTGGAGAGAACGTGTGAACTTTGTGATCCACAACCCATTCAAGGCCTCAACTTCTACCAAAAGTCAAAGTTGAAACGACGAGATAGAATCTATCTCGGCGAGACAAAGCGCTGGCAACGCATCTATGCCACCGCCTTTCCCAACTCAGGCCTTCCTCGTTCCCCATACCTAGCCGGTGGCTGTGGGAAGGCGGTTTCCATGGCCCGAGACTTCTGGAGGGCAAATGGTAGACTCTGCGTTTCCCAGTTTCTAGAGCGCAGCGAGTTTCTCGGCGAGGAGGGCGAGAGGGATAGGCTTGCGGAAGAGGCATTATGTAACTTGGCACTGGAGGATATGGTTCCCGTGATAGTCCGACGCTATGGTTATTAATATGAGGATTTTGACAGAGAGAATACTATAAATAGGTGAAAGAACTCACGATTTTCAGGCCCTTGGTAACCCGCAGGATTATGATTATGAGCTACCTACGGATGACAGAGTGCGACAGTTGGACCTCCGTATCACGGACGAGGCGCAGCATGCTCCACCTTCGCATACCCTTGCTGATCCAGCCAGCCCGCCAGTCAGCTTTGTCTCTTCTGGCTTCCCTACTTAAGTCGAGAAGTCTTCCCGTTCATGTGGCTCTCTGTCTTGCTTGTTCTTAGACACATAGGAATCATCTCTGTTTACCAAATATTCCTGCGCCCCAGCTCACGCTTATCGCATATTGCATTCTTCAACAAAGACCAGGCGCTCAATGTCGATCGGTGATCTCGGGGAGAGCTCGCCCCTTATGAGGTCGGCCCCTAGCCCCGTTGGCGTCCCTCCTCATGGCAATGGTGACGGCCGCGCCAGCCTCCGTCAAGGCTCGAGCACCGTGCATTTTCTCCTAGACTCGAAATATACACCGGGTCTCGATAGCCGGAACTCTGCCCTGAGGTATCTCGCGTACTCATGGCACATCACCAAGGTCACCCTTCTGAGCAGTATGTTTGCGCTCGACTCTGAAACCCCACGTTCCGGGTGTCGACGCGACTGACTTGATTCCAGGCTATGTCAACTTCCTCCTGGTTATGGTCCCCGTCGGCATTGCTGCCGGAAAGCTGGGCTGGAATCCCATTGCCGTCTTCACCATCAACTTCATTGCCATCATGCCCCTCGCTGCTGTCATGTCGTTTGCGACCGAAGAGATCTCTCAACAGCTGGGCGAAACAATGGGTGGCCTGCTGAATGCTACCTTTGGAAATGCCGTAGAGCTAATTGTGCGCCTCGCCTGCGAAAACCTACGTCGAAATCGAGATGCTAACCATGACCGCAGGTCAGCATTGTTGCGCTCAAGGAAAAGCATATCGACATTGTCCAGGCCTCTATGCTCGGGTCGATCCTCTCCAATCTTTTACTGGTGATGGGCATGTGCTTCCTGTTTGGTGGTATCATCCATCGCGGTTCGACTGGCAACGGTACAGAGCAGGTCTTTTCTTCGGCTACAGCACAGACTACCTGCTCGCTCATGGCACTCTCGTCTGCCTCGCTCATCATCCCCGCTGCCGTACGTTTCAACTTTCGCCACTCTGCAAGGAACAAGCTGACTGATCGTTGGTATAGCTGTCTGCCGTCCTTGACCAGAGCGGCTTCAGGGACAAGGACCGGAGCATCCTCGCTCTGTCGCGCGGAACCGCCATCATACTGCTTCTCCTCTACGTCCTCTATCTCGTCTTCCAGCTTCGTACTCACAGCAACCTTTTCGACGCCGAGAACCAGAACTCTAACGGGCATGAGGAACACGAGGAGCCCGAGGAGCCCAGCCTGGGCACCTTCAGCGCTGTCGCCGTCCTTGTTGTCACCACCATCATGGTCGCCATCTGCGCCGACTACCTTGTGGGAAGTATCAACGGCCTTGTCGAGACGTCAGGCATAAGCAGGGCTTTTATTGGCTTGATTTTGATCCCCATTGTCGGAAATGCCGCCGAACATGTCACCGCCGTCGTCGTTGCAGTCCGGGACAAGATGGACCTGGCCATGAGTGTTGCCGTTGGCTCCAGCATTCAGATCTCTCTTCTCGTCACTCCTTTTCTCGTCATCGTCAGCTGGGCCCTTGGCTCAGATATGAGCTTTCGCTTTGAGGCTTGTAGGTTTAGAACAACCCGCAGCCGTGCCGGATGTTTGTATGTTAACCTGTTACCCCTCAGTCCAAACCGCTGTCTTTTTGGTCGCCGTTCTTGTCGTTACGTACACCGTGCAAGACGGCAAATCCAACTACCTTGAGGGCGCTATGCTTCTCGGCCTCTACGCCATTATCGCCCTAGCCTTCCTCGTCATCCCCAGTAACCTCGTTAGCGGAGAGCTTCAGGCCTAGTAAGGCGCATCTATCACCCACCCGGCCTTCTCTCACGCGTTGTGGTGCCCGGGGAGGGGGGGGGAGGGGGCTCTGGCCCAAAAAGTGAAGGCGAATGCGCACGTCGGGCACAGGATTGTTATCGGCCGGAAGCCTTGATCAAGTCAGTTAATTATCGTAGCTAACGTTATTGGAGAACCGTCACGCCGTGGCGCTATCGAATAAGGGCATTTGGGTATTTTATAATGTCTTAATAGGACGTTTCTTGATTCTTGTTGCGCCAAACCGACGATAAAATATACCAATAAGGCTATGAAAATGGTTCTGACTGATTAGCGGTTTTATATCGTCATTGACTACCGATTTGTTATGTTATTTTACCCACTGTTGTGGTGGAATTCCCATATATTACTATTGTTTATTCCGCCAGGCCGTCAGATTTCGTTGCCTTAAAAGTTCTATTCCTTGATCTGGAAGACAGAATCGCTGCATCCCCTATTGTATAAGCACTATTACTACTTGCTGTGCAGCTCATTCACGAAAGACAAGCGTTGGCCTTCTGAACAGGCTACATTGGGTTTCCTCCCGCAGCCCGCTCTCGCACATGTCCGTTCCCATTCACTACAAAGCGTGTACTGCCATGAGGCGATGTTTCAGGCATCACATCGTCTATTAAAATCCGTTCGCCGCCTTCTAACCCCTGCGCCTCCCTTCCTCATATCCCTTCCTGGACGAACTCGTCCTTCACAGGCCGGGGTGGCTTTGAACAACGATCGTACTTTTTGACCACTTCCAGGTCAGCCAGCCTTAGCCAGAGCATCACGGACATCAGACTTTTTTAGAATATCTGTATTCTAGCTCACCCCACATATAATTTACACATCCTATTGGCTCCTTGACAAAATGTTGATGTGGGTTGAATTAAGTTGAATTGAATTGAGTTGCTTGCATCCTTGGACAGTATATCGAAGGCCATTTTTGCTAGCCGTGGCAACGAATCCTGGTGCTGCCGCCACCACTCTAACGGGTCCTTCACAGGCAATAGCGGCCCCGAGAAGTAGGAAGTAAGCTCATCCTTCTGTGTTAAGTCCTCAGGCTTATCGTAGAAGTTGTCATCGATGAGGTAACGTATCTAGGCCTAATCAACCGGCTGGTTATCTCGAAGGTCAAGCTTGTTGTATTCGTCGTCGAAGAACTTCGTGAAGGTAGAAAACACGTGTTGAGCATATTCTTCATCAAGGTTCTTCTCAGTCCATCGCTTCTTAAGGCCAGGGTATAGGATCATCGCTGCCCAGTAGGTAGGCGAGTGGTCGAGAGTAGCAATGTATTTCTCAATTTTAAGGATCGCTACTAAAAGACTAGCACGCAAAGCGTGAAGGTTCCTATCGTCAGAGAAAGTAGGATCTTCGGAATCGCCAGATACGCCAGATTCGCACATAATAGTAGCTCAGATCGTGCCAGGTAACTTCATAGCGCAACCTCCATATCGCTCCGGGAGTCGTCTTTCGCGCTGCGGTCGCTGCGATTGGGATTCCAGCGGTGTGGTCGGTCGCAGAGCCGGAACTTCATCACCGATGAATATAGAGCGGCCGGCATATTCAGGGCCGGTTATTTCTTAATTGACAAGTCCGTTAGCGTAGACCTTTTCCTTCTCGCGGAAGTGGTTAAGGAGATAGTATAACGAAGCCGCTACTTCCGCGAAATAAGGCGCCCTGCTTTCAAATAGCTTCGTGAGCCGTTAACAAGGCATGAGTATTTCAATCGCGATCGCGAGGAAAGACCAGTCGTCGTCATGCAATACGTATTACGCAGGGAGGCGGCGTTTGGCGTCCCTCTCTTGAAGCGCCCTCCTCTGGAAAACCTCGATCGGATCTTTTAACTTCATCGCTCTCTCTGCAGAGGCGAGGAAAGAGTTCCATCTCGTATCGTTGTCCTGCTTTACCATCAACCCGCCAAGGTCGCGAAGGTTCTAGAGCGCCGAATTCAAGGAGCTCCTCCTCCGTAAGCTTTCCGTAGGTGAGGTCGAGAAACCGCTCTCTCCGCTGCGGAGATCTTCTGATCCAGCTCATCAGGTTGTGTAACCTTTGAATTGCCGACGATTGACGCTCTTTACACTGCGAGCTCGGCGAAGAACTGAAAAGGCGCCACCACCGGCGTGCGGAATGTTTGTGAGAGAGCCGGAAGACTGACTGGCCGACTGGCTGGGCGTCAGGCTCGATACCGACGAGGAATCGTCGGGGTTAGCCATCTTGACGATGTTGGCGATGGGCCCATGTGCAAAAATTTGACTGGAAAAGTGGATTTTTGGGCCTTCGGAAGCACTTACCTACCTCCCTCGCAACCCCACCCCTGCATTCTCATAGTCTGCAGATGGAACGGCTCAAGGATATGCTTGATTTCTGCCAAGAGCCTCCAGTCATTCCCCTTTAACATGTCGGCCTCGGGTAGCCATTTCTCCACTTCTGGATGAACCAAGAACGCCCTAATATCTCCCTGCTTGACGAGCGCTCGAGAGATCATGAGGTAAGTCTCGCCCGAATATCCGCCGGGCCCATTTCTGCGTCAAGATCTCCGTAGAAGTTCAGAAGGCAGGTGTCGTTCGAAGATGCGCTGTCTGAGATCACTGTTCCGACTCGATCCTCTATCTTCCACTCACGCACAACTCGCCCAAGCGTCACCGCAAGATTTTCCCCGCTGTGACACCCGAGCTGGCGTCGAAGTGCTAGTAGACGCGACTGGTGCTTGCCTACGCGGTCAAGAAAATGAGCTGTAACCGCCATGACAGCGTGCCGATTGGGTGAAGTCCATGTTGGAATAATTGGGAGCTTCCCCCTCACTTCAGGGTCACATCAGAAAGTCCTAGATTGAAAGTTGAAAGCCCTAGATGGAATCGCATGGGATATAAACCCCTAGGGAGCTCTCACCATGACAGTAACAATAACAACCTTGATTTTATCAATCACACCCAGCATCACTGCGCAATTCAACAACAAATCTGATGCTCGAGGTTTTGCTAGTGGCGCACTGAAGACGTAGCTCTTTCTTCCGAGGCTGGCTGCCCGCCCACACAGGGCGGCATCGAACCGGTTGACAGCTTGAACGGGGTGCTGGCTGGTGGATGGCGAGATAACGACTTGGGTAGCGTAGAGGAATTCAAGGAACACAAAATCCTAGAAAACCAAGCTAGAGAAGCCTGGATGTACACGAATCCTTTCCTAGCCAATTTGCCTCGTCAAGACCTCTAATTAAGACCTGGTTTGGGCATGCAGCATTACCCGTTGGATCATGTGGGGCTAGGGCCAACGCTTGGCTCAATGGCAGTACCAACTATGCTTAATGCAGCTAAGCCCGTCTGCGAACCGCTTCTGGACAAAAGCCAGACCCCGCAACCCGCAACCCAAAGTCAAGGGTTCATCCAGCGCCATCCAACGAAGGCGTAGCTGCAGACACAGAGCTCCCGCACAAGAGCATGCCTAAGTGCCATAATAACCCAGCGGCATAATTAACTAAGTAGGTGACAAAGATGGTCCACGTGGGGTAATCAGAAGCAACTAGGTACCGAGAGTTACTTAGGGTCACTACCAATAACAACCCTGTATATACGTGCTAGCGAGTTGATCTGGTTTAATTCTATTGGAGTATTGGAGATTAAGGTTCTGCACCCACCAACTTTGTTTAGGTCAGTGTCCCTCCAATTTCCCGTATGACAACTTTGAGCATAGCAACCTATTACTAAATGCCAAGCAACTGTCACTTTCATCTGCGAGATTGCAACCATCTACTCCTACATAAAGGCTCTCTCAACCAGGCCTGTCTGACGCCGGTCGAATCCAATTCCTCCGTCATGTTTCATCAACCGACATCCAGTGCCTCCTCTACTAGAATTGTGCACCGGTCATCATGCAAAAGTCATGCCCTAGAATAGTCCCATGCATTCCCCCCCTCGCCATCGAGATATGAGGAGGAGGATGGGACGTGTGGCAACGATAAGCCGTTGCTAACCCTGCTCAACATTCAACCATTGACTCCATAGAAGCCAGTACATCAGATATATGGATTACAAGCACCTTGGAAACGTAAACCCCATAAAAAGCTCACCGGTGAGATGCATCTCAGGCTCATCATTGTTACCTTTCACTCTAAAGTTAGTCGTTAGCAAGGGATGGCATGTTTATACGGGCACAGACAGCAAGGCAGAATCAGGAGAAGGTTATTGTCTCCAATGCCATACTGAAGAGAGAAGAGGGATCGCCGACAGCTCAAGCTTCATAGCATGTTTGCAAGAGGTTGGCAATGCGGCTGAGAAGGCGCATCGGGGTGGTCAATGGCAACAACTGCATAAGGGTAAGGGGCTGGTCATCTGAATATGTGGTTGAGGGTGCACGCTGGCATGCCGCGGCAGTTGGTTGATTTCGCGCGAGAGCGGAAGAATACCGACTATCTCGAGCATGTCGAAGTCTGAAAGCAGCAATATGACCTGAGCACAGTCGAAACCGTGGTTAATCTGTATGCACCAAGCCATGCCGACAGGATACAGACAATGACACTATTGAGAGCCCATCTTCGCCCGCCAATAGGCACGGAGGGCGCCCAGTCCAGTCTAGCAGCTTAATCGCCTAACTCAAAGGCCAACATCACCCGTCTAAGACACCGCTTTCCATATCAACAGTCACAATTAAGTAAAGATGCTCTACGCAACATACTTACCAGTGTACTCGATGAAAATACCTGCCTTTTCGCCCGTGGCGTAAGCAAAGGATAGGGTATCGCTGCCGCTAAGACCACTCTATCTGTTTCCATCCAATGCGCCGGCAACATGGACACTAAATTCTGGCCGCCCCCCGTCGGCATCGCTTGCACGATTAGTCACTGGCTTCGCGCGACCGCCCGAATAACCTGTTCCCGAGGCCCTCCTGACCTCGGCCATCATCCGTTTCCAATTTCCTTGCGTGTCGATGCGGTGCAAATCGGCCGAACCGTCGGCGCAACATCTCCTTCAGCTCGCTGTCGAATTAGGCCGGCCCTGCTTCGCTACCCCGCCCATCGCAAACCCCATCTAGAATAAGGATACTCAAAAGTCCGCATTGTAGATATAGTTGTTTTCTGACTACTTTCTAAGTTCTACTTAATAACTATGAAGTCCAAAAGTGGATCAATAATTTAAGTTATATATTCCCTCGCCAGGTTCCATCTAGCCTTCTTCGTACCCTTCATACCAACTTACTACAATGCCTGCTTTAAACCGCGATATCTGGCATGACATCTCACAACACCTCCTCCCTCGAGATCTACTAAGCTTCATGAGCACTCATAGTGATGCCAAAGACATCATTGGTTCGCATCAAATTCAACATATGAAGTATTGGTGACAAATTTTCAAAGATTTTGATTGGCTCCCAGATGCAGTGGCTCAAGGTTCAAAACCTGTCTTGATATTTCCGGACAAGCATGAGTACGACAGTGAGGAAATGTATATATGCCTTGGTAGGACCGACGAGAACCGGACTGCCAAGGAAACCTCACCGGACCGTGTACTCCACAAACGAATGATAAATTCCTTACGGTCAAACACTGTTGGTAAACAACCATACGAAAGAGTGTTTGACAGTTTTACCCTAAATATCGGGACACTGCTCTATGGCAATCTACCCACTCCAATTGGAGACTTGAGCTGGGCACATCAAGGGAAGATGAGACTAGTAGTACTCCAGGGGGCTACTTATAAGACCAAGGCCGAAAAAGTACTCGGCTGTGTCATCTTGGCGCCTACAGCTAAATGTGGTATTGTATTTTGTAGATCGCCAACCATCGCGCATGAGTACTACCTAGGTAAATAGAGACATCATAAATGTAGTAGCTGGTTGGCATGGCTCAAAACACACGCAACCACGCGACATAGACACCCTTCTTTTTCTCTACCAATCTCAGGAAGATCACTCTCTGAGTAGCCCGTACAAAAGGAACATGGCTTAAACCACGATCCATCTGTAAGGATCAATGTCTATGTTGTGATCCTCTAGAATCACTCCAAAGTATATAGCACACGCTCATTTGCGTTTTTCTATGTAGCAGCCACCTTGGCTACCAATACAACTTGGTCACAATCAATATCATTAAGCACATCGCCACGTGGATACCAATCTCTTGCTCAGAGCAACGCCACTGATCCTCTGTCAACGTAAACCAAAACTACCAGTTTATCCCTTGGGAATACCCTCTCATCACGCAGCGCGCATATAGACGACCCCACAACGTATGCGGGCAAGTTCAAACGTTAGTGTATTTGAACGAATTACCAGTAGGGTTGAAAATCTTTCATGCTTCCTTAGCGCCGTTTCCTCTTCCGATTTCGATCGTTGACATTAACAAGCCTGAGAGGTTCTCGGGCATGGAGCTCTACTTGTGTCAAATCAACAATCATTCATCTACCAGCGTGTTCATCATAGAGCACACTGCGTGGCTCTGCATCACGGTGGAGGACTTAATGCTGATGCAATCGACTGAGCGCGGTATGGATCCCGTTGCTAAGATCCCCATGGACTTCCTTCCCCTAGGCCCTTTCAGATCGGCCGCCTGCCGCAACCAACGTGAGAAACTCATACACATCGCTACCGTAATAGCATTGGTTGATAAGCTCGACGACGCCGAGACAGACTGGGATGTTTTCTCCCTATCGGTCACGATCTTCTGGCTCAGTTAAGCCATCAAGGGCTGGGCTTCAACTATAATAAAGAACACATTATCAACACATCATAGCATCATATCCCGATGCTAACACAGTGCCCTATCGGTTACGAAGGTGCTTGTATACCCAGTTTCCTATTGTAGAGGCTTTACATCCGTGGCCTCCACGCCTTTCGCCACAAGCGTGTAGCTATGTGACGATAGGTGGAATTTGAAGAATGGCCCATGTGATCCTAATAGGTTGAGTGGCACTCAATCAGCCTTTTCTCTGCGGCTAATTGCTAGTTAATCGCACCTTAGTTGAAGAAACTCCCCTCAGCAGAGGGGAATTGAATTATGGCGACACAATTGGCACAACTCGCTTGGGCTACTACAGGCTTTACAGGCTTTACGGGCTTCGCAGGCTTCATGCACGCTTCGAAGCACAAGCTCAAGCTAGCTAAGCCAGGTACGTATTTGGCGCCAAAAGTACCTAACAGTGCCGTACCTTGCACGCCCCCGTGCCCATGCCTTTTGGCTGCTTTCTGCTTCTTTTTTCGCTGCTCTCACCCCCAAGCCCCCTCCCGATCAGCACCAGATACCAAGCCCGCGATGGACCCAAGCTACTCTTCTAGTCCAGCCTCCGAACAGCGTTCCTTGGATGAGGTGCGTGGTGCTTGGAGGTGGTGAGGCAGAGGCGTTTTGGTGATTCGCAGTGCATCGCAGGACGGAGCACAGCAGACGGTCCTTGAGGCATCATGCACCCCCTCGGCCCAGAGTTGCTTGGGGATCAATCCCACAGGCGATTCTCCGCCAAAGGACAGAACAGGGAACCGCAAGAGTTGAGCTGCGCTGCTGTGAAAGCCAAGTCTGAGAAACTCACTCCGAGGAGTGCCAGGATCCTGTGGCTCCTCCTCGTGGTGGGCGCGCGACCGTGGCCGTGGGTGTGTGACTCCTGGGGGCCTCCTAGCAGGGGCCGCGTCTGGGTACCTCCACCCGCTGTTGCCCGGCGCGCAGGTACCTGGTCAGCGACCCCGTACGGTACCTGCAACCGGTACCCGTCCCAGAAAAACCAAGGTCAAGCCATCCTTGGATGAATGGAGGGATGGATCCACGGAGCTAGCCAGCCAGCCAGGCCAGCCAACCTATCTACGCTGCGTCTAGCTGCGTCTCTGCGTACTCCTCCCCTCCCGGCTACTGCTGCAGGCTGACTGGGCTGGGCTGGTTCCGTTAAAACTACTCGTGTACCTCACCCAGTCCTTTTCCCTCTTCTCCATCCTCCTCCTACCTCTTCATCCGCATCCTCCCCCTTCCGTCTCCTGTCCGATTAAAGGTCAGGGCGAAACTCGAAAAAAGGTTGTGAGACGGAACCAAAAGAAAAAAGGCCGGACTAGAAAAGTGAATCAAAAAACGCCTTTGCTGGTATTTCACTCTTCCTTCTGGTACCCAAGTTAGCCCTTTGAACTCGACATTCTCCTTTCGACTCTTGCCAAATTCCAAGGTCCGTCGACCAGGAATTCCGGTCTCTTCCACTCCCTGTCGCCAGCCGCCGACGCCGCCTATCGACTCACTCGCTCTCTTCACGCGAGACGATCTCTTTTGCTGCCCTTCCCGAGACTGGTTCATCGGCCCTCCGGCCGGACTAGCCTGTTCAACCTTGGTCGAGCACTAGGGCAGAAGAATTTACGACGAGTGACGACTGTGGATTGTTGAAATTCTTGAATCTTGATAGCCTCGAGGTTCAAACTCACTATCCCACCACTTGAACTACTCGGCTGCCCTGTCAGCCCTGACCCGGTAACCGACATCGATTTCGAAGCGTCAAGAGGGTGAGGAAAGTATGTCTTAGAGTCAAGACCCTGAGGTTAGATTGTAATTCTAATCTCCCCTTCCAGCTGCATGCCGAGGATCCTTCTTCCGCATACCGCCGTCCTCTCCACAACCTCCACGCTTCACCAGCTTCCTTGAGCTTTGCCCCGTGGGAGACGTTAACTCGTTGTTCCCACACAATCTCAGGGACTGTCTCATCTCCCGACTGAGCTGTCCACCTCCCCGAGCTGTGGCGGTAAGCCTCCCTCTCCCCTCGATACGGCACTCTTGCCAATCGCCCCAGTCCCTCCTGCAAGCCCGTCCCCCATCACCCAAAGGATGCCCGCTTCCAACAGCCCATGATTCTATTCATCGGGCCATTTAGCACTGTCTTGGCAGAATCGAGATGCCGCACGCTAGCATGGAACCTCGTACTGACGCATATCCCGTTTCTAGAGCCCTTCAGTCGACTAGTCTTTCAACGACCCCTTTTCTAATCCCTTTCCTTGCCTCTACATGCTTCTGGTCTCATTACCAGCTACGTCGCTTTCTTCCATCACACTCTTTAATATTTTAATAACCTAATTTGGTGTGCATCACTCTCTTGCACACTTTACCAAACGCTCCTTCACATCAACGAGATTCCTGGCGAACCGACCCGTCTCTCATTTCATCAAGCCTTTAACTCTAGTCATTTGATAACTTCAACCACCCAATATGGCTTACTCTCACGACGACGGCTCCTTCTTTGTCGAGTCCGATGATCATCACCAGAGAATCTCTACTCAGGAGACTATCAAGATGCTCGCCCGCCAGCGCCACGATATGATTGCCGGCGAGCTCTCCCGGTTAGCGGCCGATGAGTACCTCGAGGATATCATGCGGCACTTGCGACGGATGGAGGCATGCTGAACATTGCGCACTGCTAGGCATCTTTTGCTGACCTCTCACAGGAAGAGACTCTCCCCGATGCTTCCTTCATTGACATGCAGCACGAGATTCAGTGGTTCATGAGGCCCTACCTCATCGACTTCCTCATCGAGGCCCACGCCGCTTTCGCCCTCCTCCCCGAGACTCTGTTCCTCACCGTCAACCTCCTCGACCGATACTGCTCCAAGCGAGTGGTGTACAAGCAACATTACCAACTTGTCGGATGTGCCGCCCTCCTCATCGCTGCCAAGTATGGGGACAAGAAGGATAGAGTGCCTCAGATTCACGAGCTTAACAACATGTGCTGCGGATTCTACGAGGCTGGAATGTTTACTCAGATGGAGATGCATGCTCTGAACGCCCTGGACTGGACCATAGGACACCCCACTGTCGACCTGTTTTCTCAGCTCATGGTGACGGAGGAGGGAGACGACCAGGAGGTTAAGCACATGGCTGCCTATCTCTGCGAGATTGCCATGTACTACCGCGACTTTGTCTCTACCAAGCCCTCGACGATGGCTCGATCTTCTCTCGTCCTCGCACGTGTCATCCTCGCCCGACCCTATGTCAACGATGGAAAGTGGGATCACACAGAGAACATGACCCTCCTGACACTGTCGCACCACCTCCACCAGCCCTCGGCCACCCTCGCCCGCAAGTACTCGACCCCCAACTACTCTCAAGTATCTCAGAAGCTCGTCAAGTTCATGGCTGAGCAGGCCGACCTCGCGCGTCGAGCTGCGAATCCCATCACACCGCACACCAACAACATTTACAGCACATCTCAAGAAGGCCACAGCGCCATGATGGGGTTTGACGGATACCCGACTCCCCCTATCACCCCTGACTGCTTCTCATTAAGGGGCAACAGCCACAACATGGCCAAGGACTGCTACGGTCTGCCCCCTTGGTGCCCGGTAACACCAACCCCTCACTACCACGCCTCAGGCCACGCGCAACAACAACACTACAACGGCTTCGTGAACCAACACGGCATGAACCAATAATGGAACTCGTGACGACTCGGCCTTATTGACCTGGCTGCCAACCCTGGCGGCATCGACACAGCCAACCTACACAATCCTTCCGACGTTTGTTCGAACCCACTGCATGCTGCACAACGGAATGATCGATCTCTCATTTACTCTCATCTTCTTTTTTCTTTTTGGCATTTAGCCACTGCCATCTAGGTTGCCATGTACCCCCGCCCGGGAGCATGGCCTCGATCCCCGTTGACCCGGAATGATCTTCATTGTAAATCAACGCTTGGATTTGGGATAGCGTCGTTGATCTGCCAAAAGCTTTTATAAATCCTGGCTGATCTATTCCGTGACTGCTTTGAGGGAAGTTGTGATGTCACTGGGGTTTCCGTACGTGAGGCGTTGATCTTGCAACTGACTAACCTGGCTTGTGGTCGTTATCGCTTATCCTCGCGTCTCTTAGTCTGAATAAGTTTGGGGCTTGGCGGTGGTGAAGTGAGGTCGATCACCATGGAGCGGTGTTGATTTTGCTGCTGGGGATGGGCATCGGTAGCCCGGCAAGCCAGTTCCTCTCGACACTGAGGTTCAACATCTCGACATCTCAAGCACTCTCTATAGCGCTTAGTAGAGAACTTAGTTTGCCAAAAACAGACCCATTCGTCCTTATTACTCTGAGGAGACAGGCCGTGGCGAGAGCGGTTTGCAACGTGGGTGGGAGCGTAATATAGAACTGCTAGTCAGAATATGGATTTTTAAAGTGATACCTGCTTGCGTGCCTGGGAGATTGCCCTTTTGTGGTTAGATTGGTGCCCTACTGAATTCTTATTACGCTTTGCTAGCTAAGCGATTGAGATATTCTGAAAACCCATGTCCTGGCCCCTATTCGCCCCCCAAAGCTGCTGCCTATTCGCCACCAGGCCATCCCAGCTAACAACATGAAGCCTCTGCCACTATTGGGTTTAAATGTTGTTTTGCCAATCAAATTTTGGCAATTCGTTGCCGTGTTCTTCGCCGTACTTCTCCCCAGACACAACCCAAACCTTTCCGTCTGTAAGCCCAATCCCTTCGATATCCGCTCAGAAGGCGGAAAAGGATGGTTCCCATCTCGTTTCTCTCAAGAAGGTTAGAGAAGTCAATGCCTCCTGAGAGGTGAAATAACCTCCCATGATACAGCTAGGTATGAGTCTTCTGCTAAGGCAGCAGAGAGACTCAAAAAGAGGCCAATGTGTAAGCATTGGGATATGATGTTATGATGTGTTGATAATGTGTCCTTTGCTATAGTTGAAGCCCGGCCCTTGATGGGATAACTGAGTCAGAATACCGAAGGCTGCTGCAAGCTGCTGTTCCAGACCGTTGCAAAGTGCCGTTGAAGGCTGTTGCAAGCTAGATGTGAATCTCAGGCATCGAAATTAGCTTCGCTAGCCTTTGACAAAGGGTTGCTGTTAGAAACTTTCCTAGTTTTAGCTATATAGAATGCAGATCTCATGACAGACTTAATAAGAGCTAGAATCAGCCACTTAATAACAGTCATTCTCGGACATTTATTATCTCTTAGCTATATATATTCATCTATCTACTTACTGCGCTTTAAAATATCTATGATAATTTTCTATGCCGACGCAGTATGAGAAAGCTTCATATCTTAGCCCTTGCATCATTTACCCAAGCCTGCTCTTTCGAATACGGCCTTTGGGTTCCCAAAGCGGACCAAACTTTCGGACTAATATTTAATGAGTTAGGCGTTAGTCGGGAAGAAATTCAATCATGGAATCCCGGGGTAGATATCGATGAGATTTACCCAAACACGTTTTATAGGATTCCATTTAAAAAGCCAAAATACTCAGCTCTTTGGAATAGCGATTGTCCTCCTTTACTTTATTTATCTGAGAGTACATGCAAAACTGGAAATTTATTAAATAGTAAAGCACTGTCGACAGTTACGCCCAAAACGATAAGAACCATAGACCCTACTCAGATATCAGCGTCTAGTTCCACAGATACAAGAGCATCACAAACGATATCGTCCGGGAGTCCCTCTCCTCCATCTGCTTCTCAACGGCTGACTACTTTAATCACATCCCAGTCAGATAAAGCTGAAGCAACGAGAGCAACAACCTCCAAAGCAACGAAAGTGACAACGAGTAAAGCAACGAAAGTGACAACAGCTAAAGCAACTCAGTCAACTCTATCAAACAAGACCTGCCTAAGTCCAAAGGAGTTGCCGGGCCACGCCAAGGAATACGGGTCACGCGTAAGGAAAGCTGCACAGACCTGGTGTGGAGCATTCATGGGAGAAGGGAAGCTAGGAGCTCCAGTCGGCAGCATCAGTGCTGGAATATCCGACGGCTGGGGAGTTAAATTTGACTTTGCTATTTCGTGGCGCCCGGGCTGTGAGGGTGACGACCAGGAAAAGCGGCTGCCACTTGGGCCAGAAGGTCCATCGTGTGTATCTGTCTTTGAGCAGATTTGGGAGGCCTGTAAGTTATTATCGTTTGTTAGCAAAATACCCATGCTTACGCCCTTTTAGGTCAAGATAGTGTTGGAATCGAAGGGACGGCTCAGGCCAGATGTCTGGTATACGAAGTGAAAGCTACGAAGGAGTAATATCGCTATTTGCAAGATGCTCTATTGGCTGCTGAACTTAAAGGGAAGGACAAACAGATTAGGAAGTAGACTCAATTTAGTTTAGGTTTGTATTAAAGTAAATTCATCGGCCCTGCTCGGGAATGTAGACTTACTAACTTAATTGGTTCATTACATCAGGCTGACGCTCGAAGTAGAAGTACTCCTGTGTTGCCTTGCCACGCCAACCCTCGACGCATTCTTCCCACTCAAGCTTTTTATCCTTTTACTCTCCCCGATCTCGGTCAATATTGACCCACCGTAGATTTGGAACCTGATCCACCGCCATCAATAACGTAAACACAGCCCGGCGGGTCTTATCGCAGAATCTCTTGTAGTTGCTATGCTCGTAGCCATTGCCGTCCCCGTAAAGGCGCAGCGTCTGGATCGTAGGGGGAAGCGCTCCGGCTAAGGGCGCGATTTGCTCCTTCTCAGTCTCCACAAAATAGGTCAGGCGAATTTTGAGATGTGAGAGACCGTTGAGATCACGAGGCGTCGTGCCAATATACCCCATAGGGGTATGGGGCTCGTTGGGATGGTCGCAATAAAGGTTACAAAATTCCAGGCTCCGGCCCAGCTTCTTCAGGACATTGCCGAATTCACACAGGTTGAGATTCCAACTTCCATCGTCCCGAAAGTTATATCTTCTTTCGCCGGCCGATTCCATCGATAACCGCTTCAGCTTCTTGCAGCGGGTCAGAATGATCTTCAGACTAGAATGGTCAAATAGACATTCCTTGAGAACGAGATATTCCAGGTTGCATGGTTCGTGGGGGAACTTGAAATTCTCGATTGAGTGCTTAAATAAGGAGACTCCGTATAGACGCAGAGTTATGAGGGTAGGGTGGAGTAGGACTGGCTGGAGGATATGGATGGGCACGTTACTCTTGGAAGATCTTTAGTTCTGATGCGCGCCTCCTCTAGGTTCGGTAGCCCATAGTCTATGCGGAGTGGGTGTTATGCGGTTGCCTCGTTGCCTTATCTTAGATTTGTAGGCTCGTCTGGTATATTGATTGGTGTTCTGATTCGGATGATTTCATAAGTCTCAGGCCGTAGCTGGCGCACACCTCCGCAATTCCTGGGCGACATGGTGCGGCCAGCTATCAACCTGAGATTAAACCGATTCAGTCGGGAAGGCATCAGGTCAGACAAGCAGCTAGCGTCAAGGATGGTAATAGTACCAAGCCCAAGCCAAGACTTTCGCAGAGGAGGAACTGATTCGACCGGGGCAATTGGCAATTTCTAAGCTTGGCCGATATGCAGCTCTGCACGTGGTTTGGCGTGTTGTCTTGTTCGTGATCCTGGCCACGGCCGAACGCGACAGTGGCAGGACGCCAGCGTGAGCCATGAGAACAGTTGAGTGAAAAAGCGCAACAGTCGGAACAGCAGAATCATGACCGTGACTACAAGGGAGATAAATGCTGCTCCTGGGTAGGGAGCACATCGTCCCTTCCTTTCAGTAGCCAAGCGGCAGATGCCGCTCAGCTCGCTATGATCAACCATGACTAGACAATCATGATTCAGTCGATAGGGGACTTGGCCTTGGCCATGATAACTTCAGCTTCTGAGGGCCAGTTTCATGGTGGTTCTTTTATAAACAACTGGTAACCACGACGTTTACAAGCCTTTTTCTTACTTCTCCAGGTTCAAGAGGCAGGCGGGTAATCATATGCGCCCTAGCTAGCACCACCACCTACCAACCCAGATCTCCAGTGTCCTCGTGAAACGGACTCGACCTCTCACAGGAGCGTGCGGTTGAAAAAAAAAAAGATGGCCCGGGAGTGTGATTGGCTCCGAGGTTTACCTGTTCGAGCTCTCTTGCAGCTCGTCCAATTCCTCGTCATTATCTGTGATAACAACCACAGGCGATTCACTGGCTGGATTTTACATTCTCCTCACGCCCTGCTTCAAGGGTCTTCAGGCTCAGTTATCCCATCGAGGGCCGGGCCTCAATCGTAACAAAGAATGCGTTTCGAGTTGCTCAGGTAAGTGCCACGATCAAGCACAAACTGCTCGGCTCTGCCAACGTCTTTTCTCACTTCCCCGTCGCACTTTCCCTTCTGGGTATCTCTCCCATCGTTAAATTGATATCATGTCGGTCTGCCCATGACTATCACTCTATCAGGCGACAGCTCCTCGACACATGGATACATTGTCACTCATCATGCTCACCATAAGCCGAACAGAATAGTCACATCACCGGTTTCTAAACACTACCACATGCGCTCGAGATCGGCTTCCGGTCAAGTTACGTGAGATACTTCCCAACTGCCTTTTGCAATCTCCGCCGTCAGTTGAGGGGACCTAGACACGATACCAATGGTACGCAAGCTTCAAAAGAACGATTTCAAGTTCGTTAACCTCATGTCATACCCAAAGGCAGATCAAGGCAACCCAGCAAGAGAAATACTGTTATCAACACAATTATTTGTGATAGGTATGGTAACTCTATATAAGATACACACCTAGATCCGAAGCAGGCAGACATGTCCTTTCTTCCGCGTTTGCATATAGAAACATAGGCCAGGAGGGAGTTTTACTTTGCCATCGGCAATAGTCCCTCTAGAAAATCTCCCGGCGTAGTCCAATAGAGGCTTCAACTCAGTAGTCTGCAGCCCTTTATAGTACACGCGACTAATATCAAATAAGCTATATATTGGATAGCTAAGGGGTTCACCGTCAATATGAATGATCTTTACTCCACGTCCAGTGACTTGGACATCAGTAACTTTCACTAAACGGGTTTCATGGTGTGGTTTATGCATGTTGAAATCTGATGTGAGCGGCGCGAGCACTGGTATTTATCAAGGCGCGTCGATGTGAAGCTTGTATTGGCGTTACTATTTACTATCTATCCGAGTTAGACTCTAATTCGGACAATGCAAAACAAACTAAAATTGGCCAGTCCATTGTTTTGTTTGAAACAATGCAGGGTGATATTGATTTGGTATTGGTTGCGTACCAAAATGCTACCATGAGCTTAGTAAATCGGGAGACAGTCAACAATCATTGGACCTGTACACAGCCATCACAAGGCAAAGGAAGGGCCGTTTGGAAGACTTCCTCACCGACGGGTCCAACATCTGGCAAGCTGCCGAGTACCTAAGACCGGGAGACGAAACAAACGGCGATGAAGTGCCTCCGCCGAGAAGAGTAGCCGGGACCACGACGCAGGATAAGGCCAGACAAGCAGAAGAGCTCCTCGGCGTGTTCTTCCCACCATTACTGGCCAGCATAGAAGACGAAGGCCCGCAACCGAGGCGCAGGGAAGTAGCCATGCCGCACCTGACGGGGAGGAGGTCGAGGAGAAGGTGATGGAACCCAAGCAAAGATGCAGCAATCCACCAGCATGGCCGGTCAATACTGAACCCCAAACGTAGTCGGGGAAAGTCCCGAGACGATACCAACCCCAGACAGTTGCTCGTATACTAGCGTGAAGGAGTGACTTAGAAGGATAGGTGTCTGGAATAATGCACTAAGTATTGACCACTATGAAACGCCAGTGGACATCATGTCGTCACATATAATAGACAGTGAGCCATGTAACAATGTTTAGAATTCCGTGTTCTGATGGAGCTAGTCGACAGATTTCTCTTCTTCTAGTTGAGAACAGGATTAGGCGGAAATGCCAAGTGGAACTACTGAAGAGAAGCGCACAGCAGGCGCACGAATAATAGTTGTATTAATAAATCAAACTAGCTTTCTTGTAAACCCAATCATCGTCATGATGATGCTTCGTCATTCTCCGATGATAGACAAGGACGCTTGTACCATCACCAACCGTTGCCGTCATAGCCATGGACTCGATCATGTCTGGAGCAAATGTTTCATGCCCTTGATCCGGGCAATAACGCTGCTCCGAAGGTTGAGTTATCGACTTATAATGTAATATTTGAGCATCAAGCCTTCGGTCGTCCTCTTTGGCTTCGCGTGCGGCGGCCCCAACTTGTGATAGAAATATTCCAGGGCCCTGTTCAGTGGTGTTTCCCGAGGTTTGGCCTGTTCGAGTTTTCTCCGCGCCGTCGCCACTCCCAGTATCATGGGGGTATTATTTCCGATAAGCTTGCCGATAGGGGAAATTGATATAGCCCACGTCGGCTTAATGCGTGGGAAAGCCTCCAACTTTGGCTCATGGGTGTCACCATTGTCCTTGAACTCCTCCAGGCTCTCACTATCGTCCTCAATCGCATAATCATCAGGCGAGCCGGTGGTAGGCAGAGTTGCAGTTACAGTATATGTTGATGGTAATGGAGAGGGATCATTTGTTGTCGAGGTGAGCTTGGCAAGATCTTGCTACACTTCTGAATCTTTGACCAGGCTAGGTGACTTCGTACGAACACTCTGCTCATCAATAGGCTAGTCGTGGTGGGATGAGAAAAGGAAGTCCTCGTGTCTGTTCGAGGCATAGCAGCGGCATCAGTCTTTGGCTTGACACCAATAGCGCAAGAATAGACAGTTCGTGTAAGCGCAGTCGCGATGCTCGTCCGAGTGTTTCCGAACACGGCGATAGGAGCAAAAAAGCGGAGTCGGGCAAGAAGAAGGCGAACAAGGCAACTTGAGGCTCACCAGGCGAACCACTAGCACAGGGGGCCTCTTTGCATTTTTATAGGACCACCGGACCTTGACAGGGGTACCCACCAACGCAGATAGATATTCACACCCAAACTTTCGTAAAATGATATGTGATACGCAAGCGGAGGGTGTTCCATGTCTCCCATGTCTCACCTCTCCCTAATCCTTGGTGACTGTACCCCTGCAGCAGTGTTCCTGCTCGAAACGCAAAAGCAGGGGATCAAGCAGGTCAGCCACAGAGGCGTTAGCGTGCTAGACCTCTCCCCTCGCACGCTAAGTTAGTGGAGCCTCAACACCGTCTCCCTGTGCCTCGGTCCGTGTGCAGTGGGGTGACATGACGGCTAATATCCGTGTTCCGCGCTAAAAAGAAAGTTGACGCATGCTCCACCAGCTGAAGAGCCTGCAGATCATTACATCCGGCGGTCCTATGAAAACGCAAGTGTCCCCAGAGACAGATGGTGGGACTCAAGCGCTCTCAACAACCTGAGTCCTGTTGTCATCATGACACTCGACCGAACTCCGAATCCAGCAGCCAAAATTACCGTAAGAAAAGTACCAGGCCGGTTTTCCTGTGGTATATGCCCAAACAAAGAATACTCTTGGCTCAATGATCTAGAGGCCCATGTGGCAAAACATCATGGCAATGCCCTGTATGCCTACAAGTGTACTGCTCGTACGCTGCGTTTTGTCACTAAGTCTGTGATTAGGTAGGTAATTTAAGTATAGCAAAGTACTATACTAACTTACTGGAGGGCTCATGAATGTCCTACACTATTACTAAAACCCTTTCTTTGTGCCCTATGCTCTATGGAATTCGGCCGCAAAACGTCTGCAAACAGACATTATTGTAAACCGCCTAAGAGTATTTTCTTTTGTGGTAGCTGCTGGAAGGAATGCAGAGACCACGATGAACTAAAGATCCATGTATTTGGGCATTCTAATATTAGGAACCCGTTTCAGTGCACTTGTGGTTTACACTTCAAAAACCACGAACTATTCAAAGAACATCGCAAAGCGAAGGGGTGCCGACTATCAGATTGCACGCCTAGTGATCTCAAAGGCAAGCGCATGTTCGGGTGCTCCATTGAAGGCAATAAGGCTACTTTTAACAACCAGGCTGAGCTACTGTACGTTATTTGAGCGATGATGGTTGAGCATCACACTAACACTTCGAAGGAAACACGCTGGGGTTAGGCAGAGAACCAGAGTGCAGCAACCGAAATCAACTCAGGAATCCACAGTGGCTCTCGGCGGTGCTAATCTCCCAACTGTCGAGTACGTCTGCCGTTACGCCGGCTGCCTCAAGGTATTGAAGGCTCCAGCCAATCTGCGACGTCACCTATGGGGGCATTCAGGTCTTAAACCAGATGATCCAAAAGCTTGGCCTCGTTTTCTTGAAGGCGGAGAAAAGATCTATGGATGCCATACGGGTGGATGCAGGGCTGCCTTCGAGGATCCGGAGAAGCTATTGTGAGTTACTCGGGCGATTGTCGAGCATCGTACTGACTTACGATTTGAAGGAAGCACACGAAAGACGTGCACTGCAGGTGCCCATACTGCAAGGTTCCAATCAGCTATGGTTTTCTCAGGCACGTCAAGTCATGCAGTTTGCATCATCTCAGTCTGTCAGCAGCCACTTCAATCCGTGGGTTATTGACGCCCGCATCGACTCTCGAGATGGGAGAGGACATCAATCAGGGTGGAGCAATACCAGCAAATAATTTACGAGAAGACTCAACCATCTACATATCAAATGGCGCCCCTTACAGCTCTGCTATGGCCTTCCAACCTCAACAACCCGTCAGTCTTGATGCCGACCCGGCCGAGTACGGCGACAACGACGGCCACAATTCGCCCCCCATGCTTCATAATGAACATCTAGTTCGCGGTGCCCATCAGCAGACAGGCCTTAAGAGGAGACACCAACTGCGGCGACGTGAGCAAACACGCAAAAGGCTTAGAACCCGAGAGCGGAACGCATCCGAAACAACAGCGACTCCCGAGGTGGAAGACAGCGGTCAGAATCAGGATGCTAGAAACGAACCAGAAAGCCAGATGCTATCAGAGGCACAATCAGGGGTTCAACCAGATCACCAACCCCAGCAAGTTGCCGAGAACACTACCCACGGCTGGTTTTCCGTCATCCTCAACTCACCCGCAACAATCACTTCCGATCATAGCATACAACCTCTGGCCGACGACTCAGGTCATACGTATGAACCTTCTCAGGCTCGCTCTCCTCTGCAAGCAAGTCCAACGGCTTCACCATATTCGACAAACGAGCTCCCTCGTCACTGCGACCTGTTGACAGCTGGAGATGGCACAGTCAGGTTGGCATCCGAACTCGACTATTCTAAGGAGGTCGCGGCCACGGTACAGCACTCAGGTCACCCAGTGACAGCACTCTCAGCAGTCGCGCAATCTACAGAGGGAGAGGTAGGGCCCAGAGCGGCCAAGCCCGACAGCTCAGGTCAATCGATTTAGCCTACCGAATCTCGACGCAAATTCAGGCCCCGCAATGCTATCAAGTTGCTCAGTGCCCCCCCTTCGCCACCGAGGGTCACGTCAGATCCAGTGGGTGGTCCGACACTTGTTTCCTCCGATGGAATCCAATCTTCTGGACCTCGGGCATCGTGGCTAGGCAGAGACAGTGCGGCCATTCATGTATCGGATGAGCCCTCAGACCACCTACTAAACGACTCTCCAACTGTACTCTTCGACGATGAAGAAACTGGATCCGACACGACTCTCGCTGGTGAGGAAGACAGGCGGTCACTTTCCCCTGCCCCCGTCAGCGGTAGGGCATTTCACAGGGCCTACAGGCAAGAGTTTGAAGAAATGGGAGTCAGAATACGCAATACTCGAGAGCAACAAGATATATCCGAACCGGCAGCGACTCTCGAGATGGAGCATATCGACCAGGATCAGGGCCATGGAGCGAACGATGGGCCTCAACCACAACCAACTTCCTCGATGGAGTCAACCGCGAAAGGCAACGAACCGTCTCAGCGTACACATATCTCGAACCCGGAAAGAATGCACCGGCGTAATTCCCCAACGACACTTCATTCACCTGTTGCCACCCAACCACAACAACCCATCCGCCCCCCCCCCCGGCCAGCAGCTACCTCAGCTCGAAGCTCCTGTCAAGCTCCGGAGACCTTCGCCTACTGTTGGGGGCAAGGATCACGATCATCGTGAACTTGTTCACGATGAGAGTGAACGACCACAACTAGCGTCAGGCAACAGCCTGCTGTCTATGAATCGGCAGACTGAACACGGGTATAAAGAGACCGACTCTCGTCGCTCCTTTAGATAGGAAAACATACGCTCATTTTTAATCCTCAATCTACACTGATCTTTTGTTCGATATCTGCATTTATGTTTCGGTGCTAGGTTGACACGAGCTCGTGCCGACGGCAGCCCAGTGCATGATGTTGGAGATCACAAGTGTGAGGCGACCAAGGCGGTGGTAAGGTGTGGAAGAAGGAGGAACATTCTACAAGAGATCGTGCTTGTACATAAACAGTGGTTTCCCTACTGCACTTTTAGGAGGAATCAAGCAATCAGCATCTTCTCAATACAACACGAATTGCAGACGACGCGTTCTCGTTGCGCCAAACCCTTGTGGTGTTGACGGGCCAGGGGACTCGTCATGGACGTTGTTTTGCATTGAGATCCAGGATATCAATCCGAGAACTTGCAGCACGCGGTGGGAACATTTTTCCGCCAGACAAGAAACCCTAACATTACTCAGTCGATAACAGGGCCTCTTGAAAAATGGAAAGTAAAATTCAGCTTACGGATACCCGACAATCGACGCCCCTGCCCACCCCATCCTTCGACCGCCGAAGCGCACCTCTATCCGCGCAAATAAGTGGTCGTATCGATCCATGGGCCGTCATCCAAAAGTCATCAACTGCGGTGAAGCGAGCCTAAACTGCATTAGCCTAGCCGAGTCAGCTCTCTTGTGTCTGCGAATTCACCATTGGTCATCTTTGCCATCCCCTTCAGGCAAGAATGCCCACATCTGACTTCAGGGGCACCGCGGCCAACAGATACGTCAAGTGCCATGGGGAGTTGTCCGAGCACGGCTGGAGAGGGGGAGGCTAATCGCCGAGAAAGGGTCTCGCCGAAACTCGTGTCCGGAGCCCGGAATCGAAGCCTAAGTGACTTCTCTAGCGTGCTGTCTTCCGCGACTGTAAATGATCGGCTCGACTTGGTTCCTACCCCCTCCCAGAAGTCTTTTCATTATCGCTCTAGAACCGTCGTGTTAATGGTGGAGTATGTGCGTTCTACACCGGAACGACAGACCATCGTTATCGTGCAATGAAGGGCATGCGCTAGATAATGGGGTTGTCTTGGCAGGTGTTTTTTTTTTTTTTTTGTTTCGATAAAAAGATAGGCGTAGTATTATAGGCTTGAAATCCTCATTACTCCTTTCGACTTGGCCAAACGGCGTGCAATAAAGAATGACCCATAGTTTGACCCTTCTTCTCAAGATTCAGTCATCGTCAACCCATTCCTACTTTGCTACCGCCATGACAATTAGGTAGAACCTCTAGGATCGGTCTGGCTTTGTGGCACCATAGTCAGCAACCTTTGAGCAGTAACAATCTCCTCTTCGAACTCACCTCAGAATGGCCAATGCAGTTTTCGCATGAGAAGGTGGAGGATCTTGTAATTTCTTTCAAATGATCACAGTAGATTTCGTGCACGTCGGCCATGTCAGCCTGTTCTTGTTGTGCCTCTGAGCAGCGGCGTCTTTTCTCTCTCGAATCCTTCACTTCGTCGGGGATGTTTTCGTCGGGAACGCTGTCTCCGCAGACGTCGCAGTAAGTCACGTACCGGAAGGTTGCACACATGGCCAATCGTCAGGGTGTTGAGGGATGGGTTGAGGCTGTTTTGGGGGTATGGAGGGGGGTTTGGGGCGATATTGGGAGTGATTTGTGGGAAACTGAGAGGACGAGAGGACTGAATTTATATTAGATAGGTCCGACGAGGGAGCACGTTATCAGGGACGACATGGGAACAACTAAACAACAAAGGCAGTGGTCAGGTGGTGGATACATGACTAGCTTGTAATGAGATGGCCAGTTTGCTAATTTCTCTTCCCTTCGCCCTACTTGCGCTTGGCAGCGCCCAAAACTCATGCATTCCATCAGCTCCTCCGTAGCCACAGCCCTCGCTCGTCACGGTCCTTTCGACCGGGGCTGCAGCCTGGCTTACAATAGTAATAAACAAACCGGAGGTAGGTAATCATAGCAGTCAGAATCACACCTGCGCAGCTTCTCGGCACGGATGATCCTCGTGGTCTCATCTCATCCACTTGCCGGGGACTTGACCCTTGGAAAGACAGAGTCCTCAGAGATGCCGAACTAAATCAAACCTTACGGCTACACAGGGTTGCAGAAATTCATTGGCATGCTGCTCTTGAGACTGGAGTTGGCGACATAAAGCCTGACGCTGGGGAGGAGGTACAACTCGATCATCATCTACGTAATCCTAGAGATTGCCATGTCTAGCCTCGGTGAGAAGAATGCCGCCCTGCCACTTGCGGAAACCGAAAAGGGTTATCTATCATTTCTTAGAAGGTTTTACGGGCAAATGCTCAAATGAGGGCCCAGTATTTCAGTGGCGACGGAGTTGACGATAGCATTTCTGTGAGTCGGCGGTGATCGAGACGACGGTTGCCCCTGTCAAATACGGCAAACCCAATGGTCAGGGGTAGCTCCGTAACTTGAGGTCCGCGATGAAACGGAGCCCCAGGACGTAAAAAAAACCCATTGTACGAGGGACAAAAAATTCAAAGGGAAAAAGCAAACCCAACCGAGAAAAAAAAACTCAAGAGAAAAGCAACAATACCGAAGGAGGAGGGCGGGTCCCCTTCTCAAACTCCATCCCTTCACCTCGCCATCCGGTCCAGCCGCCAAAGCGCAAGCAAGTGGGTGGGATGGATGCGTAGTTGCGCGTCCAAAGTGTCAGTGACCAAAGGGGGAAACAGGCGTCAATATCGAGGCGGTTGGTCCGAAGTGCCGTGGCGCAATACAGCCCCCCGCGCCCTGATTACAAGGGTCACATCTCTTTGTCGTATCGAGTGACAAAACACTGCCCGTATCATGTCAAGAGGGTGCCGCAAGTCATAGCCTGTGCTAGACCGACGGCTTGAATCTTTATTGAGCTCCGCCGCTCCCGCTGGCTTCTTCTGAGGCTTCATAGAGGTCCAGATAGTCTTCGAGAACTATGCGCTTCTATTAGCTATCACGAGGTCGAGTCTTGGTCAGGAAAGTCTTGGGCATACTGGTAGTTGTCTGTTCCTCCCACACCCCGTATTGGTAGTCGACGAGTCCGTGGTGCTCGATCCCGTCGCATAAACGTATTAATTCGTTACCTATCTTCTTAATCATGGCCTTTGACATGAGGCTCTGCGATCTCGATGGCTGGGATGAAGTCATCAACTCTATCTGGCGCTGGCCTAGGCCTAACTAGGCGTGATTGAAATCGTCCTATAACTTTATTTGATCGGCGTGGAGGTTTGTATTGTCTATATTGAGGCCTGCAGTCTTGGTTAGCTATGTCGTCCTGCTCTGATGCTCTGCTCCCACCTATGCTCTTGGGGTTTGCGATAACATATACTAAGGTCTGCCACCTGAGATAATAGCCAGCTGGTGACGCTCAGTAGTGTCTCGGATGCGCTTTCTAGGGATCCATTTATGATCTCTCGGAATATGGTGCCTAATTGTCTCTGGTAGTTGACCTATTCCTCCTCTAGTGCGCTATCTGGGTACTCGTGATCTTCTGCTATGGAAACATCGGCGCTCGCGGTCGCCTGGGGCATTGCGCCCACGCTCGATACCTTGCTCGCATTATTCATGGCATTGCTCTGCTGGTATACGTTTGCTGATCCGCTTGAGCTCTGCGCCGATTGCTGTAGGCCCGGTCCGCCTGTGCTTCCCGTCTTAGATCCGAAGTATGTCGAAGCGACATCCGGCGTTATTATCTGCATAGCTGTAGGTTGCCGTGATCTAAATTGCTGCGCATCGTAGACGGGGTTTTGCGCCCTAGGCTGGGCGACGTTGTATATCATGGTGGCGGCTGTGTTGTAGCCGCCAAAGCTCTGAGGCTGCTGGCGTGAGTCCTGGCCGTACTCGGACCTGTAAGCCATGGCCGCCCTAGGCATGTTTGCCGTCGAGAAGGATGCGCTGGGTTCGGGATAGTAGCTGCTGTAGTTGCCCGAGCCTCCTATCCCTCGCACTGCTGCTGAAGGAGACGAGGAAGCGAGGGACGCAGGCCGGTATCTGTCGCTGGAGGCTCCGGCAAGAGAACGGCGCGGCTGGGAGGGATCGTTGAGCGAATATCTCTGGTTGGGCGATGCTGGAGGGGTCACCGCGGGGTCGTTGGGATAAAGTCCACTTAATTGGAGTAGTCGCGATGATCGATGGTCGGGGGGGTGGTGAGGCATGGAATCGGTAGCTAGGCGAGGGAGTAGTCGAAGTGAAAGAGCACAAATGAGTTTACAAATAGGGTGCCGCTGGCCTATTATTCGCAACTAAGCCCAATAGATTCACTGGTCGGGCAGGGAAGCTGGCTTAGCCAGGGACCTGGGTGTAGCGAGGAGTTATTAAGTCGAATCCCAATGATAAGGTAGCCGGGCTAGAGACTAGTGCCATTTATGCCCGGTAGATACTTGAGGTCTAGAAAGATGACGAAGATCGAGGCGTTGGACCCGCTGAGTAGCTTGGTCTGGGGCTCTGGGGGCCCAGGGCTGATTGGAATGAGTTGTTAAAACCGTTGTCTTGCGCTCTACTGGCAGTATCCTGGCCAAAGCCCTATGTAGGAGCCCTCGGCATGATAAGCTCGAGCCCACCTCGATCTGCTGGGGTCAGGACACTGCACTAGGGTCTTGACGAGGGACCAGAGTGCTCAGAAAGGCCTTCACTAGGCCAGTATAGGCGTCCGAAGCCGCCGAGTCCCGAGTCGGGGTAACGACGGCCTTCTAGTCCCGCCGACGAGGATTTAAGTGAGAGCAGCTAGTAACGATGAGGGTTGCTGGAAGGTCGGAGAGCCGGCTGTGGGTCCACGGGAATAGAAATAAATCGCAGAGATGACGAAATTCTGAAATGGAAGAGGATAGACATGGCATCTATATAGCGTATTTGCTCTCAGAAGCATCGTAGTCTCTGCTGCACTGTAACATGCTCGGGTCCACTGTTTGGCGGCGGCGACAGGGGCAAAAGAATGACATGGAGTGTGATTCGAACGAAGGGGGTCGCGAGAAGAGAAGGAGGGGTGTGGGCGTGTGTCTGTCAAAGACAGGGTAAGGTGAGGCGGTTGGTTTTAGTCTGTCACCCAGAGATGCAGTGTAGATGGCGTCAAGACTGGTGCAGTGGACGATAATGGGAAACGGCTCTAAGAGGCATGATAGATCGTAGACATGTGTAACCCAAGCCATGTTGACAGTGTGGGTGGCATGACATCGACGTCCTCTGCATCCTCTGTCATGGAGGGACAGAGGATCGAAGCGGCATAGGTGAGGCAACGCGGCAGACAGGACTCGGCTGGCTCACAGGACAGGATCCCGATGAGGCACCGTAAACGGCTGCCCCGAGAACAACAGCCAAGTAAGCCAGCGAGTACGGAGTAGAGGGCTCAAGACAACGGCTTTGGAGATTGAGAGAGGATCGGCGTTGAGTCCTAACAGCCCGCCCCCTGGCCCGGCACATTGGTAAGAGGCGCGATGAAAGATTGAAGGAGGGCAAGCGCAGCTCGTCGACGTGGCTTGCCTGGGTGTGCACCTAAACCCGGGGTGGACACAATAGAACCTGGGGCCTCTCCTCGGCTTCAGTGACTACCGGCTATGCTCTGCGCCTCCAACGGGCAATCCGGGAGTGTGTGTGTATCCAGGCTACTGAGGCGGGCGCTCGCGCTGAACAGCGGCTCCAACATCTGTCTGGCTCTCAAGGGCTCGGAGTCTTTTGAGCTCCAAGCTCCGATCAAAACTTCTTGATCAGCGAGTTCCATTCCTGTCTTGCCGGTGAGTGGCAGCTGAAAATTGCGGCAACCGAGAAGCAATGCAAACAGGGCTGAGAAAACAAGGCCGAGTGGGGTCCAAGCCCACACTCTATCCTCTGAGATCACACCTGGCTCAACTGATCTCACAGGCGGTGATATCCGAGAAGGTTCCCTGCGTGGGCTGCGCGCGGTGATCAGCCAGCCACTCGACGCCGTCCGCGCCAATACATGGCTCCGTCTCAAGTGGTCGCCGCTCATGGCCCTTGATGAGCCTCTGCCTGCGTCATTCAAGACCGTCAACTCGGCTTCTTTTGAGTGGATTCCACCTCGCGTCAAGGTGGCAAGCCCACTTCAGAGTGGGTGTTAAGTCACTTCGCAGAGCCGTAACCCCATGCATACCAACGACGATAAAGTCTTGGCACAAGTCAGGCTCTCGCCAAACCTCTGGTGGAACTCGTTGATTGACACTACGTGCGGGGTCCCCCATTCGTGATATCCCGTCACTGTGTTCCACGCACCACATCACAATAGTGACAATGACAATGATCATAATCATCAACTAGAAACACTTTTCCGTAACCATGTCGATTATTATGCATCAAAGTGAATGACATAAGCAGCCTGTGTAACTCGAGGGGCCTCTTCTAGGGGAGGCGTAGTGTCTCTGTGGATAACTAGCCGCAAATCTTCCGAAAAGTTCAATCCCTCATTGGGATGGCCGTCGCCTATCTCATGGCATGACTGATGTCCAGTTCTCCGTCGGGTTGAACGGTGGGTGTAACTATCATCTTTTTTACAGGCTTCAGAGAAGGCATCATAGAGCCTTTTGAGTTTTTTCGGAGTTGGACCGCAATGTAACGACACATCGTTCACCTGCGGCTCGTCCTTGTCGTCCTGGTCTGGGGGCAGACCCTGTTTACTAGCAGACCGCACCATCTCGAGGTCACCACCCGTAAGAGACCCTATCAGGGTTGCATCGCCGCGAGTCTTTTGACTCCCGTCATCCTCGCGGTTGTTGGCCGCTGAAGAGATGTGTGTAGATGGAAGAATGTCTGGGGGCGGACTTGGGGAAGGGTTGATTTTGGGGTGAACAGCTGTGAGGGTTGGGGTGTGTATTTCCACTCCGTCAAAGCCAGAATCTGCCATTGTCTGCTTGATGTAGTATACTATCGCAGGGTGCTCGGGAAGGGCAGGAGTCGACGGTGGAAAGGAGGGCGAGAGTGTATATCGACGAAGAGACTCGAACGTGCTCGGGGAGACAGTGCAGGAACTGAGAGATCAGAGTGGGAATCGAGGAGGAAAATCGTGTTGGGTCGACATGCGGGAAGACAAGGAGCCTGCCGCTTTTTGACTCCTGGGCGTTACATAATGGGGCCGGGAGACCGGCCCACCTGCCGAGCCTGATCTCGCGGAGAACACTTGGAATGTAAGCCACAGGAGGTCAGCTTGACGCCAAGTTCTGTTATCAGCAGATGCTGCGCTTTGAAACCGCGCTCGTCATGTAGAGGATAGCCTGGTGGCCGAGGCACGGTTATTTCCATACGCCTCCACTTTCCCTAGATGCCTTTATCCGAACTCCGGTCAATTCTTTCGACGATGCTTCCATTCCAGCCTGTCCATGTAGTCTAAGTGATCGGGATAGCGGCCCCGCAGCGGGTTTAACCCCGGTGCAGTCCACGTTCACCCATCAAGGCGTCATGCAGTGTGATATGCTGTGCGTTGGCGATGAGAAATCACTCTTTACAACGGGGGTTATGTAAAGTTATGTACAGTTCACATTGTGCTCGATATGCCTGAGTGAATCAGGAGACACCCGTTTCTTGGTAGATCCAGCCAGCCCAACGCAGCCATGCAACCCCCCTACTCCGTATTGCCCGTCCAGCCGCGGGGTGCGATTTCCCGCGCAAGCAATGACTGAGAAATTCCTTCTGCCATTTTCCAAAGGCAAGACAGTGCGATGCAGCCAGTCTCGGCTGCAGGGATCCGTTGACGCGGTCAAGATATGGAGACAGGTGCAGGATCGTGTGCAGCAAGCCATCCCGCGTATCTTAGTACGAGCGGAAGGGATGGTGAGCCTTGAGAGATTGGAAAGGAAGATGTGGTACTCCGTAGAATCAGCATATCGGCGGCGCTGTTAATAGTGCCAGAAGAGGAGGAAAAGATGTCCATGCCGAGTAAGACTTCACGGCGAGATTATGTCAATTGTTGCGACAATCTCGTACAGCACACTCATGAGCCAATATTGGGAACTCGGCGCGAGCTTCAGTTCAAGGGTAGTATATTTGTGGTCCGCCTCTTTGTTGAAATCGTGTATCTAAGCCCAGATAGCCCTATGACCTATCTCAACTTTGGTCTAGGTCAGCGCGAAGCTCTTTTTTTTCCAACCCCTCGGTGGGGGGCTCTAGGCCATTTTCACAAAGCATTTTGAACAGCTTGAATAGACATTCTTTCTCGTCACCTGATTCCACTTTGATAATAACTTCATCTCCGTTCAACAGAGAAGCACCACCAAAGGTTAACGGCGAGAGGCGGTTAATATTGAGGGCCCATTTTCCCTCTATCATGTATACGGTTTTGGCACATTCTAGCGGCTCTTAGTGCTATACTTTTAATAGCCAAACGTGAAAGAGAAGTTCTTACCGATCAAGTCACTCTCATAGTCCATGATATCTTGTATCGGCAAACCACCAGGTGGGTGATCGAGGCCCTTCTGACAAACGTCGATCATCGTCTGACATAGGCCTTGTATCTCGTTGTTCGCCGCCACCTTGGCAAAATTATCAGAATTGCCAATACCTGACAGATCAGCGCGAAATTTCCCTTCTGTGTAGGTACACGCGAGGTAAGGTTGGTCTAGGTTCCCCGATGCGAGCTTCGCGATCTCTGAATAAACCATCATTAGCGCTGAACTAGTCTCCGATTCCTGAGCAAAGCATGGGGAAAAGACAAATGTCTTACTCTTGATAGCCGTCTCAAACTCCCTGTTATTCTTTGACGACGAAGGGCTCCATGAGATCCTCCCCGGAGCATCCATTTCTGGAAAATGGGGTGCTGATTATAAGCTCAAATCTAAAAGAGAAGGGAAGATATGGAGGCCGCAGACAGCTCAGAGATGAACTGCAAAAAGATCCGAGTACTGGTGACTTGGTCGAAGGGATAGGAAATTATGAGGCCGTCACCATTTGGGGAGCAAGGTGAATAAGTATGCTGAGGGGGGGTGGCGGAGAGCGAATGCGACTTTGACTGCAATGTTATCTGGCGGCTGACCATGCGTCATTAGGATTGTTGGGTTGCATGCTGCGTGGCCATCACAATGGATGATCTAGCCAGGGTAGAAGTTTTGCCGCCCCCAGAATCAGCCCGTTGGCGATGAGGAAGTGTCAGGGAAGGAGACTGGAAAGGGCGGGAGGTCGAGGATCTACAAAGCAGGAAGTACAGTCCCCATCCGCACGAGGACCAGATAAGACAAAAAAGCATGAGGGAGTTATGGATCATTGGTCGCAGTACGAGATACGAGGTAATTCCATTACTACTGGCAACGCCCTTGAAGACCACCGAAGCATGATGGCGTCGGTAAACAATACACTTTCAAGCCCCCAGACCCCTCCTTATCTCCAAACGCCATCCAGTCAGATAAAGCCCTTGACACTCACGACATTAGTTCTTCCGGAACGGGATACTGCTGCATACAGAGAACACAGCCCTGCAGTAACTTGCGTTGAGGCCGGTGTGGTGGGTAGGAAATCGTCCCTGGTGGTGTTGATGACTGGCGGTTTCGGATGCAGCCACAAGGACAGAACTTGGTGTTGGCCGGCGGACATTGTGAAGATGACGCCTTGACAATCCTCGGAGGCTGGGCTTGCCGTAGCCTAATGCGTCGACGGCGTGCATGAAGCACACCGCTCTTGTCGAATACGAAGTTGTTGGCCGAGCTATCATACTCGCTTGTTGTGCCGTGTCGATGAGGAGACGGAATTCCATAACCCGTCAATTTTTCTGCTGCTAGTTCCTTGGTCTTGGGAGGTGGGGGTCCCGAATGTGATGACTCTTCACCATGCATGTTTCCAATTTGTCGCCTTGGTGTGCACTCTTTTTGTTCTTCTTGGTTGGGCATTCAGGCCGGTCACAGAACTCGGTGACAAACTTGACATGGTCTACCTTTGTGCAGTTGTAGGTGATTCGATAGAGTTCGCACATATTCGGTCAAGTACGTTGCCGTGTACAATGCTGACAAAGAATACTTATATCCCAACGATGAAGGATGGAGATGACAAGGGGAAGAGGGGTGCTGTCTTAAGTACAGCTCACACGGTTTGGTACCGGGTAGTCGCTCGGGCCGCGCATTGGAGACGAAGCGGCATTGCCACTAGCGAGAAGACAGTACACCAGTCTCATATCAGTAAGCATGTAGGTCTCGAGTTCAGTTTCATTGCCAAACTGAGTGACAAGGAGACATCCAAGTTTATGGCAAATACTTGGTCTCTAGGGGCAGCATCATCGTGTCGTTTCCACGAACCCTCCACTTCCTCTCCCTCCTTAGTCAAGTTCAGTACCCAAGTTTAGGGGAGGCTCAGACCCAAACGTTGCAAGAACTAAAGTACAATAAAAGACAAATCGCTTTGTGGTCCCATGAATTCAATGCTAGGAAATCTGCCTGGTAGCAGGGGGTACGCTGTAACTTGTCGATTTGCTCATGCCAGGACTCCATTTCAACATCAGGGTGACGCTCTTCTAGCAGCGTAAAGGGTAGGGGCTCCAGAGCCTCCTGGCATTGCTTTCTACACCCGGCATCCCCAAGTTCGGAGGGTGCGTCTGATCGCTGCAGCAGCCTCTCAATCTCGCCAATGACCCAGCGTCTGTTTAGATCCGGCCGTTGAGCGGCTAGATTGGCCCAAACGTAGAAGATTCTGGCATCGGCTGTGTCCGAAGAAAGGGTGCATCAAGGCATGCTGTCTTGTGCTGATGGACAGAGGCAGGGTGGAGACTGAAGGATAGCCATTTCACTGCTTCCACCAACACCAGAGTTTGGCCCAGTTTCTTTGCCTCCCGAGGCAACTGCTGGTACTCTTTATGAGAATGGACATCGACAATCGGGAGCTGAGAGCGCTTCAGTGGATGCTGTGGTCCAACCTCCTGTCACACAACACGACACCCAATGTGGGAGATTAGCAAAGCCCAGCTCCCACAAGGCACGCCTGACTTGGCCTAATAAGGTAAGGACGTTGCCACCCAAAAGGAAACATGAGATAAAGCAAGCCTCACCTGTATTACCTTGAAGAAGTCGCGACGCGTCGTCTTCGTGCGAGACCATGATTGGCGCTACACGCGAGCCCCTGTCCGGGACAGTGCCGCTGAATACTGTGCTACAGGGGCCCGACGGTTGGTTAGCTCCTGGGTCGATGTATTCCCCAGCATCGATCCACAGCATGTCTAGCGATTGCAATGCCATCAAGGGAAAGGATCAGTCGGTCCTCCAGAATGGGTGTGGTCGCTAGGCTGTCTCGCGTGCACCAGCATTGACCGCAGGAAAAGGTGTCGAACTTACAGAGAACACATGTCAAGGATATTCTCCTATCGATCACAGGCATCTCGACAGAGGGAAGCGGGCTCATATCTGAATGGGGAATAGTAGAGTGATCCATCTGAGACCCGAGAATGAGACCATCGCACAGGCAGTGAAGCCATCGACACCATCTAAGCCAAGGGGCTGATCGCTGAGAACGGACTGCTCAGTATGGTGGCTTGTTGGGATTCGGAAATCCCCGACCCAAGCCCACGCTCTTCTCCCCAGTAATATGCTGGTGAGACCAGGGGCCGGGCGCCGGGCCGCCCAAATAGATCTTTCTGGGCTCTTGTAGTTAATAATCTAGAATCAATACTAATTAATTGAGTGATAGTAACTACCGGTCTGAGAAATTCTGACTTGCGTCTCCCATGAGATCTAATTAATAAACTCCCAATGTCAGCAACGGCCAAACATATGCCACTATGGCTTTTGGCCGAAAACCACCTTGAGGGGAAGGTATGCGTGAACTTTTCCCGATCGTAGCTCTTTCCGAAGTTGAACTGCAAATATAGTAGCCTCTTCCAAACTCCATCCGAGTACTTCCACCGCAGGGCGGGTGCGGGTGAGGATGGTGCCAGCTGGAATCACCGAGTTAGACGAGGCCACTCTTCCATGGCGAGATGGATTGAAAGGAATCTCGAGCCTGAGACAGGCCATTGCCGGCCGGTGGCATCGAGGCACCGTGCAGTGGAATTTCATCCTCATGTTGTAGGAGTGACAGCATGACATGTTATCATCGTCACTGGGCAGCACTCAGAGTCGACTTGGACCTTTCGAGTCGATCCAGGAAGCAAGTTGGCACTGGTCATTTCACGAACGTCCTCAGATGGGGCTGGGGAGAGTTTTTATTCCTCTTTCTAAAGTTTACACCGCCATTCAGTCCCGGCCATCCTGGTATTGAGGCCTTCTATCTGCCTTGTTCGCCTTCTTCACCCACTGTCTTGTTCGCCGAGAGCGTGGCCGTGAGTGGTCTTTATCTACTCCAGAAAGGAAACAGAAACCAAGAAGGTTTTTTCCATAACCGAGCGCATCTCACATCCTGGGGGGCCTGATTCAATGAGCGTTGCTGTTCCCGAGGGCCAGTTGGATGACTGATAGTCAGGCTTGCTAATCAATCAACGGCTTTCAATATTGATGCAATATTATTGAATCAATTCAATTCAATGCAATTCAATCCTGAATTCCAGATTATATAAGTCAATGCAATACAATTCAATGTAGGTGCCCGTTGATTGATTCCGGTTGATTCGTTACCATATACCTAGTTTTGGTCTAGGGTAGGTGAGCGTCCGTGAGGATCGGGGTTGCTTGCATCGGATTGGCCAATCTGGAGGCCCCTGCAAGACAAATGCGGCCCCTGAATGGCTCGCCTAGGAGACCTGCCCCGCCTCAATAGCAGAGACGATTGTTTACCTTGTTTGTTTACCACATAAGATGTCCAAATGTCTGCCTACGTGCCTTTTGACAATCAGTTATTAGCCACGTCCCTTTCCACTGCTATGACAGATCCTCTAGCCCTTTCCGAGTTGCAGCGACCGTCAGGCCACAGCAGTGATGTGCCTATTGACAACACGCCGCCCCCACCATACGATGACGCATATGCAGGGCTCAATTGGGGTCGCATACCTGGCTATATTCGACCAAATACCACGTCAGATCGACGCGGCTGGTACTGGGAGCACGGCTTCGAGGTCCAGAAGGGGACAGATGAGAAGAATCGCTTCTGGTTGTGCAAGAGCTGCCATCAAAAGAAGCCGCATAAGTCGTACTTATTCGCTTCCAGGGGTGTTGAGAACATCAAGAACCACATGCTCAAATATCACCACCTTGATAAGGATGGTGAGCCAGCGGTGAAGCGGCCTAGGTACGCTTTTTTCGAGCCCGTTGGCCTTAACGCGAACAATCTACGCGATCAGCGGATTATGAATCACTATAACTCAGCCTTTGAACCGGATCAGTGGAAGAAGCGTCTTCTTCGCTGGGTTGTCCGTGATCAAATTCCGTTTCACAAGCTCGAAAGCGAACATTTCCGAGATCTCTGCCAGTACGCTAACCCCCTAACGGCTTCAAATCACTGCCTCCCACACCATATAACAATCCGGGCATGGATAATTGAGGAGTACGCGAGTAATAAAGGAATTATCACGGAGTTGCTCCATGCGGCTCAGACGAAGATTCATGTGGCGTTTGACCTCTGGACAAGCAGGTCTATGAAATGCTTTGCAGGTAATTATATATTTTATGTCCCAGCCTCTGAGATATTTTATCCATGGGACCATCTCAGAATGCGAGGATCGATCCACACTTTAATAAGAAGCTAATGTGCAATACGGCTTGTTGTACACTTTATTGACGCCGACAACACGTTCCGCACATTCCTACTTGACCTACCTGAGCAGTCTACCGGCCACACCGGTATTGGGATTGCAGAACGGGTAAAGGCGGTCCTTGCCGAGTTTGCAATCACTGAGGACCAGATCGGATATTTTGTTGCAGATAACGCAACGGAGAATGATACGTGTCTTGAGGACCTGTCTGCTGAATTCAGCTTCGATAAAGCATGGCGCCGTCTTCGCTGTATGGGCCATGTGATCAATCTTGTCGCATGGGCGCTTCTTTTTGGCAAAGATCCCGACGGCTTTGCCGAGGATACAGAGGAGATTGCTGATGATCTTCTAAGGAAGATGAAGCAGTGGCGCAAGGCAGGCCCAGTTGGAAAGCTTCACAATATCGTGGTGTGGCTAAGGAGCTCTAGTGAGAGACTCAAACAATTACACGCCCACCAGCGCGCCGTATATATCACTGCTAGCGATCCAGATGCGGAAAGGAAGCTCACATATGATCCAGTTCTCGCCAACGATACCCGCTGGAACTCCAACAAAGCTGAGATAGAACGGGGACTGCTGCTTCGGAAACCTATTGATATCATGATCGGCGCAGAGGTCCAAGCCTGGCAGCAGTACTGGAACAAGATCACACACAACAGCACCCAAGAACCTCCAGCGAGGCGACGAGAGAAGCCTTATATTGTGGATGATGCACTTGATGATGACGATTGGCACACTCTTACAATCTATCTTAAAGTCCTCAAACCCTTTGAAGAGGCTATAACCCGTATGTAAGGCAATCCTGGCACTACGTCAGGGAGTCGAGTATGGGACATACTCCCTACGTACGAGTTCCTACTTCAACATCTGGAAGAGTTCAAGACGCGATACAAAGATCATAAGGAACAACACTTCCGTTACAATATCAACCAGGCCTGGATGAAGCTTGACAAGTACTATGGATTGACGGACGATTCGCCCATATATGTGGCAGCTGTTATGCTACATCCTCGCATGAAGTGGAGCTTCGTTGATAAGTTCTGGAACGACAGGCCAGACTGGCGTGATAAGGCTAGGCGCGACGTCAGACAGCTATGGGAAGCTGAGTATAAGCATCGTGTTATTCTCATTCAACCAGAGCGACCTCCGGAGCGGCGCAGAATTGTGGTGGCATCGGGCCTCAACGACTTCCTTGATAATCTAACATGTCCTGCAGCCCAACTAGAAGAAGACCGGGATAAATACGACCACTATCTTGCACGGACAGATGATCCAGAGGATTTGGCTTATACAGATCCAATCACGTACTGGATTAGCAAGCGTAGTGTGTGGCCTTATCTCTGACAGATGGCCCTTGATATCCTATTAATACCTTGTCTGTCGGATGAACCAGAACGAATTTTCAGCCTTACGGGACTCCTGACGCCGGCGCACCGTGCGAGGCTGGGAGGCAATATAATTGGAGCGTCTTTGTGCCTTGCGGATTGGGACAGGCGGGGGGTGATAGATTTGTTAAAGTAGTGGTAAGTCGGCTCCTCCGTAACATATATCACCGTGCTTGGTAACTGATGGGCAGTCAGCGCTGAAGGTTTCTGTTTAGTAATAAGGTTATCTGTCAATCAATTGCAATCAATGTCAATCGACCCCCAAATTGATCAATAGTAATCAATATCAATCTGCTCCTCCGCAGAGCCGCATCAATCAACTGCAATTTGGCCAGAATTGAATTGAATTGATTGATTAGCAAGCCTGCTGATAGTTACCGTGCATGCAATTATGGCCGAACCCCCATGTTCAGGCTTCTTCACTGCTGTGCAAGACATGGTTCGCAACGATCGGCGCGGAGACGAGTTAAGGCAACAAAGCAAGGGCAGCGTGGCTTGCAGGAAAGTGCAATTGAGACTGCAGTATTGCCTGTTTATACATCCCCATTTCCGTTGATGCGCGACACCGGGGGCCAAGGGGGTAATGTCTAAGAATAGGTGGGCAGGGGACCCTGGGTGGAAAAAGCCCAACATCTCTGCTCGTGTACCGCCCCCGCCTGGGTGCGCCCCAGCCACCGCAGGTGATCCCCGTTCTCTCAGCACTTATATCCAGTCGCACGAACCTTATCTGCGCTAGCCAATTTGGGGAATCGTCATGCTCTCTAAAACTGTACTAATCCAAAAGGAGGAAATCGTCACGGTCGAGCGATGACGGCATTGTTTCTTGGGGTTAACAAGCAGCTACAACAGGAATATAGATCTAATCATAAAAAAAAAGGTGTTTTCGTTTTTCTAGTGGCTGAGCTTCCGGAAAGAGTTGCATAAGATAAGGAATCTTGGTTGTAGTGTTGAAAACCTAAGTGCTGGTTCCCTGGAAGATAGTGAGATGAAGATCGAGGCTAATGAAGTTGGCTCGGGAGTCGAGTCGAGATCATTTTCCAGTACCGCCACCTCGCCAAAAGCTTTGAGGGTGTTGACCCCGAGGTCAAACTTGTCTTTCAGTGTCTCTATGACCAGCAATTGAAGTCATTAAGCTTCATGCTATTTATAGGGACGTGTATGATGAATCTCACAATCGTTTTAGCATTTTCGTGCCAAATTCCTAGCTTCTTCCGAGGCATTGGGGTGATCAATCACCAACTGCCATAGATCGCCGTACATCGGAGCAGCATAGTGACCAAGTTTATCAGCAGCGGCCTTGATCGTTCTCCTTCGTCGCCACCTCTACGACCTTCAGAGATGACTGCCAATCCACTCTAAGGCGTTCCCTGAAACAGAACGCCATCCTGCAAGGCATGGCATACCCGTTCACCCTGTCGATAAGTTGCGGAGCCGCAGCAGTTCGATCCCATCAACACAACCCTTCGTATCTCTTCCTCCTCGGCCTGCATCCAAAGCAGCAGCTGCAAGATGATCCGGAGTTGATGCGGGTCCCAATCTCCTCCCGGTATTCCGAACCCAGACCGCGCGTTCGCCACGTACTCCGATTGGCCTTGGTTGGCTAAGATCGCAATGACGCCGTTCTCATCCGCCAGCTTTTTGATCTGTAGGGCTGATGCCTCCGGCTAGTAGCCGTCCCCGTATGTTACCATGACAAGACCTCTAGCTCCTAGGCCGATGGCAGCCTCCATAAGATCTGCGCCAAAGTCTTGATGGGCTGACAAAAGTTCTACTCTAGGGAGTGAAGTTCCCGGCGGGATGCTGCTGATATTGAACTTGACGGGGGCGCAAGGGCCTGGAAGCCAGCGGAGAAAGGGTTTGGAATCCTTGATATCTCCCAACAGTGACCTCGGCCCCGGTAGAAACTGATTATCCTCCTTTTTGGTTCCCCGGGAGGCCATAACCTTGTCCTCAATTATAATCACGACATTGCGATTTTCTGAGCTCCATCCCCTTGTTGCCGCTGTTGTTACTGCCGCGACAAGATTGCTAGGGCCGTCTGCGCCTAGTGACCCGTGCGGCCGCCACGCACCGGTCACCATAATGGGCTTCTTGCTTGTTACCACGAGACTTATAAACTCAGCCAGGTAGGCCAAGGAATGTGTCCCGGTCGTCACGATGACTCCCTGCGTAGCCTCTTTGTTGAGTTCTTCCGCGATATGCTGGCTTAGGTTGGTTGCAAATGAAGAATTTATGTTGATGCTGTCGATATTCGAGAACTGGTCGACGTAAATATTGGTAACGCCACGCAGCTGATCCTCAACGCTCCGGATCACCTCCTCAATCTGCAAAACACCAGCTTTATAGTCCGTTGTCTTCTCGGGAGAACTTGTTGCGCCGGCTATTGTTCCTCCAGTCGCTATGATTGTTATGTTGGGCAGGTGGCTGATTCTCTCGCTCGGTACTAGGGGCTCGTAGGGAAGATACCCATCCCGATCATTTGAGCCGATGACGGCCCGTATGCCTAACAGGAGGAGCGCCCAGATAAGACAGCTCGTTGCCATTTTGTACGTTTATCAGGCTCGGTGTACCTGTAATAGGAAGTCAGTTTATGCTGCTCTCGTTTACTATTAGCCGGCAAAAGAGCTCACACGGAGGGGAAAGCAAAGAACTAATGGCACTGAAAGAAGTGAAGGTGATGAGTGTACGTGATAGTAGAATGAAGTCGGATCGTGGAGTGAGGACTGATAGCCACGGGGAAATATATAGGCGGGGGGCTGTGGAGTGCCTTGGCAGCGTTAAGCTGAGATCGCCACAGGGGTGATGGGAGAGATCAGTGGTGAACAACTGCATATGGTTGTCGACGTGAAATCGCAGACGAATGGGCTGATTGTGCCGAATCCTTGTGAGACGGGCAAAGCGAGAGACGCGGAGTAGAAGTCTCAAGAAAACAGCTTTAATATATTGCTGATTCTAGTTACAAATTAGTCACTGCTGACCTTATCTTCCATCTCATTCAATGCAGCTCCTGACGCGCTACCTCCGTCTAAGTTGGTGGCTGATACCTATTAATGACTATCTTGGATCCCATTTACTAAAATCTTGTCCCTCTGTGCTTGGTAACGTCGCGAACTTGAAGAAATCTTAGACCGCTTTGGATGACTGCAATCAAGGGAGGGCTTGCTTACCGATAGCCTTCGAGAAACGCGAGTCGGTTTATAGTTATTTGATATACTTCTAGTATGCGTAGTAATATTCACGATACGGGCACTTTCCGTTTTTAATCCGAGAACGGCTTTGCGTGGATGTTAAGGCTGTATACCCTTTTTTGCCGTAATCTATCGTCTCTGTTTTGGTCGCCGAGTATTGCTCCTCTGCAATGCAATTCCCATACGCGATAGTCACTAAAACACGCCGGCATATGGCTTCTATTATTAAATAATAACTATTAGACAATAGAATTGTGGCATTGACGGTGACTTACTTATAAGGTGGCATAGAAGCGTGTAAATAATAGATAGTTTTCGCGATGTTGGATAATTTGTTTGAGATAGATGGCTGAAAAGAATGGGTGTAAGTTTACCTTAAATATAAATACTTACCCTTGGATTTTCTTATTACCGAATATGACGAGCGCGTCTACCGATAAGTAATGAATTCGTGGCTGCTGTTTCCGAGAAGGAATGACGGCGGGTTATTGTCCGAGAGTGTGATGCCTCTGTTGAGCTCTTATGTTGGGCCGCAACGTGGCGTTGGGTGACGGCAGAAAGTGCAAGCTCACCTGAAACGTGGAGGGACGAAACTGTAGAGATGAAAATTCTTACTGCGAGTAGTCTAATAGTGCCACAAGCGTCGAGTTGCTTTAATTGTCTCCCCCTACCACTAACGCTTGGGAGTGGGAGGTGAGGGTTTACGATTTTATGAGCTTCTACCATATAGGTGTCAGGTATATCCACTATTTCCCGGGGCTTCAGGCCTATCCTGACCGGGCAATCTACTCCACGATCATATTCTTTAGGAATGTTATCTTTGTGATCCGATTCGCCGTAGGAGTACTTGACTACCCAGGTCTAACACATCTTCTAAACGTCTCCGTTGTCTTCTCGAGAATACCTGCTCCGTAATTAGCTCTTGACCACAAGGCGAGCGCAGTCTGCCAGGGAGATATACTCTCTGCAGAGTTTAATCGATCGTTAGTATTGTTGTTCTTATTGCTGTTCCCACGCTGGCTCGAAGCCAGGATTATGCTGCTCGCGTGAGTTGGGGCCCAACACCAACCTACCCAGCGGCGTCGGTTATATGGAGGAGTTCGGTGCGGGCAGCGTGCCATGGCATCTCATATACTTATAACCCAGCGGATATTCAACCACTGGATGAGATTACCCACTCATGCATTGAGGGGTAGGTCCACGGGTGAGTTATAAGATTAAGGAGAGAGGTCGCCGCCATGTTGAAGGTGGGGGGAACTGAAAACTGGATGATGTTGCAACCCTATCAAGATCAAGTTTAACCTGAATGCCACTACCAAGTCCCTGTCAGCCCTCGACAAGCGCGCAAGCACCGCGCTAAATCCAGGAACCGAGTTTAGAACAGCCAGCGCCAATACCAGCTCCAACACCTCTCGGCCTCCGTAGCCAGCAAAGGTTGTAGATAAAAAGAAGTCTGGGCGGCAATGTCGATGTGAGAGACTATTCGAGGTAGCAAACTCGAAGGCTTAGAGCCAAGTCCATCGTTTCATTAGGCCCTTCCATTACATACCTAATCTTCGTATCGACCGGCAACTAGCAACCAAGCACCAGCTCCATGCAACGTGTGCGCCAATGTACTGCCCTCTCCGTAGCCTGTCCATCGTAGTAGCTCAGTGCCGAAGAGCATGCGTCTAGGCAGTTGTGGCGGCGAAACCTAGGGAGGCCGTAGTTGTAACTTCTGCAATATCCATACCCAAAGAATTCACCCTGACGTCGGCAGAATCCCAACACCGTGGCTCGGAATTAGCTTCTGGCACGTCTACACGGTCTGAGGCCCCGGTGGAATCACAGCTAGGGTCGAGTGCTAGAGAATAGCGCATTCTGATCGTCCACATATGTTGCATGCCGTCTTTTCTTTTATATCTAGTGGATGAGAGGCTCCAACCTTCGAGGAGGTCTAGCCCGGGGTTTATTGTAGCCTCGTAATGAAGACGCCTTCTCATAGAGCACGTGTCTAAAGAGAGTACTGGAGAATTTGGCGGGTTTGTAGGGCATATGTCGTCTTCTCGTTCGTTCGTTGATTGGGCGATGAAGTACTCATCGTCGGCATCGCAATTGGATAGTTGAGTGGGTTTCTGCGTAGTGCCGCTGGGCCGGTACGCGCCTCCGTTCCGAGTATCCAACGATAGACACCGGTCCGATTCGGATAGAGAGGAAGTGGTACCACTTTTCAATACCGGCTGTCGGTTCTCGTGAGTGTTAGTGTAAGAAGACTCATTGCTCCGGATGGGAAGCTTAACTTATACGTTACTAAGGTCAGGGCGGGCGGACAAGGTGGCGCTGCCGTTGCCATTGAAACTGTCTAGGCGAGACGGAGGACTCCGGTCCCGGTCGCTCTCGTGCTTATCCAGAGACTCGGCCATGGTGACGCTCGTGCTTGAGGAAGGGCCGTTGCAGGGGACCTGTTTTGCTCTATCTCGAGCGGGGATTTGGAGGTATATGAGCTTCTGGGTTCCTGTTACTTAAAGAACCTGCACCACACAGTTGGGAGATGTCCAGTAGCCCTCGAAGGATATGGTTGTGTTCCCTAAACGAGAGATCCCGGCGTTCCTCGGTAGGTGCCAGGGGCCTCCAGAAACGGAAAGCAAGATTGAGCTGACTGATCCCGATCGACGCCCTTGCTCGCCACTTAGCACGAGCCGTAATATCGATGTGTTCCATGGCCGACCGCGGTGGCGCCTCCCTCCGGGTAAATAAGGAATGGTTGACTCCCTTGCCGCCATCCAAAAGCAATAAAGTGCAATAGACCCTGCCTCAGCTGTCTTGGCCTGGTCGAGTTGCTCTGCTTCATAATCCGCCATTGGTTCTACTCCGCGGCCCTCCGTTAGCATAGTGCCCATACCCTACTGCAGGGGGACCACGATTAACTAACACCTTAATCGAGGTGCCCGCTAACCTCGAGTGCCATGGCGCGTCAAGTGATCCGAGCGCGACCGGGAGGGCGAAGGCCGATCGCTGAGAATAGACCCGCTCACCCCATCTTGTTCTGCATGGTGCGGGTTGACCAGGGGTCTCTAGGCACCATGGCTAGGTTCGCAAGCTTAAGCTTGAGCAGCATCCCAGCCGCAACTTCCACTTCACCGGCAATGAGTTCGTGGGATAGGAAGGGTAAGCCTGGACGGCCGACTCTTGTGTTTAATTAGATAGAATATGATCTAGACCGATTATTAAATAATACTGCCCAGTCTAAGGCATACTTTAAGGGGAGATCCCACTACGAACCCGCCTAACGCCCGCAACCGGTCGAACCTTAATTTACTCCGGCTTTTGGCCGTGGATCACCGTGACTAACCTCCATGGATGAAGCTTCGGCGATTGTAAGTCCCGGCGAACTTTAGACACGAAAACAGTAGCCTCTTGATAACTCCATCCGAGTACTCGAGTGGCAGCTCGTAGAACAAGCCCTCCGAGATCGTAATCTAGAGCGGTATGATTGTACCGGCCGGTTTCTTTTAACCGTTTATCTTTCGGCTAGCTACTAATGGGCATCTGTAGTTTTCTAATACTCGGTCAGCACAATTCGAATCGTCCTAAGGTTATGGAATTACCTTGCCCTGGGTCCTCTTGATATTCGTAAATCCAGCCCGCTCTATCGCCTTTTCCACCGTGCCGTCTTCCGCGATCGTTAATGGCCGATTTAACTTGGTTCCTATATCCTTCTAGAATTTTCCCTATTCGTTTAAATAATTATAGTCTTTGAGACTTTCGTCGTCGCTCTGGAAACATATCGATAGGTCCTTGTACTCGAGGTATCCGCCGGGTTTTAAATCGTTAAACTGTCTCTTCGCGAACGCATCGCAGTTTGAGATGCACCCAGCTATGCCACGAACGTGTATTAAATCAAAACGATCTCCTCCGAAAGTCGATTCCTGATTGTAGTCGTCGAGCTGGCTATGTCCGAATTAGCGACTCGCTCCGTATTATATTCGCTACGATGTATAACTTAAGGTTGGGTGGGACTATCGTGTGTTGAATGGGGGAAATGTCGGTGCCAATGGCATGAGCACTGGGATATTCGTCGGCAACGTCTCTGCTTGCTTATCAGCTTTTAGCGCCTAAGTCTAAGCACCGCTTTGTTTATATATGGCCTAGATTCCTGGAGTCATTGGTTAATTAGTTCTAGACTTCAACGCATTGAGCCGATGCTTTGCTTACCTGTTTTAGTCCCGATATTAAGAATACTCTATATAGCATCGTCAATCTAGACCGTCGTATCTAGGGGCTCGCGAGGCATACCTGTATGTTGTCGATAGGTGCCGAATATAGTTTCCCTTTGTTAAAGCGCAACTAGCCTGTATGGCTGCAAAACTTGGTGAGTAAGGCATTAGTCGGATCTATGGGGTCCTATCTTACGATATGTCTAATAATTCGTTCTGCTGTTCGTTATTCGGCATCCTTCTTAACTCAATTAGCTGACGGCTATGTGATAGGTATGCGCTATACTGATAAATACTCATAGCCGTTTCTAATATCGGCATGATACGATCTTCTATTTTCATGTATAAATTCCAAATATTTGGAATCGAGAGACGACGTGGAGTCGGCATCCGAGCCGTCGTTAAAGTCCGATGTGGCCCCTTCATCTGAGTTAGGGTTCATAGGTTCGCCATCTCGGCCGTCAATAGCAGACGATACGAAACTGCCGTGTTCGCTGTGGCTAAATCTAGAGTCCTATGAGCCATATGATGTAAATTCGGCGTCCGCGTCGTTAGCGTGTCCCGATGCATATTGCAACGCGAGTCTTTTCCCTTCTTTGGAGCTAGAGTCATCGTCGTCGCTACGTTTGCGTTTGTTGGTTACGCACTTGGCTGGTGAGTTTGGATGGTCGCTGACCTGTGGTTCGTTCGTATTGTCCGCCGCGCGCTTGGTATTGGAGGAGGGCTCATCGAGGTCATCCACGTTGGACAGTGACTGTGAAGTCCTCCGTGACGGAGCGCCTTCAGCGGATCGTAGAGCTAGTGAAACTTCTCTAGCTGCTGGGACGCAAACACATATGTTGATCTCGGAGGGTATTCGGTCGATGTTCGCAGAGTATTCCTTGGTTTAAACTCAGGGGCGCGCCGGTCAGCATACGAGGAAGAAGAACGCGAGGAGAGGACGAAGTAAGAATGATATACTACGCGCCAATCTCTTCCCGAGACGAAAGAAATACACGATAGAGGTGGAACTAACCGGCACATGACCTGGGGACGCCGCGGCCAGAGTTGAGGCGATGAGCTAGCGCCATACGGGATTAGGTGGGATGATGATTCGCGATTCAATATTACCGAAGCGCTAAAGTTATGCCTTCCGGTGTAAGACATAGCTAAACTCCGAAGCTAGGTTTGACTCCCGTCGGCTGCCGTCTGCTGGATTTAGTGTGTGCTTGGAGAAGGGCACCAAAGAGTGCTCAAAGGCGCTATCATCACTTTACCGGCAGATATTGCTAGCATGTCTCGCTCCGGTCTCCTCGGCACGCGTCCAGCGATCCCCCGCAACGCAGGACCCTAGCCGCGGAGATTTTGGATAGCTAGGTGACAGATTGGGTGTGGTGGATAGAAAACGGGTCCGAGGCGCTGATGAAGGCGAGCCGAAGCCCTCGTCGGGCCACCCCAATAGAACTGACCTCTATATGGCTGATATGTTGACTTCCGAGCCGGTATAGCGACGCCCAGTGCCACGTCGCTTGCGAGACTTGCTCATGGATCCTATTGTTCAAGGAATAAAAAATCATGGGTAGTATTGGATCCTTTATGGCAGACGATGGGTGGTTATAATATGCTCAAATGAGGCTGAGAAAAATTCTTATCCCCACTGCTAAATATGTACGTGAGGAGTTTTAAGTCACACCGATATTTAGTTATAAGCATCCGATTGAATGTGCATTTCCAGAAGGTAATATTGAGATGCACGAAGCACCCCTAATGTTGTTCTAAGCCCCTAGCAGACATAGTTTCTCCCCAGGGTCTATAGCGTCTGTACCACAATAACATATCACTCCAAGTAGAGAATTCAGTAAGCTAGTTAATATCTAGCTAGAGCCGGGAGGTAGTCGATTGGTCATCCTCGGCGATATCGATCCGGGGCTAACGAACGCGCTCCTCCGAAACCATACTTAAGCTTGTCTGAGGAAGGCTATATGTGGACTGCCTAATCCCAGAGGATGGATTTATATGAGACTTAAAGTTTTAGCGCACCTCAATTCGTTTCCGAACCTAGATTGTCCCGTCCCGTGTCGAGTCGCTGGGGTGATAAATAATTCTCGGGCTTTATCTGGCTCGTAGCCAAAACAGGCCGGCAAGGCAATCTAGGCAATAACAGCGTGGCTTGCTGGAAAGTGCATCCGAGGGAGGCACTGCTTCGTGATATATGCAATCAAAGCCAAGTACTGCCCCTGAACATGATCCCTTTAGCTCCTTCCTCCCCGAGTCTAGCCCATACCCCTGTGATCGTTTTTTGAAAAAACGATCATAGGGGTATCCGGGTGGGGCAGCTAGCAAGGGATTCGTCATAGCCAACTCGGGGTCCACTAAACGGAAAGGGGCGAACGGGGCAAGAGCCACTCAGTTGTTTCTTTCTAATATCAATAGTTCTTTCCACTATGAACCATGGCCTTCGATCAGCTCGATGGATTTAGCGTACTAGTCAACTAGGACGCACGTTATATCACGAGAGAAGACTAAGAAGCCGCTACCCGTCTGGAAAAGGAAGGACTCTCTCGGCCTTTAACGATTTCCACCGTGACAGCAATATCTATCTACCTAGTGGTATGGCATGAGCAATATGAAGCGGCAGTATACCTGATATTATCGCTATTTACCCTTCCTTAAGTTCCACAATAAACTTTTTATCGCGTATTCTTTTGGTATATACGATGCTGCAACGACGGTCCGGCGGAAGATTATATCACGACTGTCGTGGGACGAGTGTACTATATCTACTTTCCACTCGGCAAGTGCTAGTTCGGCGAAGATAAGTAAGCGATACGATATCTCTCATGCCTCGTTCATTGCATATATACTTACATGAGGGTAGCCGGCAGGAATTGCCCTTTGTCAATGCTGTGGAGGGAACAAGCTGCCACGATAGGGCATAACTGGGCCTCGATCATCTATAGCAGCCCCCTCATTCAGCGCTCAAGAGGCGGGAGTATGATAGCTCGCACAATCTCATAGCAGCATACGATACTGCAGCAAAAGGAGGCCTCGGACGACCACCAAAAAGACGCCAACTACTTAGCAACGACCTCGAGTCGGGCTACGGGTCGGATAATTTATAATACGGGCCACAACAAGCCGAGCCAGAGGATGACAATCTGGAATAGGATGAGTTGGAACAGGACGAGCCGGAACAGGACGAGCCGGAAAAAAGGAAGCTAGAACGACGCGCGGCGACGGTGAAGAAAGAAGCCCAAGCACTGGTAAAGAAGGCATCAGCAGGGTTGAAGGAGTTAGGCGTCAAGGAGTTCATCACAGCGTTGCCACTTCAGCTGACCGACGGTTGCGTTGAAGTCAACATATCCGAGGATCAGTACAGCTTTCAAGACTCAACAGTGATGTGGGAATGGGCCCAGGAGTTCGGCATTACAGCCCAGGGGACGAAATGGACGGTGTTCCTAGTGTCGAGCTGCTTGAGAATTGTTGAGAAAAAATTGGGAAAGAATGTCTCCGCGCTTGACGAAAGTCAAGAATTAAAGAGAAGGAGGTGGGCAACAGGTGTCCTTACAATGAATAGGATAGTCAATCAGATGGGGATAATGGGGCTTCGGCTTTATGATGTCTATGCCAGTAAGTCTATGTCTACAGGAGCTTGGGCTGTACTAAACCAGAATTCAGAAAAGGATTTTATTTTTCATAATTGCTCTACAAAAGCGGAAGAGGTTCGGAATGCTGTTGCCGATATGACAGCGAAATCCCTATCTACAGTGGAAATACTCATCTCCACGGATGCACGTGTTCTCTTTCTTCCGTATCTCATTTGGGCCATTTTAGACTCCAAGCTTGAGGAAGGGGAAAAGTTGCCGTAAAGAGACCCTCAACTCCTTCTACGTCTTGATAATTGACACCTTTTGACAGGCAAGCAGATGTCTGCAAAATCCTCGGCTTGGGCGAGTTCGCTAATTTCCAAATCCACTCGCCATTTGTTCCGTTCGATCAGCTGTACTCGGAACAGGAGCGGCTCCAGCGGCCCCCGGAGCAGCATTCGGTCTCTGCCGGAAGCCCGGGGCCCGCTCCTTTGAGCCAAGAGGCATCAACCCAATTTGCAAGCTCGCAATCGAACCGAAATACACAGTCTTTGGCTCCACCAGAGTCAGAGCCAATCGCTATCCGGAACCATGTAGCCGAGACCCCAGGGCTACAGCCGGTTTTGGCAAGTCCTCCTACGGCCATCTCTGGTAACGAGGCAGAGACGCTGACGTCTTCGGGCCCCATGATGTTTGATGTCAGACGACTTCAAACAGGTGCCTCGGCCAATGCCAGGCCTTCCTCGGAGACTTGGTCGGAGAATACAGGGTTACGGGACCGCGTTGTACCCCACGAGGCCTCAGAGAGCAGGCGTTTCCTTCAAGGACTGCGGGATAGCGTGCCACACTCACCTGCGTTGCCGGTCGACAGACTTTTGGATACATCGCCAAGTTCGCCGCACATGACATCAGTCCAACAGCAACAACGGGTTCTGGAATCGAATCAGCCTCTACAATTTCCGGTTCCAAGTTCCGACAGGGCCCTCCCGGAGAACGGCCCTCGAGAGATACTGAGCCATAGCACTAGCATGGCACCCAACAGCCAAGACCAGAGTGAATACATCCATACACGCCAAGATCTATCCGCTTGCAATCACGCCCCTGGGACCCAAAACCATAACCACCCCGCCACACCAAGCGTACAAGAGCAAGCTGACTGTCGAGCACAGATGCAAATCCCGGGATTTCTACCAGGCCAGCCTGAGTCTTCGCAGCCACGGAGCCATGCCACGGAAGCAGCGGGTGTAGAAGCCCCCGAAGGAAGTGATGTATTAACCCGAGCATCTTCGCGTGACACTCCTAGAAGTGCGTATAACAACCCGTTGGATGATACATCATTTTGGGACGATCTCCTTGATGAGAAGGATCAGGCCAGCATGGATACGCTGTTCAGTGTTCTTGATGCGAATGTGGTCGACTGAGATGAGATATTGAGCTCTGTACAGAGGGGATCTTGAAATGAGATCAAGGGTCTAGACAACTGCTGACCGATAGTCTCGTGGGCAAAAGATCAAGGTGCTTGTGCTTAAGGGTCTCTAGATACATCCAGTCTTTCTAAATCGTCTCCCGGTTCCTCGTTGCTCACTTCACTTTCCCCACAGAATCGCAACATGTAAGCCCGAATCGGCCCTCCTTTTGTCGCGAAAAGGACGCCGGCCTCAAGCATATACGCCTCTGATTCCTTCCATTCAATGGCTGTGTTCAATTTGGGTTCCTTCCGTTGCAACCCCACGGTGACCTTCTGTTCGGACGGAAAAGGCCTGGGAATGATAATAGCCCTTTTGTCCACAGGCGTCGTTATTCCCCCCTTTTCCAGAACGACATCTAAACCTCGCCAGTAAATGGGGCAGGCTTCTTTGCCGGGCCAGTTAACGATATAAGGGTTCTTCTTAGTCAGTTCGTCTACATATCATTCTGAGACTCATCAGCCTTACCAGTTCCCTTAGAATATTTCGAGCGGCTGCCTTTTGTGGAGCATCTAATGGTCGAATAAGTGTTTTAACTGATCTCATGACGACTTCTTGGCGTCTGTCGGGTTCCCGTGGTTCGTTGTGTAGTTCATCTGCACCGTCGAGAGAATGCTGTTGGGCGGGGGACAAAGTGAAGTGCGTGTAACCGTCGTAGGCAATGGCTTTGGACATGATGGCAGTGGTGAATGATGGAAAGCCTCGCAAGGGTATTTATACCTAGCGCTAATTACAAACCAAACCGCTCTATGTCATAGTTGCTTGGGCCGAGTTCGAGATGAGCGAAGCCCGATACCTATTGTTAATGACGCACGAATGCCTGACGCCGGTCGGAACAAAGAATGACCGACAGCCAGGCGGATCACAGTGAGATACAGTGTGTGAAGTTTTGAGTTAACCACCCTATACCTAAACGGGCAACCAAGTATAAGACAAAGTCTCCTTGATCTGCGAAGGCACATACAACAAAAGCCATATCTCAACTCTCACGAGGATTCCTTGGACTCTGACGTGCTGTCTGATCTTCATGTCAGCAAGTTGGAGTTAGGAGTTCATTCTTAACTCACCGTCAGAGTCAGGCAAAGGTTCCTCATCAACTCCAGGTACTGCATTGATAATATCATCCATAGATACTACTCCACTTCCCTCCCCAACTGTCGAATGTTCTGTGCTGCCTTCTCTGTTACGAGGGTCTGGTTCGCTCGTAGACATGTTACCAAAGTGTATTTGAAGTTTGAGGGGCGTAAGCGTTGTGATGGAGCTTGAAAGTCCGTTACCGAAGTCGTTAAGCTAAGTTGGAGCTGTAGGTTAGCGATTAATGTCCCAAACAACGGCAGCAAGCAAAGCAAAAGTGTGATGCAGCCTTTCGAGCCTTGGAAAAAAGCAAATGCTAAATACAAGATCAAAGTTGAACCGGCCACTTGCCAGAGAGCAAAGTTTGGAGGTTGGTGGCGGAAGTAAACAATAACGAACCTAGGTGAGAATGAAACGTTCAAGACAATGCAGGGAACTGGTGTTCGAGTTTGGGCTGTGTGAACTCAGAGCTTGCCCTTCATCTTAGATGGGGAGGAATCTCCCATTTTATACTCAGCGAGAGCATTTCAGCAACCCCCGAGAGCTGAGCAACTCTGATGGGCCGGGCCACTCCGCCAACATGAATATCACAGCAACCCTGCAGTTGCAGCAGTGAACTCGCGGCAACCCTCAAAGCAGCATGATGGAGGGATTAGCTGAAGGCAATTGATCAATCAACAACACGGGTGCATCAGTTCATAGGCCACAATCTGCAGCCTCTTGTCTTACCCTAGTGTAGCTCGGATGCTGGCAGCAGGGTTTCCATCACAGACATGCCGAAGGTACTTCATCGACCACCAGGACGCCATGAACACGTCAGGGACCTGTTCTTGTTGTCTCCCCTTTGTCGAATGTGAGAAGATCTCGGTCTAGTTTCATGCAGGTTGGCCGCGGCCGTGTTCGCCTCGCGTTGGCCTGCAGCAACTGTTGGGAGTGACTGGGCCGCGCCACTCCGCCAACATGAACGTCACAACAACCCTACAGTTGCAGCAGCGAAGTCGCGACAGCCCTGAAGTAGCAAAATGGAGAGATGAGCTGAAGGCAATTGATCAACCAGATACACGAGGACATCGGCTCACAGCCCGCTTTATGCAGCCTCCCTCCTGTTCTGTTCTAGTCTGCCTCCGTTGTGGTTGCGTGTCGTTCTCAGCCCGGTTTCCACCATAGGCCTATGGCGAACTGGGACGGGTTTCACTACAGCAGAGCATTGAAGTGAGGGCCCGGTTGGGAAGACCAAAGTCTCATGCGAGCGCTCGTAATTTCACAGACTAAATTAGGGGTCTATTTCAAGCGGCATCTCTTCGATATTGACCGTTTCAGTTTATACGTTTTGACCATTGCTATCGCTTTCTATTTCACATTGTAGCAAAAGGCTGTGAGAGCGGACAATTGGTACACGAACTTGCAAAGCACTGGGTTGTTCTGATACCATCGAGGCCCAATCATGAAGACAGGGGCCATTAGCCATATAGAAAATATAGATATAGCCTAGGGTTTCTTATGTGCTCAATTATGCCACGATCCACCCCCATGGGCAGATGAGGCTTGTAATGGGAGTCCTGTCCGTGCCATCGACCACCAGGACGCCATGAACACGCCAGGAACCTGTTCATGTTGTCTCCCCTCTGTCTGATGAGAGAAGATCCTAGCCAAGTTGCGTGCAGGTTGGTCGCGACCTCGTTCACCTCGCGTTAGTCGAAGGAGGCTAGGACGGGCCACTCCGCCAACATGAACATGACAACAACCCTGTAGTTGCAGCAGTGAAGGCGATTAAGCAACCAAACGCATGGGGAACCAGCCTATCCTTGTCTTAGCTAGATCGACTTCTGGCTATAACCCATGCACAGCTTGCGCAAAGGTCCGTGGCACGCGTTGCTCTAGCTCCACCCAGTTTGCGCAAAAGCTCATCGCTCGCGTTGTCCGAGTCCCACCCAGTTTGCGCAAAAGCTCATCGCTTGCGTTGTCCGAGTCCCACCCAGTTTGCCTTGAGCTCCACTCCGCCCGAGCTGTTGCGCATGTTGCTTGAGCCCCACTGAACTCATCCGCTCAAACCACCCACATCTGTTATTGGCGTGACGGCTCCACAAACCATGTAAGCTGTAGACACGTGATCGCGCACTAATACCTAACGGCCATGATCAGTCATCCCATCTGTTGGTCGGGCTTCAATGAGCCTTCCATGGACGCAGTCAAGGCACAATGATATCAATAGCAGCATTATAACTTTCTTCTCAACCAGACAATTCTGTAAGGGCCATCGGATCACGCATCATTTCTATATCACACATCGAACGCCCTGTCAAGATGGTAAGTGCATTATCCTTCGGTCTCGTTCCACTGGATTGACTATCGGCAGGGTGCCAGTTCGGACGATCCCAGCGAAGAGCTTGACGAAGCACTGTGGGAGGCGGCCACTCCAGTGGAAATCAGTGGCTTCATCGCTGCTGGGCGAACAGTATTATGGAAGGAGATTAATGCATACTGGAAGACGGACGACGAGAAGAGATTTACAAATCAAATGAGACGAACAGGGCAATGGACGGTGAAGAAGGGCCATTCCGCGTTCATGGAGGGAACAAACGTCAGGGAAAAGAAATGAGCGTATGGTCATATTAAGGCGGCCAGAGCTTGGAATATATACCAGGTAATTTCTCAGGGTGTATCCACAAGCATAGTCTAGCAGCGCATTCAGCTACACCAGAAATCTGCATGGATGTACAACAGGACCATATGTCGCCGTTTAGAATCTCGGCAACACGCATATAGCTTTGATACATTGCATCAGCAACTATATTGCCAAAAAGACCGTTCCATGTAGAGGCGTCGGATCCGTTGTAATGTTCAAATCCCAAGATTGACCTGAATGTACCTCTGTTGCTCACGACTTGCCTCATACCGTCTCGAGTCCGGATACGTAGTTCGAAAAGTTTCAATGCTAGATATTCAACATCTTCGGCGCATATATCCATGACAAGTCGAGAGTCTCCGTTTAAGTGAGGTGGATTCGAGACCATAATACAAGCCTGGTTATCCTTCTTCACAATCATATTACACAAGGCAGGGTCGAGCAAAAGAGGAATATGTTTGGATTCCGGATATGCGCGTTCCCAACGCTCCACTGGTTTGAAGTCTGGGAGCTCATGGATCTCCAGGGGTTCGCCGATCGCGACGTCAGAGGTCGAGGGTGTCTGCTGCGGAGCAGCAACCATGAGGCTATTCCCGGCGGCGCCCGGTCTTCGGTAGCGGTTCTGGTATCTAGTTCCGACGCGTTGGCGTTTCGGGTTGAGTTGGGAAAGCGAGGAAGGAATATGGGAATCGGGTGGCGAGATCGGAGGATGCGTTTCGCCCAGTGAGGGAGAACAATGCGATTCCGGGCGCGTGGAGGCAGGTGATTCAGGTTGGGCTTCGGGTTGGACTTCGGGTAGTGCTGCGGTAGTCTCGTCAGGCAGGACTATGGGGCAGCCTTTAACGTTGAGCTTCGTCAATTTTTCTGAAAAGTGAGCATACGCGGGCGATATAGACATCAGGGTGACTCACTGCAGCGTGACTTGCCACAGAAGGAATCCTGTAACGTGGACTTAAGACGATTAACAAGAGAGGGGTTAACTTCGACCGATGATAGTTCACAAATAATTGAGCCCAACTCGGTGGTAGACAGCTGTGACACAGAACGCTCGCATTGCTCGTCGCGAAACGTGGCGGCGAAGTAGGCAAACCAGGGCCAGAATCCAGTTTTCAGGAAGGAGAGTGCGATGGGGTCTATTGACGCCTTGTCTAAAGCGTTATCGAACCCAACAGGCGATTTATAAGCGTGCTGATCTTCCTAGAGGCAAGCCGACAGAGTCCCCAGAATCGCTTATGATGAATCGCTCAACATCAAAAATAGCTAAATAGAAACGCAAAAATCTGGGAAGCTGTCGTTCGCGTGTTGTCTGAGCAGCTTGCGCACACGCGCGCGCAATTTTCTACTTGCGCAAACTCTACATCTGACTCCTGACGGCTAAGACAGCCAGTAAGGGCGCACCACGTTGCAATCTTCTCGACGTATACTATGTGGGGCCGGCCCCTAATCAAACGCGTTAACCGGGAAGACACATAAGCGCTAGCCAAAGTTTTGAACGTAAGCGAAGTTGCGCACCCGGAGACACAGCTTCCGCAGCTTGCTTATCGAGTGGGTGAAAGAAAATACGAGCGGTCTACCCATCTCATTGTGGTGAGAAACAGCTCGAATAATAGTTTCACCCTTTTACATTCTGCGCTTGTTACTAAAAAGGGCATTGTGAAGACTATTGACACGCGCAAACACACCGATGCAAAGCGAAGTTCTGGCAAACGCGCGCACCGTGGGAGAGACGATTGCGTGAGGCACCGACCATTTCAGTTGCCCCCTCCCCCAGGCGTTCGATCTCAACCAATCGGAAGGAGGGTGAAATCGACCGTGCAGTGGAGGGGCCGCGCTTCCGGACATAGCAGTAAGTACTCGACATGCAACAAGCAGGCAGCATGGCGTGTGTGCCTCTGAATCAACTTAGCAGTGCGAGTGAATTATTGAACTTCGATGCAACGAGAAAGATATGCAGATGCGCGGTTTTCCATAGCTGAGGGACGCGTCTGAGGTGTGCCGCTACTCGCACATCATTCTCTCTGTTGGCGAAGCTACACAGTGATGGTGGCACTGCACCAAGATGTAATAGCCCTCTATCGAAAAAGAGAGTCTCAGTCCTTTTCATGCCGAGTTTATCGATGACTCGAGCTCGAATTGATTAACCTACATGAGAGGGAAGAGTTCAAAGACCTTGCGTGTGTTACTCTCTTCACTGCCTCCACTGGGTACTTGTGGGGCCTCCAACTCCCTGTGCTGGCGACGCCAGCACAGGGGGCATAGTGAGTAAGGAAAAGGCCGGTTAATTGGGGAATAAACGACGATACCTTCAATTCTAAGGGATTCCCACACAAATATGGGTACCTCGGTTTACTAGATAATTCTGTATGCTTCATAGATGACGCTCAGAATATGTCATTACCCCGTGGATATCGTCAACTAACCGCGACGCAGCCCCTTTACCCACCCCTTCTTTAATCAACCACAACAATTGCAATTTTCATTCAATTGAGAAGATGAATATATCTATCGATAGCCACAGTCGTGGAGTTTCTGCTGTACAAAAGTGGATTAATCCGAGTACCAGATCACCTATTTTTACGCGCTTCACGGCCGATAACCTCAAAGCCTGTACCGTCGCAGCGGCGGAGCTTTTCAAGGCGGGCTTTTATCCCTCCATCGCTGCCGCAGCTCGTGGCCTCAAACTCCCGTATAAGAGACTGCTTTCAAGGTGCAATGGAGGGAAGCCGCGCAGCCAAAATGGCGGGAACAACACTCTCTTCTCGCCAGCTGAGGAGCAGGCGATACTTACGTGGCGCTGGAGGCGTGTTACTCGGGGACATCACCATACAATATCGTACCCTTCGTCAACGGGGCCCAATAGAGAGAGCCACGGGTCCATAGCTACGGGTGGGAACTCATGAATGAGTTTATTCCGTCCTGGGGGGATACGACGTAAATTTGGCAGCAATTATTGGAGTAGGGACTCGCCGGCGCAAGGCATGGATGTCAGGGTAATCTACGCGAGCCCGACGGCCTCTCCAGCAAGACAACACGAGGCATGTAGAATTGTCCTAAGCGTGCATACTGTTGAATAAATGGATTACTGTAGGGGGATCATGCCCGAGACAAAACAAGACAAGGCGAAGCAGGATAAGGAAATAGATTTCTAACCCGTTGCAATCACATCCGCTATTCATTCACCATTATACTCGTACCTCAAGGCCTTGCACTGCTGTGCAGGTTCAAGAGCGTTGTTCTCGCCATCAGATCGTCCTCCGCAAACTCACAACCTCGTGAAACTCGCTTGCCAGGCTGAGCACTTTTCTCTCCGTCCGCCACCCGACCCGAATCCCACCCTCGTTTGTTAGGCACCACCTGTGCTAGCGGTCGCCGCGCTGCTTCAAGCAGCACGGCACGCTCAAAGTCAATCAGCATCACACTGTCCGTCTCCCTGTTGACCAGCATGTTTGCACTCCGCACGTCCTTGTGAACCACGTCTTCCTCGTGAATCGCCCGTAGAGACTTAAGCAACTTGTCCTTGAGTGTTCTTCCCATGTCGGCTGTAACCTCAATCTCGTCGATGCCGTCTCCTCCCCACGATAAGAATGTCATGTGCACAATGTACACCCGATGGTCGTAGTAGTAGACCTTCTTGAGCGGCCGAAGATCGATGGCCCCTAGGAAGACGGGCACGCTGACGCCCTGGATCCGCTCGAGACGCTTATACACCGCCGCCTCATGTCCGAGGTCCTTGATAAAGGCCTGCACTGTCCCCTTGCATACAAATGTGTAACCGTACGCAAGAAGCGTCACCTTGAACAGGACCCCTCGTGCCCCGTGCTTTCCCAGCTTCGTGATTCCAGCATCTAACGACTGCCGCAGCTGCTCACGTAGGAGTTGCAGCCATGTGGAATGGCTGACTGGATGGCGCGTGTGAGTGCACCCTCGGGTTCTGCCACGAGATCTGCTGTGACATCCATTGTCGGGGCCTCTGTGAGATTCTACATTGGGGCATCTCGGATCGAGTGGGCTTCCTCTGACCAGCCCGAGCAGGCATGCTTGAGTACAGTACTGTCGGTCTCGGGCAGCTCCTTCGCGTGGTCGGCGTGCCAGGATTCGTTGACTTCTTCGGGGCTCCTTTTCGTGTCCTCGCTGTCTACGCCTTCCGCGCCGTTCAGCAGGGCTTGGCGTGTCTGGAGGCTGCGTCCCCGACTCATCCGACGATGACTCTGCCCGGTTTCTTCTAATCGCAAATTTGTCGTGCTCATCATCCCCCTCACCCTGCCGCCGCCGTGGCCGTCGCCGTGGTCGTTGCCTTCCCCCCCGGAGCACGCATGGTGACCGGTCAAAGTCCTCGTATGTCGTAGGCACCCAGCTCGATGAGCTCTCCGGCGCTCTTCGCTCCCCCTCGGGAATCGACCGTAATGTCGTCTCGAAATCTTCCGCCCATCTCTTGAGGCTTGCCGTCGCTCGATCACGCTCATCCTGCCCGTGCTCGCCTCGCTCTCCTGGACTGCCCAGCGCCATCAGGCTGAAGGCGAGATGCTGTCCCACCGCCGAGCTCGACTGCACATGTTCGGCATGCGCCGACACCTCCGGCCCGGGCTCTGCCAGGTGGTAATACAGCGTTTCAGGCCTGGCCCAGTCGATCTTGAGGAAAACAGTCGCCTCGCCCGTCGTCATCAGCCCATACTCGAGACCCCCCTCGATCATGTAGTGGTACGTCTGCGTCAGCGCAGACGCCGTCAGCCTCTCAGCGTGATACTGAAAACGCCCCTCCGGGTCCACAGACGTCGGGATAGTCTTTCGATTGACAACCTCCTTATAAATGTTCATTCGCCGTAGACCGGCACGGAGGTGCGGAGCCGTCAGCTTATGGGGTGCCTTGTACTCAGATACGTAGATCATCGTCCGTTTCTCAGACACCGTGTCGTCGTCTGATCGGTACACGCAGATTTGGTCAGGTCGAAGTTGGTTGACATCTCGTTTGTGGTTTGGTGTTTGCAGCGATGTCTGCAGCGGCGTTTGCGGTGGTGTCGGTGTGCTCTCTCGAGCAGCAACTTCTTCCGCGACATCGCTGATGGCATGAGGATGATTCTCAAACACGATCCCACTTCCCATATCAAACGCGTTGCTGACCTCCTCCACTTGCCTGAGTTGTTCCATAATGACTCGGACGGGATCTTCCACGCCGGTGTGCATAAAGTACTCGAGCGTCTTCTCGTCGGCGATCGATCGCTGCGAAACCCTCTTTCCCAGACCGGCCAGGAAGTTTTGGCTCTCGAAAGCCCGGGTCTCGGTTGGAAAGCATTCGTATATCGTATCAAAGACGCTTCTCTGTTGGTCCAAAAAGTGTGGCCAGGGCTCAAGACTAGTTGGGCACAGCTTATTGCGAGGGTTGGTGATGGAGCCCCTTGATGTTAGCCGTCTGTCTCTTTCTACCTTGAACTGGAAGAAGACGAGGCTATGGCAGGCAGCGATATACTCGTCCAAGGTTGTCGGTCGTGTCTGCTTCTCCGCTTCTTCAGCGCGCTGCTGTTCCTTCTCGGCGCGCTGCTGTTCCTTCTCGGCGCGTTGCTGTTCCTTCTCGGCTCGATCTCGTTCTTCTTGACGTTCTCGTTCAGCTTCTTCGGCGCGCTGCCGTTCTTGCCGACGCCCTCTCTCGGCTTCCTCGGCGCGTCGTTGTTCCTTCTCGGCGCGTTGTTGTGCTTCTAGAAGGCGCCTTCGAAGCTCTTCCATGCTATTTGGATCACCCATATTCAATGGATAAAACCAGAGAACACCGATGAAACCCGCGTTCGGAGTGAGCTGTTGGCCAGTCGTGTGTGCCTTGGTGTTTTAGAAAACATGTTGACGGCCGATGTGGGTACTGGATAAGAAGTTTTGTTGCGAGGGGTTACGGCTAGTCGCCTCCACCAGACAGACTTTCGGCCTAACTTTTTCCGCGCCGAGGCCTGGACGGGGAAGGGAAAAAAACAAAGAACACGGCCCGTTAACTCCTGCACTCGGAAGGGGCCAGCTAATGCCTGAAGTAATTGATTGGTCAGTGAATCATAGCTAATAACAAAAGAGATGAGGCGGCTTACAACCAAAGCTTGGGATTCAAAGGATCCCAGGTGAGAGAGGGGCTGTCATAAATAGGTATTCAGATGCTTTCTCGAGTTAAAAGAAAGAGGAGACAATTTTCCGAGGCTGGGGTTAGATATGTCCGGATGAATACTTATTGCGGTTTATCTATCATCCTATCTTATCAAACAAACAGGGGTACCGTGCCGTTTAACAGGGATAACATTCCATTTAACACCGATGCGTACTAGCTCCTGGAAATTTACAAGGGTGCTGTTCGCCCAAGACGCGATCTTAGTGGTTGATTCCTCCCGAACACAAGTGAAATCCGACACCCTAAACTCATCATTGATCTACAAGCAACATTGATCACAGACTTTCACGACGCCCTCAGCCCTCGCCCTGCAACCAACATTGATAATGATAGAAGAGTAGGGCTTCTCTTCATCAAGCTATCTTGCTAATCGTTTCTAGTAGAACCGTGACCGTATATACACTTCGCATCAGAACAGCCATCACGTCGATCCTTGAAACAACGGCCCTGGCGGGCGATATACCACAGAGCATCAAACTCAACGTCGCTCAATGGTGGGTGACGGTGATTTCTCGGGCAGCCCCTACATTCTCCCCGCAGAAAAAGCCAGCTGCAAAGGTTGAGTCGTTTCATCCTTTCAACCAGCTGTTGTTCAACACTTAGAGGCGGATCCGCACGCCTCCCATTGTTTACTAATATCGGCCCTAATCTCGCGAACTGACGCGGAGGAACCGCATAGGAAAATACCTGACCACCTTGTACAGAACTATACGTTCCCTCCTGAGAACCAGTAAATGTAAACACGCTGCGAAACTGAGTGACATGCTTGAACCCAAGTTTCCTAATAGATGGCGCAGCAGGGCTCCCGACGAGCAGCGTTATGCGTTCCAGGGCCGATTTATCCGCAACAAATTGACCAAGGAATGGAGCATAACCCGAGTCATGACAACAAGCAAGCATGATATGCTTGCATTGAGGACTTTCCGCGAAGAACTTTAGATATTCTGCAGACTTCTTAGTGATCTTATGAGCATCACGGGTCAGTATGCATCGTACCTCGAATTTTGTTGTCTGCCCTTTCCTTACCAAATCCCACATCAACGAAATCGAACATAGGCAAACGGCTACTAAAGCCTGCGCAAAAAGCCCTTACCTGGGCCGTGTCTTTTACTCGCGCCTCCCGGACGAGTCTCGACCCTAAACCGTCCAAGTGAGCGAAGGCTTTGACGACCACATCTAGTCTATCAGAATCATCCACGATGGTCCGTAAATACTCTTGTGTAGCTGTAAGCAGCTCATCAGCCGCTTCTTCGCCTCCTGTAGATGCCGCCTTGATAAATCTGTCTTGAAACTAATCCATGTCAGAGTTAGCACCACATAAGCCTCGTGCATGCTTAGACTAATGCCTACAGCATAGCCGTCCGCGTCAGCATCGATCAACACGACCGCAAACGGTCGTCGTTCCTTGTAGAGGGTGTCAGTTACTACAGCATACGATTCCATGTGAATTCGATCTTTCTCTCACCACGATTCTGCCTCTATTTCGGAGGGCAAGCATATCCTGCTGCAGTCGTCTCCGAGCATCTTGCTCAGCTTGGAGATCTAGCTCCGCTTGCTCTAGTTTTGCATCGGTGTCTTCCAGCTTAGTGATGAGCTCCTGCGGATATCGAGTCAGCGCTGGCCACAGAATAGTCAGTCTGTAAACAGCGGGTATGAATCCGTACCTCAATCAAGTCCGACCGTTGCTCCTCGGCAATTCGGAGTTCCTTCAAGCGCTGGCGGTAAGACTGTGGTTGAGGGCTCATCACCGTAGATGATGGCAGGATTACAGCTTCTCCTGCGAGACAACGACACACCCCAGGTCGATATTTTGGAAAAGCACGAGCAGAAGAGAAGTAGTTCGGAAACTAGAAAACTGCTCAGAAAGCGGGGCAAGGGCGGCACGAGAAACAAGGGGGTAATGCCAGCCATCATACATGCAATACTGTAATACTCGGTATACCCTTATATCCGTGCCCCTTGTATTCAGCCCCTGCCCATGTCAGACGAGAATTCAGGAGAGAAGCTGCGCTGCGTACGGAGTAATTGATGAGGGACTAACACGGCCGCCCCGCTCGCAATCTCTCCTACCTTCACCACCACATTGTGATAATATCATCATCACAGCTGTGGGTAGAGCCCATGAAAAAAACCCAAGTATCGCGATCTACTAACGTACATGATACGAGTGGTCAAAACAAACGAGCGGTCAATTCCACACCCGGATTCTCGTTTCTTTACTTCAACCCACATTTCTAGTACTACGGTAGCTCATAACGGAGCCGATTTCTTGGCGAGCGCTGCAATCCTCGGGAAGGTCGTCGAGAACCAACCTTGGAAACCTCTCGCCCCTACCCTGTCAGGATCTCGACCGTATATCAGCATGGGGGGTGTCGCAATGAAGCCTGTCTCCGAACTTGCTCGTAGAGTCCACGACCTTCGTCCTTGTGTGGTAACTTGGCGCGGCTTTCGCGTTTGAATAGGTGGTTCGGATTGTCCAGTTGCTCCCGAAGGATCACTAAAGTGTTGAGACTTGACTTGATACCCGCGGACTGGTCTTCAAGATTGTTCGGTAGTTCGAAAAGTGCTTCCGTCACGTCGTCATTCGAATCCTGTGATGGGCTAAAAAGGATCCTCCCCTGGGCCAGTAGCCCTGAAAAAAGCAAGAGACAGCGAAATGCCAGGTTTGCTAAGGTTTCAACTTCCAGGATAACAGAGTCCACGATACTGCGAGCATTGGGATACTGGGCCAAGGATCTCCTCGGCTGTTCTTCGTGGTGAACCAGGCCTTCTTCTCCCGCTAGTATCGATGGTGTTGCCATGATTAGTCCTGTTACCTCGCCCACGTGGCGATACATGTCTCTTGCTAATTCCGCAATGGCCTTCGAGAGATCGATTCTATCAGGGCTGAAAACAGTAATTTGAAGCTCGACGCTCAGCTGAACATGGGATAACGCCTCAGTTACGACGTGTTGGAGCCTTCCAAGGAGCGCTTTCTGACTGGAAAGTCGCGTTTGCAGCCGTGCGAGAGTCACAAGTTCGTCGTCAACTGACGATGCGTTTTCATGAATGTTTAGAGAACCAAGCTGTTTCTCAAGGTCGGCATCATCGTCATCATCTGCAAACCCAACGTAGTAGCTTTTCCGAGCCGGCGAAAACGCTGAGACGGCCCCCTGGCCTTGGAACGAGCCTTGCCGGCTTCCAAGCTCAATAAGTCGGCCCAGTATGCCTTGTTGTGCAGGATGGTTGTAATCCTTCCATAAAAGACAGAGCTTTGCGATATCTCGGGCCCCTTTGTTGTAGTCTGAGGCGAATAATTGTCTCAACAGCGCATTTACCTGCTGGCGCTGATATTCAGCAGGGACGCCCTCGAAGCTTTGGACTTGTATTGGCTCTCTCTTGCCTCGCCTTATCTGCCGCAGGATGCTTAACATGATGAGCGTGCTCTCCAAATTGCCAGGATCTCTAGATCCATTCTTTCTGGATATCCTGAAGAGTTAGACGGCACTCTTATAGGTGGAAATTTGTGGACTTACTCATGCTCCATAGAGCTGTCGTCGCAGATTGTGTGTATCCACTCGGGGACAATGGTTGAACCGGCCAATTCGCCAAATGCCAAGGCAAAATGACATAGAAGGAGCATTCGACAGCAGGCCTTTCGCGATTTATCGTAGCATACGGCCGCAGCTGGATGAAATGACCGGATTGCGATTGTAGAATTGCCTTCTATATCCACTTGGTCGCGAAATGGCCATGTGCCGACTCCGTGCGACTTGAATTGAGCGATGAATGGCTGTTCGCAATCTTGGTTCCAACAACATAGAACAACTTTGGGCTTTTTAAGCTTCAAGATTTCCTCAATCAGCTGATGGCATCGCTCCGAAGGAATAGGTGTCGCCTGCTGGGGTTTGAAAGAGAATGCGTCAAGGACGGTGACAGTATGAATGCTCCGAGCTCCCTTGGAGCTGAAACTGATGAGTTCATCAACTCTCTTCAGCGTCTCGCATCGCTTCACAAACTCGCCAAAGGTCCCGTCGTAAGTCTGCTCTTTGTACGGCCGCTCCAGAATGATGACCAAGTCCGACGGGCCAGAAGCGAGGCTGCATGTTTGTTCAATTTCGTTTTTCGGTCGCGCAAATTCCTTGCCGAACCCCTGGATGAGATTCAGAACTCTGATGTCCTCTTCTCTTGGCCAGCAAACCGGTGGCTCTAGCACAAGATTCTGGACGCAGCGGGGAACGGGTATGTCAAGGCAAAGCATTGTGCTAATAAGAGCATGAAGTCGCTGTTGACGCGTTGGCTTGAGATGATACAAAGTAGTGGTTTGAGCTGTCGCAATGAGCGTGCCAAAAGGATCAAAGGTCGGGTAAATAGTAATGACGTGCTGATTGATATCTAAAGTGCGGGGTACCCAGCCGACAGATTTTACCTAGAGCAGCAGGGCTTGATTACTCAATGCTGTTGTTTGCGACACTGACTTTCTCCGCGCCCAATCGCTGTCACGTGCAGATTGTCGAGCGAATACCATTCACCCATGGGACGGCTCATCCCTCAGGCCTCAAAGTCAACCAAGACGTTCGCTCTCGCGCAATCTCTGCGCTCTACCCGTTTAATTCTGTAATAATTACAGTTTATTATCAAGTTTATAGTCTTATACCTTTATGTTTATATAAAAGCTATAACGTATATGATAAGCGAGCGTCGCATCCAAGCGAGCGTCGCACTTTTCAGCACCTATAAAATAAAAGCCATTATAAAAACGCAACAAATCAATTGATCAATTGAAACTACTCGCTATACTCCTCCCCAGACGTCTTAATCACTACCTGACACGTTCTTGCATTATGCCCGGGTTTACTGCATATTCCACAGCGCCGAACGCCCGGTCCGACCGACCTTCCTCGACCACCACTTCTCGACGATTCCGCAACTACCTGCGCATCCACATCCATCTGATCAATTGCTTGCCGTGCTTCCTCCACTGTTAGTACCCCTCTCTTCTGTAGCCGTGTTCTTTTTGCTCTACGGCGCCGGCTTAGTATCTCATTCGCCTGTCGAAGATCCTGCACCTCAGCCTTCAAAAGGGCATTCTCATGCAACATACCCAATGTTCCCTTAGTTAGAGACTTAAGAGCTCCTAAAATTGACTCTGGGGAGCTACTTTGATGCCTTCTGATTCGTCTCTCAAGGTATTCAGACTGAGACCCGGCCTCAAGCACTGTCTTTGGGGTCTTTGAAGCCCAAGGGGTCAAGGGCCCGGCCTCCTCCTCAACCGGTGTTGGGGTCCGTAGCTGCACATCAAGCTTTAAGACCACACTTTCTGGGTCAAGAGGGACAAGCCCGGCCCCTCTGAAAGATGACCTGATGTTTTGTTCTGTCATGGTAGCTTGGTAAGCGGCATAAAAGGCCGGGAAGAACTCGGTCTTTGAAACGTGGGTTATAGAGCATCTGATCAGATGCTCTATTTCTCGACCATAAGCCTTCTTTAGCAGGCTAAAGTACCCGACGTCGAGAGGCTGAAGTAAATGAGACGAATGAGGCGGCATACAAAGCGTAATGATCTGGTTCTCCTCGCAATATCTCTCAAAGTCGACGGAGTGGTGACTTTCATGCCCATCGAGGATCAAGAGACGATAGCGACCAACTGATCGCTTGGCTGTACACCGATCAAAGTGCTTTAGCCACTCAAAGCCTATCTCGTTATCGGTCCAGCCATTTTGGGAGGTTGCAATTACCCAATCGCCCGGGAGGTTACTATCTCGGTACCAGTTGGCGAGGTGATATTGGCCCGCACCTATGATGAACGGCTGGACCGCCCAGCCTTCCGCATTGATCGCCTGAATCACCGTAATCCATTCCCGGTTTCCAGGCTGCACTGATTTTGGTCGTCCACGTCTTTCTGAACCTGTGACGACCATTCCGCTTGCAATCATACCCATAAGGAAGCCAGTCTCGTCAAAGTTATAGATATCATCTGATCGGATGCCGTATTTCGCGATCACGTTCGCCACGAGCCGAAACCAATCGCGAATAACGGTTGGATCTTCGCACTTGGCCCTCTGGTAGTCGTATTTACGAAAAAAACGCGTCTTCAGCTTTTCCTGTCGCCTGACGAAGTTATGAGCCCAGCGCTTGCCGACGGGTAACGCGTCGCGGTCGGCGAGTAATCGATTGGCCATTTCTTCAATAATACGCAGTCGCGGGGGAAATCCTCGTGAATCTAGGTCAAGAATAAACTGAACTATGATCTCTTCCTCTAGATCAGATAGTCGGCGTGAATTCGGGATAGTATCGCGTCGGGATTGAATGCCCTGCTGGCGGCGACGAAGCCTATGATCAGAGACCCTATAAGTCTTTGCAACGCGTCGGATGCTAAGTCTTGGGTTATTTTGAAGGGCCTGAAGGGCAAGGAGGGTCCTAGCCTCAGTATTTGAGTCTGACATGATTTTTGGTTGAGAATCAATTGATCAAATGAAAGGTTAGGTGTAAGAGGGAAAAGTGCGACGCTCGCTTATCATATACGTTATTTATTAATAATATTAAAAATATTTTTTTATATTCAGGAAAACAAATATTATTTAACTTATTTCAATGTTTCCTTAAGTTTTTTAGTATTTATATAGCTAATAGCTATATATTTTGTAGATAAAACTATATTAAAGCTTATTTAAGACTTATTATTTATTAAACTTGTTATTATTTAAAAGTTAGTAATTATATTTTTAGATTTATTATAAAAGCAATTTATTTTATTTTATAGTATAAGTAATATTAATAATAAAGTAAGATGTCTTAATAATTAAGTAATATTTATGGTATTAAGATAAATCTTTTTCTTATAGCTATTACTTATAGCAATAGATTTTATAATTTATATAGCTCTTAGGTTTTATACTAAAGTTTTCTTAATAAAAGTATTTATATATTTTTTCTTAAATACTTTTATTATTTAGTTTTTTATTATATCTTATAATTGAACAATAGTATTTAATAAAGTCTTTTATACATATTTAGTTTGACTTATTTAATAATAAGTTTTTTACATTTTTACGTAATAAATTATATAATAATTTAATTTTTTATTTTTTAATAAGGTAATATAATAATATGAGTTACTATGTATATATAATTATCTATTATTTAAGGAACTTTCTTTTATAAACTATAAGAGCTATTCTTATAGCTTAACTTTTTTAATATTTAAGTTAAGTTATTAATTTATTACATTAATCTCTGTTTTTTATTTTTTTTTACTATAAATAATAATATAATTAAATTTTAAGATATATTTTATATATTATATTTATTATTTATTATGTTATTATATCTTAGTATAATAAGAGCTATTTTTATCGTCTATATAAAGCTTAATTTAATATTTATTTTTAAAAAAAGTGGTATTAGAATTCTTTAAAGGTATTAATAATTATAAGTAATTTTTTAATAAAACTAAAATAATTAAATTTTACTTTATATAATTTATAAGAATAAAGTATACTTAAGTATAAGAGACTTTTATTATTTTATTATTTAATTAAAGCGCCTAGGGTAAAGTCTAAGGTATTTACTTTAAACTTATTTAATTAAAATAAGTTAAATATCTTAAGTATTAATTTATTTAAGATAAGTCTTTTAATATTATTAAAGGCTTATTATTTCTTATTTTTAAATAGAAATAATGTATTTCTTTTATAAGTTTTATTAATAAAATTATTATTTAATTTAAAGCTTTAAGGAACATATAGTAATAATTAACAAATACAAGAATGGCTTATATTTCCTTAATATTATTTAGTTCTTTTCAGTCTTTAATTACTAAGATTTTCTTGGGGTTTATATATATCTTATTATAAGAGATAATATATCTAAAGAATTTGACTCCTAAGGTATAAAATGTATTTTTCTTAGGTTTTAGTCGTGATTTAGTATGTTATAATATTTATAATATTTTATAAATAACGTATATGATAAGCGAGTGCAACAAACAAGCGAGTGCCACAATTTACCCTATAGTGCAATTCCCTCCTTAGAGAGAATTACTTTAAAAAGTTCTAAGAAATTAGGCTTAAATCTTATAAGGCTATAAAATTAAGTATAAGTTACTTATAATATATAAGACTATATATTTTTGTAGAATTTTATAAAAGATTCCTTATAGGGTAGTTTAGAAAATAGTATATTCGGACTGTATAAGTAGCTATTTCTCTATAAAGGGAATTTTTAAAAATCAATAAAAATTATTTTCATATTTTATATTAAGTTAGTTTTATAAAACTACCTTTTTTTTTAAATTAATAGCTATTTTGTAGTAGTTTTTAGAAATTTAAGGTTAGTTGTTTTTAGGTGCACAGTATGCTGTTGCATTCGCTTGTTTGTTGCACTTGCTTATCATATATGTTATATTTTATATATTTTTCCTTTATTTTACAGAAAATGAAGCTATTATTGAACTAATGTATAATAAATATATTTAGATATTCTTCTAATATATTATTAATTATTTATCAAAATATAAATAATATATTAATACGTTTAAGAGATATAATAAACTACTTAAATTCTTTATATTTAATATAAAAAATAATTTTGTATTTATGTTTTTCTTTAATGTAAATAATATGATAACATTTAGCTCTTTTAAGGTTAAATACTACAAAATATTTTGTTTTAAAAAAATTAGTTTTATAATTTATTAATAAGAGGTATTAACATATAGTTTTTATATATATAATCTTACGTAAGTTAAAATTAATATAAAATTAACGCTTTTTATTTTTTTTTACAATAAATATAATAAGGCATTTAATAAATAATATATTTTCTTTAATATATCTTTTTTATATTATATTTTTAATATATTTCTTTAATGGTAATAATTATATTTTATTAAAAGAAAGTATTTAATTAATGTTTAACTAAAATAAAAATTAAATTAATATAATTATAAATACCTAATGCTAAAGATAAGGTTATATTATTTATTTAATATAATATTAAATTAAATCTCTTAGTTTGTTTTTTTAACAAAAACCTTAAGGTAATTGAATTTATAATTAATAGTTTTATTATTATAATTAAAAATTCTTTTTTTTAAATTAATAGTTAAATAAGGTACTCATCCCTTTATAATACTTTAAGCTTATTTTTTAGTATTATATTAAAATAATTTTACTTAGTTTTGTTATTTATTAGAGTACTTAATTATTATTCTTTAATTTACACTTTTAGTTTCAAATATTATTACTTATATGCTACATTTAT